CGGATCGGCCGCCGTGTGAACATCTGGTCGATTTGCTCAATGGAAACTCGCAGCCGTGTAGAACTCTGTATGTACATCTGGAAATGCCATTTGCCTATGTGGATATTCCTACTGCTATCCAGGAACGGGGCCCGCTCCGCTGAGAGCCCCGCCGCAGGAAGTTCCTGCCGAGTCATATTATGTGATTCTCTGTAGACACACCACCAACTCCCATCCCCCCAGAGCACTCGACGAATGTGAGGCATCCCACTACACCCGTTCTACTCCGGTGCAGCCTATCCTGTACCACTCTCAGTGCAGCAACAGAATTCGGCACATCCACCGAAAGCGGCCGAGGACGTCGGATGTCTGCGTCCCCCACCACCACCACCACCACCACCACCACCACAACCGACGTTGGTAACGTCGACGCCAATCCGTTAGCGAGCTTGTCGGCAGTGTATGTAGAACCGATTCAAGCAACTATATAGTTATCTACCCGTTTGGAGATCGCAGACTCCACTTCCAGCAGCCTTTATTCTCGGAAGCAGCCGCGATCCACAGCCCTACTACCACTCTACTACTACACGTGTGTTCTGGATGTGGAGATTGCGCGCAGTTGAGGGCTGGTCCGGTCCCGGTCCCGGGGAGGGTCCCAGCCAGCACGCGGAGTGCCAAGGGACTGGAGAATCGGGGCCAAAGTTCCACTTCCCAGCCACGACTCCACAAAACTCCACACAACACAACTCAACTGACTACCCGCTGAAGGAAGCACACATGATATTGATATGTAGAGTACTCTACACGCACCTACCTACATACCGACATGGGAAGGTCCGTACGAACGGATCTGCCTGCCCTACATAACCACTACTAACTACTAATAACAACCATGTACAATAGAGTACATACGTGTAGAGTAGAGTAAAGTAGAGTATGCGTACATGAACGCAGGTAGGCCGCCGCCGCTTAGCTGTCATCCTCCATCTATCGCAGCATCCCCGCACACTGCACACAACACAGTCCAGTCCATTAGTTATGATGTACCCATGTTCCCAGGAATGGACGCAATCGATGGGGGGAAGGGAGGGGGCATTGGTGGTGATCGGTATAGTATGATATAGTGAGTTTTGCCCAGGCGGCTACTAGCTGGGTAGAGGGTAGAGGGTAGGCATTAGTGTCCTGGATACTGGGAGTCCCTAGGGTTAACTACCCTAGGTATGTAGCTGTACATAAGTACATATCCATCTAGTCTCCTTCCCCCCACCCCCCGTGTAACTGCCGTGCGTATAGGTAGAATGGGCACGCTGTTTTTTCGGGCCATTATGGATGTGAGATGTCGGTAGTTCGCCGCCGCTTCTAGGAGATATCGTACGCAGGCTTAATTACTAGTCAGTTACTTTCGTCTCAGCCAGCCCGACCACCGCCCGCCGGGGAAAGTGAACGGGCATGACATGTAGTATGCCAGTACTTAGGTACCTACATATAAATTCGGAGCACTAAAACGAGGACATACGTACCATACTTACTACATACTACATACCAACTCGAAGGGCGGGTGCAAGAGCGGCGGCGTTCAAAGTTCAAACCATTGTTATTGGTCTGGACTTGGGTTACCTATAGTAGTACACCTTCCTTTAGTTGGCTGTATGTGTATATGTACACGCTAGGAACACGCAGTCAGGCAGTCAGGCAGTCAAGTAGGCAATAGCGAATAGTATTGTGCGGGCTTTCGGCTCGTGAAGGTTTTACATACATACAGGCGGCGGGAGACCAGTTCGAGACTCGCTACTAACTATGCTGCACTGCACTGCGCAAGTCTGTCGGCTGGCCCCACGGCGAATGCCGGTCGAATAGGGTCTTTCGGAGTGGGGGCGTTCCGCGTCACGACGGTTCCTTTGTTTCCTGCTGCTCTACATTTAGTCTAGAGTAACTATTAGGTAGGCAGTATGTATAAAGTATTCATCACAGCATGCATACCCGGATGTGGGAGGGAGTGGGCGGGCCACTTGCATCCATCATCTCAATTGCGTGCAGGGCCGGCTACATATCGATACTAATTGACCGAGGAGATGAGCTGATCCAGGTATCTACCTAGCCAAGTCGCCCGCCGCTGACTGGGTACATATGCCTCTCTTGTAAACTTGGTTAGAGTTTCCTTTCCCCCTGTCTATACATACATAAGTAAGAAGTACTTAGGTAGGTAGAGTAGACTGCGAATCGGGGACCGGTGATGGGATGATGATGATGGGAGGGTTGTTTATTTTCCATAGTTATATCCCGGTGTGCTCCTGGCAAGCAAGGATGGGCCCGTCGACTGCAGACGCACAGACCACTGCGGCAAAGGCGGCGATTCCCCGCGTTCACCGCCGCTGCCGGCCTGGCAGAAGCCTGCCTACTGGATGGATATAGGAACTGGAACGGATGTGAGCCTAGATTTCAGCCAGAAGATTCGATCTCGTACATACATACATACAGGCTACATGAGTGCCCCGTGCGTAGTTAGGTGCTGCTGCTCTCTCTTATCTTTCACCGTGATGCCTGTCAGCGGAGTCGCAGTCGAAGGAGGAACTTGACGAGATGGACTAGTTAAAATCGTGTTCCCGGCTAAAACGGCGGCTAGGCTAGGCTGATGAGCTTGATGATTGCCGACGCAAGACAACTCAGCCAGGCGGCAGATCTTCGGGAGTGATCATCGTTTTCAGCCTGTCGAATCCTCTAGATTCTGGAGTGGGTGATATATCATGAAATAAAATTACCGATCTAATGGAACAAAAACGACGGGCCCAGTGTTGGGGGCCTGCTACTACAGGTTTACGTTTCTGGTCTTTGGGCTCTGCTATGTTTGGGAATGAAGGCCTGGTTGATGTTTGTGAGCCGGCTGGATAGCAGAACTTCAGGTCGGACACTAGAGACGTGAAAGCCGGAGGACTCATACCATAATTGAGGAACCTCCTGATTTACTTCCAAGCACTTTGATTGTAGAAGCCCTAGTATTGTCGACAATTTGGTGAAGAGAGGATATCGTGTATTATCTGAATGATACAGTGATACTGCACGCAACGATGTGTGTCTAGCTATTCGAACTCTGCCTGACAAGCTTCCGCCACTGAAACCTTCTCCTCACCGCCAATCCCGCCAAGTTCTCGTGACAAAGACAAATACACAAACGTCACAACGGTAAAACATGCCGAAAGCTCACGAATCACGATAGCTCTGAAACTCTGCAACGCCAAGCAAGGGCACGCTTTATAGTAGCACGAAACAAGCAATTTTACGAGTGATAAACCAACACTTCCTCTCTTGGTGTTTTCGTAGGCGGTTTTCCGGTACGACCGAGCCTTAGGGTACTCTACTAGATGGATTCATCACTCGGACACGTTTTTGAGAATTCTGAGCGGAGCGAGGATTTTGGGAGGCGTCGGGTGCATTCTTCGGTAGTATGGTTGTCCATTTTACAATTAGTGCACTGGTAGACTTTCGTCGCATCATCCGACCGATTTCCTCGTCCGTTTCCACGTCTTCTTCGTTCTCGCCAGCCTTTCCGGCCTCCTCGGCCTCCCTGGCTTAGAGGGAACATTCAGGATGTTCCTACGTACGGACCGCTGATTGGGACCGAGAGGTTTGGTTTTTCATGGGCGACCAGTAGTCGAATAACGCGATCGGGGGTTGCTTCATCACGGGGTAGACGCTGGAGAGTGCCGATGACGGCTTCGTAGTAGCTCTCTGGGATGGACGAGTAGATGTGGGCGACGAGGAGCTTGTTCGGTCTCGTCTCCGAGCACGATGGGAAAGGCTCCGAGGATGACTAGGGTGCAGGTGATATTGATCTTCCAATCGAGATAGTTGAAGTCGGTGAGCTTATCGAAGCCTCCATATTCGGTCTCGTAGGTGGTACTTCCGCTCATGTCGGAAAAGGTTTTGTTGAAGAAAGCGATGGAAATATAAAGTTAGATTATCGATGGTTTGGTTGGATTTATATAGCGTGCAGTAGATAGAGGTTTGAGGTTATTGCGTTGATCCGGGCTCATAACCTGTCGATAATTTGATGAAAGAGGATATTGTGGATTGTCTGAATGATACGGTAAAATATGCTGAAAGCTCACGATAGCTATGAAAACTCCTTCCAAGCAAGGAGTACGAACAAGCAATCGTACGGTTTGTTTTGTTTGATTTTGTTCAATCTAATCATTGATTGCATGCGACCTGTTGAAGCTTGATAGAAGACTTGACTTGATTGATGAGATAGATAAGAAAGACGAGAAAAATAGACTATTTTTGAAGAGAAACAACAAGCTCGTGTAAACAGAGGATGAAGCTTCTGGCAGAGAATTCTACGATAGACAATCCCGGACTGGGCTGGGCTAAAGAGGCTGATTCTGGTGAGATGCCAGGGACAATGCTGAGAAGCCATAGAGGCTGCTTACGATGACAATGCGAAAACAACAAATAGTGCTATGAACCAGTGACCAGAATAGGCAAATAAACAGGTATTCACCGACACGTTCCACAAATTTGAACGAGTGAGACAGGATGCTTTACAGGCTGATTTCGAATTTTTGATGCAGCGTCGCTAGAGTCAATCAGTCATGATCTGCTCATCGGCTTCGAGCCATGTATCACAACTTCCGAAAGACAGCTTTAGTTCATGGATAGATAACAGTAGCTGGGATTCCAAGAGGGAAGGCTTGCCTGCGAGGGTGCATTATGGCATAGGTTCTCACAACTCCCAGAAACTACCCACCAAGGTATCACCTGCAATAGTGATGCTTCTTATTAGGTGTTCAGGAATAGAATTTGACTTGCAATTCAAGAGAAATTGCGATAAATTCCAAGCCAACAGTCAATCCGTGCAACTCTCCTAGATTTCCCATAAGTGGCCCGTCTAGTCACAAGGAAACGGACGCATACTTGGAAAAATGCTGGAGAAATACTTTGGCGATGCCCTGATTTTACACCACCAACGCGGCCAATGCCAAGTACTTAGGCACTTCTTTTAAATACCCCTATCGGAAATGTATCGGGTACTACTGAGTCACCAACTCGACAAGTGTTCATTTGCTTCCATTCAGTACATACTGTGTTATGTATGCCCCTCCTCAATTCGTCGTCATCATCGTAAGCGTACTATGGTATCAAAAAACAAGGAAAAAGAAAAGAAAAAGCCACCAATTTTCATTGCCCGTCAATGATGCCATGAAAGAAATCCCCGCGCCCATCTACCTTCCCACATGGGAGCTCCTCACACTTCCCTCACTGCTCAAACTCCCCACACTACCCGCCCTGTAGCCCCTCGGCATGAGTGCAGGAGCACCACCACCAAACGTTCCACCCGCGCCGCCGCCATTCTTCTCAACAGGCCTCGCATTTCCCCAGAACACGCGGTCCTGGCTGATGGGGTGGTGGTACACCTTATTTCCTTTAGCCATTCCGATTTGGCTCTGAAGGGCGCTCTCGTCGTCGCTGCTGTCGTCTTCGCTGTCGCTGTCGGACGACGAGCTCTCCTCGCTAGAGCTACTTTCCTCCATGGCTCGACGGCTCTGTGTTCTGCGGTGTTGATGGTAGTGGGCAGCCCTGTCGTCGCCGACGGCGTAGCTAGGCTCTCGCTTAACTGGGGCCTTTCCAGCTCTCGTGGACACGCGAGCCGGCCGACGAACACTGGGTTGTGGGGCACGAGGAGGCGGAGGCGGTTGAGTCGAGCTGGAGGCTTCCGATGATCGGGTGATGTCCGTAAGAGGTGGTGCAGCACGCTCGGTATCCTGCGTTCTATGTTCTCTGTGTTCCCCTCTGTGTTCCCTCCTGCTCTTGTGCCGTCGACTATGGCGCTTCGACTCCCTCAATGACTTCTCGCGCTGAACAACCGTGTCGTTATCGCTGGGCTCGCCTCCTCGCAGCTTCCCCCACATACTCCCTTCCCCCTTGCCCCACATACCGCCCATGAAACCTCCGCCTCCCTTGCTCCCGCTCCCCGCAGCCCCCTTATTGGGCAAGTCCCTTGGACCCCATGGCTTCTCCTTCGCCACATAACTCTTGGTGTAAGTCGTATCGAGCTCTCCCAGCACCACCGTCCGGGCACCAACACTGCTTCCCATCGGCCCGCCTTTCCTCGCCGTACCATCCGAGAACACAGTGACAGCATCATCCGGCCTCTCTTCCGGCCGCCGGAGGACCGAAGACTTGTATTCATCCCAGTCGTACTCGCGCCAGATGAAGCCCGAGCGGCGGATAAACAGCCACCAAGCGAGGAGGCCGAGGGACGCGCCCAGGAGACAGAAGACGAAGAGGATTCCGGGACCGAGTTTGCCGGGTTTCGCGATGTTGCCGTGGTCGACAGCGCGCTCGAGGATCGCGCGCCGTAGGAGAGCGGCGCTGCGCGACGTGAGTGAGGTCGAAGACGTATCCGGGAGGGGAATGGCCGGCATCGTGGTGTTGTTCCTGTGGGTTGCAACCGATCGCGGCAGGAGTGGTGATGAGGTTCGTTGAAGGTGGGATTGTTTCGAAGCTGCTTCGTTGTTTGGATTAATGGTGCAGTAGTGGGTTGAGGTGATGGTGACTGGTAACTAGGACCGGAGAGGTGAGGTGGGTCAGAGGGGGTGAAGAGGCTGGGGTTAGATCGGCGTGTTTGTGCGATGTGTTGGCGCGTGTTGTTGATAGCAACCAAGGCCAGAGCTAGCGCCAAGATTCCGTTGTTATTGTTCAGCGTCAAAACAAGCGCACGGCAAGGCGGCAGGAAACCTCCCAAAATCTTCACAAGTATCACCAATCTCAACCTTAACAACGGCCCACACATAGCAGACCTCAGGATGTGTGCAAACAATTAATTTAAGGAATTAAATACAGTACACAATTAAAACGCATCAAATAGCAACAAAACAAAAATCAGCGCTTTCTCATAGCTCCCACAATATCGAAAGAAAAGACAGTACACACATGACATTAAAAAACACGATCTCAAATATCTAATCCTTTCATCCCACATCCTAATATTACTATTCATATACCTCAAGCGCTCGACTAGACCTGAAGTATTAGCAGGAGCTCGGGGGAAGTCCAGGGGAGGAAGTCCAGGGGAGGAGGAGGAGGAGGAGAATACACACCATATTAGACCAACATCGCGGCCACCACAACAGCAGTAAGAGTAACCAAGGTATTTCGGGACGAAATACGCCCAGCCTCACCCTCGAAGGTAACTCCCTCATAGGCCCCTCCAGCGACAGTTCCAGGAGCACCGGTGCCAAGCTCAATAACAGGGCCAGGAGCTTCAATATCGACCTCGACAGAAGGGCAATAATCACCAGCACCAGCAACACCTTGAACAGGTGCAACACCAGCCACGGGGCCAGGGGTCAAAACGTCAATAGGGCCCTCAGAAGGCTCGACGACAGGTCCAGGACCGAGCTTAGGAGGCTGGATGTCGTTGAAGTCGACGATAGCGGGGCCGGGAGCGTAGGGGAACTCGAAGCCGGCATTAGGAGCAATAGGAGCAGGAGCAGCGGGAGCAGGAGCGACAGGGGCGATAGGAGCGACAGGAGCCTGGATCTGTACATCAAACTCCTTAGTGGAAGTCTCGACGATAGCGGCAGGGCAGGGAGGGACAACTCCGGCAAAGCCCTGGGTTAGGTCACCGACGACTTCAGTGGTCTCTCCAGCAACGGTGATTCCCTCGGCGGGGCTAGGAGCGACGACGACGCCGGCAGGGGCCCGACCAGGGTAAGAGGAACCGGAGACTGCATTAGGAGCCTGAAGCTGGCCGCCTCCGATCTGAGCGATGTTTCCCGGGATAGTCTGGGCAGAGCCGGTAGCGGGGACGGTAACGCCAGCCTCAGACACGATCTGGGCAGGAACAGCAGCGGGAGCGGCAAAATCGACTTCGGTCTCAGCAATAACCGGAGCAACACCGGCAACAGCGACGGCTTCGCCAACCTCGACAGGGATAGCACCGGGTGCAGTGATGTTGATCTCGTTCTCAATCTCAATCTCGACCGCAGCGGGAGCAGCAGCGGCAACAACGTTGACACCAGCCCCAACCTCGGCAGCGATGACCTCACCGGGGGCGGCAATGGAACCGACGATATCCACTTGAGGACCGGCAACGGCAACGGGGATCTCAATGTACTGGGTCTCGGCCGGGCCGGGAATCGGGATGCTGATAATCTCGGTGGGGCCGCTCACAGGGCAAGGGACCTCGATGTACTGGACGGGACCCTGAGGACCAGGTACCTCGAAGGGAATAGGTATTTCGCGGTTGACGACTGGGCCGGCGACAGAAACCTCCAACTCGACATACTCGAACTCGGTAGCACCAGCGACGGGAACGGGGACTTGAATGGTCTCAACGGGGCCGGAGACGGGAACGGGGACCTGGATAGTCTCAAAAGTTCCGGCACCATAGGGGACGGTAACCTCAACATATTGAGTGTTTACCGGGCCCAGAATGGGCACCTCAACGGTCAGGATCTCGATCTCCACACAAGCGGGAAGAGTGACGACGGCTCCCAGCTCGGTGATGACTTGGGCAGCCTGCGTGACCTCCTGAGTGATAACATGGGTAACGGCGGTAGGGACTTCGATAGTCTGGATAATAGGGTAGACAGCACCCTCCACAGTGGCAGTGCAGATTTGGGCAGCGACCTCGATCATCTCAGTCAGGTATTCGGTAGTGGGGGCAACACCGGCGACGGTAATGATATTCTCGCGGATAACCTCCTTGGTGATGAAGACTTCGTTGTTGCGCTCAACAGTGACGGGGACGGCAAACTCAACAGCCTCAGTCACGGTAACGGCAGCGCCGGCAACCTCACGGACGACCTCAACCTCCTTGGTGACGAAGACCTCAGTGGGTTGTGGGACAGGAACCGGGATCTCAACGCGCTCAATAGCAGTGCGGTAGACTGGGACTTCAACGCCAGGGAGCAGGACTTCGCGAGTGATAGGGACTTCGGTAGTGATGGTGACGAAGACCTGCTGGACCTTGGTGACCGGAACCTCTACCCGCTCAGCCACTTCGACAATCTCAACGACACCAGGAGCTTGGACAACCTCGGTGACCGTCGCGTACTCGTATTCAACACGAGTGACGGGGACCTCGATCTGCTGCGAAACATAGACTTCTTCAACGCGAGTGACGGGGACTTCGACAACCTCGCCAGCAACGATCTTCTCCTGGACGAGGGTGTAGGTGACGGGGACCACCTCATTGATGAAAACCTCCTGGATCTCGGTGCGGGTGACAGGAATCTCGATTCTCTCTGAAACATAGACCTCGTTGACCGCGGTGACGGTAGATTGCTCATACTCAACACGAGTGACTGGAATCTCGATCTGTTGAGAAACAAATACTTCCTCGATGCGAGTGACGGGGATTTCGACAACCTCGCCAGCAATGATCTTCTCTTGGGTGACAGTGAATGTGACGGGGATCACCTCATTAATGAAAACCTCCTGGATCTCGGTCCGGGTGACAGGAACCTCGATGTACTGGGGGACAATAACCTCATTGACCTCGGTGATAACAGACTGCTCGTACTCAACACGAGTGACGGGAACCTCGACCTGCTGAGAAACGTAGATCTCCTCGACGCGAGTGACCGGTACCTCGACGACCTCGCCAGCAATGATGTTCTCCTGGACGAGGGTGTAGGTGACGGGGACCACCTCGTTGATGAAAACTTCCTGGATCTCGGTCCGGGTGACAGGAACCTCGATTCGCTCTCCAACAAAGACCTCATTGACCGCGGTAACAGTAGATTGCTCATACTCAACACGAGTGACGGGGACCTCGATCTGCTGAGAAACGTAGATCTCCTCGACGCGAGTGACGGGGACTTCGACCACTTCGCCAGAGATGATCTTCTCTTGGATAACGGTGTACGTAACGGGAATCTTCTCAGAGACGTAGACCTCTTGGACCTCGGTAAGAGTTACCAGAACCTCAACGTACTGGGTAACCGGAACTTCAACCTGCTCGCTCATGTAGACCTCCTGGATCTGGGTGACGGGGACCTCGACTCGCTCTGAAACAAAGACCTCGTTGATCTCGGTGACGGTAGAGCGCTCGTACTCAACACGAGTGACGGGGACCTCGATCTGCTGAGAAACGTAGATCTCCTCGACGCGAGTGACGGGGACTTCGACAACCTCGCCAGAGATGATCCTCTCTTGGGTGACAGTGAATGTGACAGGGACCTTCTCAGAGACGTAGATCTCCTGGACCTCGGTACGGGTGACAGGAACCTCGACGTACTGGGGGACATAAATCTCCTCGACGCGGGTGACCGGTACCTCGACAACCTCGCCAGAGATGATCTTCTCCTGGGTGACGGTGTAGGTGACAGGAACCTTCTCAGAGACGTAGATCTCCTGAAGCTCGGTCTGAGTGACCGGAACCTCAACGTATTGGGTAACTGGCACCTCGACCTTCTCAGAGACGTAGACCTCGTTGACCTGGGTAACAGTGGCGGCCTGGTATTCGGTACGAGTGACCGGGACCTCCACGTTCTGGGAGACATAGATCTCCTCCACCCTGGTGACGGGGACCTCGACCACCTGTCCGGCAATGATTCTCTCCTCGGTGACCGTGTATGTGACGGGGACCTTCTCGGAGATGAAGATTTCGTGGACTTCGGTTTTTGTGATTGGGACCTCAACCCTCTCGGAAACGTAAACTTCCTCGATACGAGTCACGGGGACCTCAACCTCCTTAGAGATGTATATCTCCTCCACGCGTGTGACAGGGACTTCAACGATCTCACCGGAGACAAGAATCTCATTGATGACAGTGTGGGTAACGGGGACCTTCTCAGTGATAGTTTGGAGGACCTCAACGACCTTAGTCACGGGAACCTCAACCCTCTCAGAGATGTACTCCTTCTCCACAATGGTCGCACCGGGGAGCTGAACCTGCTCATACACGGTCGTACCGGGGAGCTGAATCTGCTCGACGATGGTCTGACCCGGGAGCTGGACGGTGTGGTGGTACTCCTCGATCACTGTCTGGGTGGGGTGCACGACTTCGTGAATGATAGTCTCGCCGGGGAGCTGGACGGTGTGGTGGTACTCCTCGATCACTGTCTGGGTAGGGTGCACGATTTCGTGGACGACAGTCTCGCCAGGGAGCTGGACGGTGTGGTACTTGAGAATCTGCTCGACGACAGTCTCTCCAGGAAGCTGAACAACCTTCTCGCGCTCGACGACGACAGTCTCACCGGGCAGGTGAACTTCTTCAATGATGGTCTCGCCAGGAAGCTGGATGCGCTCATAGACCGTCTCAGCAGGGTAGATGACCTGCTCCTGCTGAATGATGGTCCGAGTGACCGGAACCTCAACAACGTGAGTCTCTCCGGCCACGACCTCGGTATGCAACACCGTATTGGTAATAGTGACAGGAACAGCGACCGTCTCAGCACCAGCGTTGATGAGGAAGAACTTCTTCTCCTCGAAGTTGAAGTGGTTCTCAGCGAACTGCTGTTCGTTGAATTCCTTGAACTCCTTAACCTCAGTGAACTCGTTGAAGTTCTGGTTGGCGTTCTGGTTCGCGGCGTTGTTGGGATTGATGTTCGCGTTCTCGTTGGCAGCGGCGACTTGATTCTGATTCTCGTTGGCGTTATTGATGTCGTTGGCGTTGTTGATCACAATGTCGGGGAACACCATGTCGACGTTGCCCATAGGCATGACGCCGCCGGGGAAGAAGAGAGCGTTGGCAGCGGCCGCGCCAGTGGCCTGACTCATCTGCACACGGGTGGTACCAGACTCGATGACGGTGTGAGCGATGATAGTCTCAACACCACCCTTGCCAGCAGGCCCGACGGCAGACTCGCCCTGCTCGACGTTGATGACCTTGTTGACGTTCTTGTCGTTGGCAAACTCGGCATTGACCGAGGGAGTGGCCTTCTGCCGGATCTGCTCCTTGAGGTTAACGGTCTTGGTTGGCTCCACCTGGGTCGTGGCCTTGGAGGTTGCCGTCTCGAACACGTTTCCACCCTTGTTCCCCTCCTTCTTCTTCTGGGCCTCCTTCTTGGGCTGGGGGCGGGGTGGAGGAGGAAGAGGATCGAAAGGCTTGGGCCCACCGAATCCAGGGGGTGGCATGGGGAAGTCCTCGAAGAACTCAGAGAGCCCAGGAGGAGGCTGGTGGTATTCCGACGGCGGGGGGCCGTAAAAGTCGGGGGGAGGAGGGCCGTAAAAATCGGGAGGAGGAGGGCCGTAAAAATCGGGAGGAGGAGGGCTGTAAAAGTCGGGCTGTGGGTGCCCGTAGAAGTCGGGTGGCGGAGGAGGCATGAACTCCATCATGGGAGGAGGCGGCGGGGGAAGAAGGATGGGCTTCCCGTTGGGTGCACGCTCACTCTTCTGGACTTTCACATTTACATCTTCGTTGTTGTTGATGGCCTGGTCGATCTTCTGATCGTGCTCCGGCAATACAACCTTCGATACACCCTCCTGATCCGTTGTTAGTGATATGCCATGATTGTGAGTATGGATGCGAAGGGGGATTACCTTTGGACGATTGATGCCTTTATTGGCCGCAACCTCAACTGAAGCCTCCGCTTCCTTGCCATTCCCCAGCGTAGGCGAAGGTGGTGGAGGAGGAGGAGGGCCCGGCTCAAAGCCAGCAGGAACGAGCGGCATGCCGTACATGTCAACAGCAAGGAATGACGGTGGGCCACCGAAGGGCGCCGGGTCATAGTAGTCAGGATCGTAAGGGGCGTTAGGCTGCGCTTCAGTCCTAGGCATGGCTGCAACTGCCATCGCCAGACCCAACAGTGCTCCGAATGTCAACTTCATGATGGAAATATTTTGAAGCTGAACGTGACCACCGTGATACTAAGTCTATAAGAGATAGAGGGATATTAGGCAGATTAAGAGAGGATGTATGAGAGGATGAGAGATGGTGATGATTAGGATGAGGAGCAGAAATATGGGATATTCGGGGGCTTTTGTATTCCAGGTTCCCTATGGAGAAGCCATCGTGATGGCTGCGATTCTGCAGTACGGACATAGATCTCGCGAAGAATGACCCGCGAAGTGTTTACGCTTTCTCGACGACCAAACTCCTGAGTGCGCGGCTTCACGATCGATTTATTAGGCCTGATAGCTACGTCTGAGTATGAGCCAGCTTGAACTGTGCCAACTCGCAGGAACGTGGCTCCCAGGAGTCAGGTGCGAATGAATTAACTCCGAAGCCTAAGCTCTGGTCGCTGGATTCACCCGCTGTTTACATGCGCGGCGATCTCGTGAATAGTAACCCCCTTAGCCTTTCTTTGCCACAAACCCATATTCCGCTTCCTTATTGGAACCTTCGACACTTGCTATCTAAATATGGTCCATAGGAGCTTCTTGCCAATCTACGGAGATTCGGAGTAGATAATACCGTTCACTCCCAATCTTCGATATCCAGCTATCGCAGTCAGCTCAGTAGATTCGATAATTCAAAGCTCGAGCCAAAGCTTAATACTACCTCCCTTGACGCGCACACCGAGATGCGGACACGGGCTGGCGGCCGTTTAACCTAAAGCCAGAAACGAACCTAAACTTCATTCGCAATCCACCAGGGAATCTTTCTAGCTACGATAATATCTGGCGATGCACAATGCGAAGAGCCGCTGGAACCATCGGGAATCTTCACGCGAAACCTCTTCAGAGCTGGTACAGTTTGCTACCGGCATCACGCGGTGTCTCGTGGGAAATCTAATAACACGGTTTCCTTATGAAAGTGATCCTATCGTGCTGTCAATTACAGAACCTCATGTACATTGGGTTGTATGTGAGCTCCCCGGTCAGGAAATCGAGCTATAAATAGTATCCAAAACTCTGTGACTTTGAGTAGCGCTTCTGAATATGTTTTGGATGCTCGTAATGCTGCCCTTCTGGAAGCCAGCGACACAGACTGACGAGGACAACCTGTATCAGCTGCTGCGGCACATAGGCACGCGGTCCAACCCTCCCAAGTAAATGCAATAACTCCATCTCTTGAAACTTCTCATAAGCGGCTCAGTCTGACTTTGGGAAAGTGCCGTAGAATACAGCATAAGCTCTGCAATCTCGGTGTTTGCCGTATCAGCGTGATAATTTTGGCCCATGGAATTCGTTCAATGATTTACGTTCAATACCAGACCGTTCAAGTACATACGGAACCCAGAGTACAGTCAAATATATCAATGTCTGAATTTGGATGAAAGCTCAATCCGGTGGCAACAATTCGACAAGTTTGTTTAGTTCACCAAGTCCCTCCTTTGCACACACCCAATCACGAGCGTCCATCTCACTCTGCTGGTGCAATACCGTCAAGGTACCGGATGTCAAATCGAGGGTTATGTAGCCGTCTTTTGTGGCCGTGCAATTTTAGGCTCTGAACGGTAGACGATAGACGGAAGTTTACCATCGACTCGGAAAAAATCGGTAGTACGCCCGGTCCACTAACTGCCGCCGGCCTGAACTGTGACAACGTCACTAGGTAACGCTGACTGGAATTGAACAGCTCTTTGACAAGTACCCCCAAATTCTTAAATAGAATCTCGAGTCCTACCAGCACCGGCAGTGTCGGAGGGAGACTCTCCGTCCGCGGGCACCTGCTGTACATGAGGTTGAGATAAGCCACAAAACGATGCCCGGCAGCATCGGCTATCAAGCGGTGATCCGAGTGCCTTGCCTCATGCGGCTTAGATGCACATTCGCTTATTTCACACCGAAATTGATGAAGGTCACGGTACTTTGAGATGGGTAAATCGCCGCTATCAGGTGGCCCCGAATTGCACGCCGAGTGATCGGGGTGGCTGGCCGATGCTTCGGCGGGTAAAGGGACGTTCGTGCAAGCTTCCGGCCATCGCCGTTTCCAGACCGTTGCTTAGCAACAGCAAAGAAAATCCCCGCCGCCAAGGCCGCAGCCGTCCCCACGTACGCCTTAGCGCAGGGCGAGCACGTCATGTAGAGCCAATCAGCGCTTCCAGTTGATAATTAACAGTGCAAACACCCGTGGGGGAGAACGGCTACAAAAAAAAATATGTCGCCTGGTAGTTTGTTCAGAAAAACTGTAGTCAACATCATGGAAAAGCTGCAGCTACCTGCCAGCTACTTGCAGTGGCGTCAGGAGCCTTACTCTACAGCTCGTTGGCTCTAACGGCTTTGGTGGAGAAAAAAAATTAGGAAACAGAATTCCCGCTTGATGTCGTGATCACCGGAAAACACTCAAGAACCCCCGGAGCATCCCCCACCTCAGCTGCCGCTATTTCCCCACCGCTTATTGATCGTCTACATTACAAAACTCTGTCTCTCATTTGCGCGGCCCCCTCCGCTCTCTTTCTCATATCCTCTCTCTCTCAATCCTACATATCCCCCCGCCTTTTGCTTGAACCTTCACATTGCTGCCAGGATACCACGCAATGGCTGCAGCTACCGTCTCTCTGAAGACCCCCGAGGAGGCCGGTATGTGTTGAACCTTCCAACAGAAACTGTATTCGAATTTGATTGCGGGTGGGCCCTGAACTGACCTATTATTAGTTGCACGGATTGCGTACCTGTCCAGTGATGTGGTCATTTCAGTACAACCGTCGCTGAGTGCGGCCTCGGCATACTCGTCAAAACTTGCGGAATTGGTGTCGAGTAACACCAAGGGCGCGCTCTCACAGCAGACACCAGAGGTATGGCGTGTCGTGTTGTCTTGGGGATTGGCTGTGTCTAATGCGAGAATCAACAGGTGCAAACCGTCCGCCAGAATGCCGACCCGTTACTCTCTGTACACCAGCCCGCACGGTCGGGGAAGCTCGTCTCCGTTACCACCACATCCAATACTCTGATCTCATCGATACCCCACCTCTACAAGCTCCTCAACTACCCCATTGTCATCCATGTGTCGATGCAACCGGCCGAATACCCCGACTACTCGGAGATCACCTCGATCCGACAGACCGGATTGATTCTTCTGCAGTCCGAGACGACGCAGGAGGCACAGGACATGGCCGTGGCCGCCCACGCCCTGGCGCTCAAGTCTGGAAAGGCCGTGATCCACTTCTTTGCCGCGAGTGAGAAGACTGAGGTGGCTGTTGAGGATCCGGTGTTGTTGGAGCGCGCGCTGGATCGTGCCGCCGCAGAAGGTGTCCGGGCCAAGACAGTAGACTCGGTGAACCTGTATGCCGACGACGGTGTGCGGGCCCAGACTCTCCAAGTTGGTGATTCGGCGCCGGCTATCCCGTCGAGCGGGCTGATCCCTCCTATCGGTGAGCCTGTTTCCCTCGGTGGAAGCAGTGTACCCAGCACCGCCGGGGACAGCACACATGCTTCGGTTACCTCCGCTAGTTCGATCGATGTCCCAGTCACCTCGCGTGACGTCACCTCCGACGACATCTTCAACCACATAAACAACATCTTCACCGTAATCAAGCAGGTCACCGGCCGATCATACAGCGTATTCGAATACACTGGTCCTCAGCACGCCGACCTCGCTCTCTTCGTTTTCGGTTCCACCACCTCTCTGTTCCGCAACGTCTTGAAGAAGGCCGGTTCCGGAGAGTACGACAAAGTCGGCATCATCTCGGCCCGTCTTTACCGACCATGGTTTGGCGCCCAGCTGCCCAACGTCCTTCCCAAGGCCGTCACCAAGATTGCCGTTTTGGAGCAGATTCACAGACAGACAACCAAGTGGGGTCCATTGTTCTTGGACCTCCTCACCTGCCTGCGAACTGGCCCCAGCGTCCAAGGTGCCCCCTCGGTTGTTGCCCACAAACTCGGCTACATCAGCGCCGAGACCGCGGCCCAGGCGCTGCGTGGTGTCATGCAGAACCTTCGATCGGAATCCCCCGTCCAGAACCTGTCGGTGGGCTTGGAGAATGGGCCTGCTGAGACTACCGAGACGTCTGAGCAACCGGGTGTAGAGTCCGCTTACATGAAGATTCTCGCCCAGCTTTTCGGTCAGAGACTTCACATTGCCAACTCCCTTGACCGACCCAACGCCGGTATCTCTACCACCGTCGCCGCCTCCCCCGAGTACGGATATGGTTCGCTTCTGGCCAGGATTGAGCAGCGCAAGGCGTTAGTAGACAAGGCGGAGAAATTGGCCAAGTCTAGCAGCTTTGCCACTCCTGCCTCCACCGAGATCTTGTCGAAGTGGTTGTTGGTTGCCGACGACGAGACCAAGAGCGCCGAGATCTCTGATGAGCTCATCCAGCAGCTTGAGAAGGATGGTTCCGCCGCGGCGAAGACTCTGCTCGAGAGCAAGAGTCTCTTCCGCAAGGAGTCCCCCTGGTTGATTGGATCCGATGCCTGGGCCTACGATCTTGGTAACTCCGGTGTCCACCACGTTATCGCCTCCGGCAAGAACATCAACATGCTCGTCATTGACAGCACCCCCTACTCCCAGCGCGGCGCCGCCGATGCTTCCCGACGGAAGAAGGATATCGGTCTGTACGCTATGAACTTCGGTAACGCTTACGTTGCTTCGGTTGCTGTTTACAGCTCGTACACCGGTGTGCTGCATGCCATGATGGAGGCCGACAAGTTCAATGGTCCCTCGGTGGTGCTGGCGTACCTGCCCTACGACAAGGAAGACGACTCCGCTCTGACTGTCATGCGCGAGACTAAGAAGGCCGTTGATATCGGATACTGGCCTTTGTACCGCTACGATCCCTTCGGCGACGAGAAGGGTGGACAGAACTTTACTCTGGAGTCCGAGAGGATCAAGAAGGAGCTCAAGGACTTCCTTGACCGCGAGAACCACCTCACCCAGCTGGTCAAGCGCAACCCGACTCTTGCTAAGAGCATCTCCCAGTCCTACGGAAAGGAGGTTCGCCACCAGCAGAAGCGCAACGCGAAGGATGCGTTTGCCAAGCTTCTCGAGGGTCTCTCCGGTCCTCCCCTCACTATTCTCTACGCTTCTGATGGAGGCAATGCCGAGAACGTTTCAAAGAGGCTAGGACGCCGTGGTAAAGCTCGTGGTCTCAAGACCCTGGTCATGGCCATGGAGGACTACCCAATCGAGGACCTGAACAACGAGGAGAACATCGTTTTTATTACGGCTACGGCTGGACAGGGTGAGTTCCCCATGAACGGACGCAGCTTGTGGGAGGCCGTGAAGGGATCTACCGACTTGGATCTCGCCACTGTCAACTACTCTGTCTTCGGTCTGGGAGACTCGCACTACTGGCCTCGCAAGCAGGACAGGATCTACTACAACAAGCCTGCGAAGGATCTCGACAGGCGTCTGCAGGAGATCGGTGGAAAGGTTTTGATTGAGTGTGGCCTTGGAGACGACCAGGACCCCGATGGATACCAGACTGGATACTCTGAGTGGGAGTCGAAGCTTTGGCATGCGCTTGGTGTTGACAACGTCGAGGGTCTCGCCGATGAGCCTCCCCCAATCACCAATGAGGACATGAAGATCAATTCCAACTTCCTCCGTGGTACCATTGAGGAGGGCCTTGCGGATATGTCCACCATGGCTATCTCCGCCAGCGACCAGCAGCTCACCAAGTTCCACGGTACCTATATGCAGGACGACCGTGATCTACGTGACGAGCGCAAGGCTCAGGGTCTGGAGCCTGCATACTCGTTCATGATTCGCTGCCGGTTGCCCGGAGGAGTGTCGACTCCAAAGCAGTGGATCCAGATGGACGACATCGCCAATACCTACGGAAACCACACCATGAAGTTGACCACCCGTCAGACCTTCCAGTTCCACGGTATCATCAAGACTGACCTCAAGAACTCCATGCGTGCCATCAACCAGGCTCTGATGACCACCATCGCCGCCTGCGGTGATGTCAACCGTAACGTCATGTGCAGCTCCCTTCCCACCCAGGCTGCCTTCCACGCCGAGGTCCAGGCCGTTGCACAGGTCATCAGCGACCACCTCCTGCCCAACACCACCGCCTACCATGAGATCTGGCTCATGGACGAGAACGATAAGAAGGTGCAGGTTGCCGGTGACGCCGTTGTCGACCACGAGCCCCTCTACGGCCCCACCTACCTCCCCAGGAAGTTCAAGATCACCATTGCCGTGCCCCCGCACAACGACACCGACGTGTACGCTCACGACGTAGGTCTCATCGCCATCAAGGGCGAGGATGGCAAGCTGGCTGGTTTCAACGTCCTCATCGGTGGAGGAATGGGAGTCACTCACAACAACACCAAGACCTACCCTCGCACTGGTAGCTCGATCGGTTTCTCGACCGTTGACAAGGTCCACCTTGTCTGCGAGAAGGTCATGCTGATCCAGCGCGACCATGGTGACCGCAAGAACCGCAAGCACGCCCGTCTGAAGTACACCGTCGACGACCTCACCGTCCCCGTGTACAAGCAGAAGGTCGAGGAACTGCTCGGCTGGCAGCTCGAGGAGGAGCGTTCCTTCCACTTCGAGAGCAACGTCGACACTTTCGGCTGGGTCAAGGACGAGACAGGTCTCAACCACTTCACCTTCTTCATCGAGAACGGACGTATCGAGGATACCGCCGAGTTCCAGATGAAGACCGGCCTCCGCGAGATCGCAAAGGTGCACAAGGGCGAGTTCCGCCTTACCGGCAACCAGCACCTGATCCTCTCCAACGTCGCCGACGCAGACTTGCCCGCACTCAAGGACCTCATGGCGAAGTACAAGCTGGACAACTACCAATTCACCGGGCTCCGCCTGTCGTCCTCCGCCTGTGTCGCCTTCCCCACCTGTGGCCTCGCCATGGCCGAGTCGGAGCGCTACCTCCCCGTGCTGATCTCGAAGGTCGAGGGCGTTCTCGAGGAACACGGACTGCGCCACGACTCCGTCGTGATGCGGATGACCGGATGTCCTAACGGCTGTGCGCGCCCGTGGCTCGCCGAGATCGCGTTCGTTGGAAAGGCCTTCGGTGCTTACAACATGTACCTGGGCGGAGGCTACCACGGCCAGCGTCTCAACAAGCTGTACCGCTCGTCCATCAAGGAGGAGGAGATCCTCGATATCGTCCGCCCCCTGTTCAAGCGCTACGCACTTGAGCGTGAGGACGGCGAGCGCTTTGGTGACTTCTGCATTCGCGTCGGCGTCATCAAGCCCACTACCGAGGGCAAGACTTTCCATGACGACGTATGTCTCCCCCTCCTGTAATCTACACTCACTCTCGCAGAACTTATTGGCTAACGATGTGTCACAGGTCGCGGAAGAGGATTCTGAGGAGTAGATTGCACGCGATGGGAGTTTTGATTTGGAAGATGATGGGGAACGGGGGCGGTCGGGGTAATTTCTTTGGGTTTTAGGTCTTTTTAGTGTAGATATTCTTTCGCGTCGCCTTTTCTTTTTTTTGTGTTTTTGTGTTTTTGTTTCGCTTTATTGATCAATTGAGTGAGTGTACATGCTGCAGCCGATTGATTGTTTGTCTACATGAAGCTTGATGCCTGAAGCTTGGATGGGGAGGTATATGCCAGGTGGTGGATTAGAGCTCATCCAGCTCGGCCAGTAGTTACCCACAACCGTGATACTGGTATGCGGTGTTTCCGGGGGTGGTTACTGGCCACTCGACGGCTAGCGGGGGGCAGCGTATCCATTGCGGTCGATTCACCCATATCCGTCTCCAAGATTATCATTTGTAAGGCGAGGGGCGGGGGACGGCGTGATACTGTCAGCTGCGTAGCTCATAAGCCCGTGTTATTCCTCCATCCTCTATCGTAGCGACGACAGTAATCCTTCATAGTCCATGGGCCATGAGTATTCTGCACCTTATTCTGCACCCATAGCCATTGTCATTGCCACTGCCCTCCCTCCTCCTCCTACTCCATCTCACGCGGCAACGACCTTCTCGACCTTATCCCCCTTCTTAACCTTCCTCCTCTTCTTCCTGTCCCGCTTCTTCAGCGCGCCCATGCCAGCCTTGCACACGTCCGCGTACCGCACAAAGAACGCGTCCAGCTCCTCTGCCCCCACCTCCGTCGAGATCTTCACCCCCTTCTGCCCCTTCCCCGCGCCGTCTGAGGCGCGGATCAAGAGTGTGCCCGGTGCTCCATCGGCGGTGGGGAGGGTTACTAGGTGGGTGTTAGCGGAGCTCGGGGATGGAGGGGGGAGGGATGGAGTGGAGGGCCGCACGGGATTTCTGCGTCAGGAATATACTCGACTTCTGCGCGGTTGTGGCGGTCGTTAGGAGAGTGGTGAGCGCCGTGAAGAACTGGTTGTGCATACGTCAGTTAAGTGAAGCTTGTGATGTTGCGCTGGGACGATGGCTCGGTGCGCGCGAGGGTTCAGCTGCCGCCAGATGTTCCCAGACTGGCTGGGATGGACGGCGAGCTGGACCCTCGTGCTCACGGAACCGTCGGCAGGAGGGGAGGGAGGAAAGGGAATAGTACGGCGTCGTTGCTGAGGCGGTCTGGTGAGGTCGTCATTGTGGGTGGGTATCGAATGGACGAGACGGCTATGGTAGCTGAGCTGTGGGGCGCGGGAACGGGAGCGAGTGCGGGGAGTGCTGGTGACGGGCGGATTGGCGCACGTGGGGTTGTTGAGGCTGAAAGGAACCGCCGTGGAAGAAGAAGGTTGAGGCACGAACCCTGGCTCGGAGGAATAAAGCAAGGGCAGAGTCGCGGGACGGATAAGGGGTGGTATGTATATAGGCGGTGTGTGTGCTACGAGAGGAATGCGGAGGAGTGGAGAGAAGCCCTCAGGGATGGGATGTGGGGACGATGACTGTGTTCGCGTTGCATATGTTTGTGATGGCAATCAGGGGAAGCATACTGGAGATATTCTAGATACATGTTGGCTGGGACTTTGTCTGTCTGTCTGTCTGCGGCAGTCGGCTAAGGCGTTTGCGACGCAACGAGAAGAAGGAAGTTGTCAAGTCTTTGTGGACACTGGAGCGTGATCAGTTAGCCATACGAATGATATCGGGTCTTTGTTTCCACAGCATGGCATCCCGAGATAGTTATATCTTCAGAGTCCTCAGCTGCCCCCGCCTCCTCGCTTCTCCGCTGCTCTCGACTCCTTCAAAGGTCACCGCGACAGCCTCCCTTATATGATGAAACCTTCAGACGCTGGCGGCTGCACATCCCTTCTTTGTCCATTCCATCTCGTCTCGTCTCGTGCCTTCACTACCATCTAAAAAATATCGAGGCCAGACAATAACAACAACACCGTCTTGGAACAAATACCGTCACCGCCGAGAATCGCGTCCTCACTTACCAAGAACAATAGCACGGCGGAATCAAGCAGAAGAAGAGACTGTGAAGAGGAGAGAAAAAAAGAACAGAAAAGGCGACGAAGAAAGGAAGCAACACCACCGGCAGAAAAACAAGTCCTTCCTCGAGACTTCCTTCCTTCCTCCGTCAACCCACCCCCACCCAACACACTTCCAATTATAAGCAACAATCGCCCACCCGCACACGCTCATTCGTTCACCCTCCGCGTCCCTACCATATCTATCTATACCTTCTCCCCTCCCCCCCACATCCTCCTTCTTGTATGACGCCTCCACAATCCCACCCCTCTTCGCCACTTCCCCAGGCACCAGAACACAACGACCCTCTCGCCCACGACTCAGCCGCAGGTGTAGATCATCAGTACGGATCCCATCAGCACCGACTTCAAGGAGACGTGTCCCCTGCTGCTGCGCTCACGTCGTCGCCTTGTGCTCCTTCCGCCGACAGCAATAGCACTACCACCACACCCACCTCCTCCTCCACCACAACCACCACCACCACCAATAGCAATCCGAACATCGACAGCAGCAACAGCTCCCGAAAGCGAAAACTAGTCGATACCGGTCACACTGCCGCCGACGACCCTCCTGCTCGCCTGTCCCCCTGTTCCTTCAGCGGCAGCATCTCCAGTCCCTCGTCTCCTCCCACCACCACCGCAACCACCACCACCGAAGAAGAAGACAGTAACGCCGACAATCACTACTACAGCTTCGACGACAGTCACAGTGCTGCTACTGCTCTTGCTAACTCGGCTTCCTCGCTTGCGTCGCCAATCACTCATCGTGGCGGGTCGGACTGTGACGTAGATAGAACTTCGTACGCACCATCAGTTGCACTACCGCTTTTTTTGCCCTCTGCAGCCGCAACCACGCTCCTCCGCACAACCCCGCCATCTCCACACCCAAACCACACCCACCACCACCCCCATCACGACCACGGCATGACCACGGCACCCATCACGGATAGCGATGCCTCCGCGCCGTCGCCACCCTCGTGCGCCCAACCACCCGTCGAACCCACTCCGTTCCTGGGACCGTCGGATTCCGTGAGCAAGCCACCATCGCGATCCCAGTCCCCCGCAAAACGATTAAAGCCCGACGGTCCTACCAACGCGACGGTTGACTGCAGCCTTGATCACAGCCCCACAACCCCTGAGCCGATGGACGAGGATACCGCGGTGCCCGCGATGACTACTAGGGATGTCTCTGTGGACATGGTCGACGCTGACGATGCGCCAGTCGCACTGGAGCCGGCTTTGTCCATTGTCATTACGGACGATTCGTCGACCGCAGCCTCTTCCACCGCCGTCACGGTCACCCAACCCTCCACAGCCGCTACTTCAACGGCCACATCCATCGCTACACCGTCACCGCCGTCGCTCGAGGAGCAAATTGAGATGGTACTAGCGGAGAAGATGGCAATGCTGAAGGAGGGAGAGATCTACTATCTGGTGTCAGGCATCTGGTTGAAGCGATTCCTAGTCCAGCTGCCCGAGTATGCCAAGGATATCCAGATCGAGAAGGAAGAATTGGAAAAGGAGTTGGGGCCAATCGACAACACTCCCATCGTTGATGTCGAGATGCAGGAAGAGCTGAAGAAAGACGGTATGTCCGCCCGTACTCCGACCAAAGGTGGGGGGTCAACTGACATTGAAGTTACAGCGTCCTCGCCCTCCACGAACGACAAGTTCGCCGAGGATTTCGTACCCGTGAAACAGGGCATGGAGTGTGGGGATGACTATGAGGTGTTACCTGCTACTGCATGGAACCAGCTCGTGGCCTGGTACGGACTGGCGAAGGATTCGCCGATCATCACAAGGAAGGCAATCAACACTCAGGAGGACAGGGCTGCGGAGTCCAACTGTATAGTGGAAGTTTGGCAGCCGATGTTCACGGTGTACCGGCTTCGGGACCCTAAGATGACCATCTCCGAGAACAGCCTCCGAGAGGAGAAGCAGGTCAAGCCAATAAAGCTTATAGCTTCGACGTCCGAGGGATTCCGGGATTTCCTCAAGCAGATCAAGAGCTTGACTGGCGTCGAAACTGGCCGGAAGGTGCGGCTCTGGAAAGTGACAACGCCAACAGAACCCGACCAGAAAGCCACAAAGAAGTCGTCGAAGACCGCCGCCACAACTCCTTTCCGACAGATGGTCATTGATCTGCATACTTTTTCGGCGCTAGAAAATGGATCTGAGCTCGTCGATGTTCCGGACAACACCAATAATCCGAACTACAATGGCAATCTAAAGATTGGAACTCTCGGGTTGGGAACCGGCGGAGAGATCGTGGTTGAGGAGCAAAATGTCGATGGAGAATGGATCAGTCAATCGGCGAACAAAACTGTGATCAAATGGGGGGAGACGATCACGGTCACGAAGAACGGGTTCGGCAAGAGTGCAAGCACGGCCAAGAAGAAGTTACCCGCGTCGCCCTCCCGCAGTGCTAGTCCGGTCAAGAGTGTTCTATCGAAGCCGGCGATGCTTAGCAACAGGGGACGCGAGCGTACCAATGGGAGAGCGCGTGGCACATGCGGGCTCTCCAATCTTGGGAACACCTGTTATATGAATTCAGCTCTGCAATGTTTGCGGTCCGTCGAAGAGTTATCCAAGTACTTTCTCTGTAAGATTTCATCAAAGCCCCCGTCGAACACCGAGTTTTACTGACCATAGATAGGCGGTGCATATGTTGACGAGCTCAATCCATCCAACCCTCTAGCACATCATGGGAAGGTTGCAAGGGCCTATGCCGGGCTAATTAATAATATTTTTGCCCCGTCAAGCCCGTCGTCTGTTGCGCCCCGAGAATTCAAGAGTACGATTGGAAGGTTCGGTCCGTCGTTTTCTGGCTATCAGCAGCAGGATTCACAGGAGTTTTTGGCTTTCCTGTTGGACGGCATGCACGAGGATTTGAACCGCATCATGAAGAAACCCTACACCGAAAAGCCTGACTCGACCGACGAGATGGTCGGCAATCCTCAACTCATCGCCGAGCTGGCGGAGAGACATTGGGACATCTACAAGAAGCGCAATGACTCGGCAGTTGCCGATCTCTTTGGTGGACTGTACAAGAGCACGCTTGTCTGTCCCGAGTGCCAGAAAGTCAGCATTACTTTTGACCCATTCATGGACCTGACGCTACCGCTGCCCATCGAGTCTTTCTTCACCAAGGAGTTTTTCTTCTGGCCCAAAGACCCAAAACATAGGACTCCGTTTAAGTTCGGTGTCGAGCTGCCAAAGAATTCGAGCATCGGTGCACTGAAAGAGTACACAGGAAAGAAATTTGGAGTGGATCCTAAACAGGTTAGCATTCCTCTGTGTATTAAGTATGCCATGGGAGCATCGCTGACTCGATACGGTAGATCATGTGCTCAGAAGTGTATAAGGGCAGATTCTACAAGCATTACCAGGACTACAACGCCATCACAGACATCTCCACGGGCGACGATGTGATGTTGTACGAGCTTGACAAGGTGCCGACCAGTTGGCCGGGGCCAAAGAGCCGATCGATGCTTTACCCGGATGAGCAGGCTGACGCGGCATCTACGGAAGCAGTACTCGTTCCCGTGCTGCTGTGGCGGCCACGATTTCGCAAGAACGATCTGAGCGATGAGTGGTTCAGCTTTCCTTACTTCCTTGTTCTGAACCAGGAGGAGGCATCCGATTACGATACCATCCTCGAGAAGCTTGTTGAAAAGCTTCAATTCCTTACCACCAGGGATATGTACACAACCTCCGCCGTTGAAGAAGAGGACAACGACTACGACGGTGCTGAAGATGCTGCTAAGGCTGAAGTAAAGGATGAGAAGGATGGCGAGAACAATAGCGAGAAGGATGGATTTGTCGATATCACGATGGAGGATACTGTCTCGACCTCTGACTTGGGCAAGGCGGAACCCGAACTTACCCCGGAGGTCAAGACGGAGGTTTCCGATGATGCTATCCCCACTGTTTCCGGCAATCCTCGTCGTCGGGTACCACAAGATATCCACGGATACTTCACTCTTAAGATTGGCAAGAGGAGGGATAACGAGGCACTTCCGACCGGGTGGAACGGTCCTCAGATGGATGAGCTACTCACTTCTCGGATGCAGCCCAGTCGCGATACGGCCCCGAGCCCAGTATCTCACGAGCCTTCTTCGCTGTTTGACATTCCGTCTGCTGAGGACTCTGGTCGCAGGTCGCCGGCGAGTCAGATCTCGGATGACGATAAGCTGCTGTACAATGACGATCCTCAGCCGGAGCCGTCGTACGACACGATGGCGGATGTGAGCGACGATGAAGCTCAGACTTCCTATCCGTCTGCCTTGGCTGCTTTCGATCCTCCCTCGTTTCTAGGCACCACGAGCGGTACCTCATCGCCTAATGGATACGCGTCGCCGTCTCGATTCCGCACCCCGGAACCTGTCCAAGAATATGGCCCACTAATTCGAGTCGGTGAGAGTATCTTGGTGGAGTTTACTGAAGAAGGCTTCGACACCCTCTTTGGTGGCAAACACCGTGACGATTTCCGTGGAAAGGAAACGTGGAACTCGTGGCCGGCCGTCAAAGATCCCGAACTGGAAAAGAGACGCAGGAGACGGGAGGAGAGGAAGAACAAGGGAATCATCCTCGAGGACTGTCTTGACGAGTTTGCTCGGGAGGAAGTCCTTAGTGCAGAAGACCCTTGGTACTGCCCTCGTTGTAAGGAACACAGGAGAGCCAGCAAGAAGTTTGAGCTCTGGAAATGTCCCGACATCCTCGTTGTTCACCTCAAGCGTTTCTCTAGTAGTAGAAGCTTCCGGGACAAGATTGATGCACAGATCGATTGCCCGATCGAGGGTCTGGATTTGAGTCAACGTGTTGGCTTCACCGAAGGCAAGCCGATGATCTACGATCTGATCGCTGTGGATAATCATTACGGCGGCCTTGGTGGCGGGCATTACACTGCATACGTCAAGAACTGGTTCGACGGAAAGTGGTACTACTGTGATGGTGAGTTTCTACTCGAGAACCTGTTCAGATGTACGTGAATGCTAACCTATGGATGACACAGACGCCAGTGTCAGAGAGGCACACGCGAACTCGGTAGTGACACCAGCCGCCTACCTGCTGTTCTACCGCCGCCGCTCCGACAAGGCTCTTGGCGGATTAAAGTTGGAGCAGGTCATTGCCCAGCACTTCCCGAGCGTAGCGGAAGAAGATGATGAAGAAGAAGAGGTGGATGCACAGCAAGGCTCGTCGTCCGGAATCTCCCGCGAGAATTCACCGACTCCTTTCATCGGCCCTACCCTCCCCAAGACCTCTAACGAAGGTGGATTCTTAACCGCCAGCGTCGGCAATTCCACGCTGTGGGGCAACAGCATGCCCATCACCACTTCGGAGCTCACCGCCGGCCCCGCGAATGACGTCGATTCTCTCTTACCGGAGTACGACGACCTGGACAACACTGGTGGCGTCAGCCTCGACACGGACGAGGGCTTGGGCGACGAGACGGAGGCGGAGATTGCCGATATGTTCGTGGCCATCACCGACAGTCACGCGGGACAGGAAGATGAAGAGAAAGTCGAAGACGTGCGGGTATAATTTCGGTCTTTCGTTTAGTTTCTTTTGTGCTGGGCGTTATGCTTTTTTTTTCATTTTTTTCACTTGTCACTTGTGTTTCCCAAGGCTTGGGGTGTGAATGTCATGAGTTTTCCTTTCTTATTCGTTTTTTTTCTTCGTTCGTAGGTCAAAACGGTAGGGTCAAAACAAAACGGTTGGTGATGCGATGCGATACGACTGCATGAATCGGATGGGAATCATGGATTAGGTTGGTTCGTGGGGGGTGGGGGATGGGGGATGGGGGATGAGATGGGTATCATACAATAGACGGCGGGGCTAGTGGTGGTTACAACTTACATGCGATATATACACGGTTTTTTCTGGTCGCGGTGATTGAGGTGATTGAGGTGATTGAGGTGATTGCACGATACGTGTATGTGCTACGAGTGAGATGTGTGAAAAGAAGTTATATCATGGAACTTGCGGACGATGCTCATAACGAGACGCGGCGAGGAGATGGCGAGGAGATGCAGCTCCCTACCTACTTTGCTATGAAGTAGCGTCTGGGACTCTCGGCGGTGTTGATTCCTACGGCGTGACATGAAGTGTCACACACTTCAAGCCCGAAGAGGCCGTATGCGAAATAAATTGACGTTCTCTCTCTCTCCCACTCTCTCTCTTCATGACTGACTGAAGCCTAGAATCCACATCCTTGCCGGGGAGCCGGAGTGCAGGAGAGCTGGAGAGCTGGAGAGCTGGGGAGCTGGGGAGCTGGAGAGCTGGGCTGGAGAGCTGGGTATATCCTTCAATTTCCCGGCACTTGGACTATGATCCATCACAACAACAACAATGTCAACAACTGTCCGCCGTGAACGCACTGCCAACACATACCACGGGGTCGATGCCCTCGCAGTATAGTAGTAGCCGTTGGCCGCAGGGGAATGGAGTTCTTCAGGTCTAGGCACAGAACCGGGACCGGGACCAGGGTGCTGGGACCAGTATTTACGTGCAATACTGGCACTGTAGATACTGGAGTGTAGAGGTACTAGAGCTCCGCGGTGGACGAATGCAATGCAATGCAATGTGAGCGCGGGGATTATCGAAGGATTATCGAAGGATTATCGAACGGCTTTTGAAGGGATGAGGATGGGGATGGGGATGGGGATGGGGATGGCGGCCTAACCATGCATAGGGGAATCAAAGAGCATGGGATGAAAGAGCATGGAATCAAAGAGCATGGAATCAAAGAGCAGTGGCATGGAATCCGAGCAGTTGCAGTGAAAGTAGCAGTGGTGGAGTAGGTAGATCTACCGGGGGGCTCATCCGGCGGAGAGCTGGTACATCCCCATCCTCTCACACTCGCTTTCCCGAGCAAAATACCTAGGCAGTCTGACAGCGTGACTGATGTTTCAACTTTCTCGCCACTTTCCCGGGACCTGGAGGATCAGCCACATCTACTATATAGTAAAGACTGCCAGCACTTCAGCAGGGACCGGCATGCTTCACAGTGCAAGGAACGGGAAACTTCCGGGCCGGGCTTGGGATCAAGGTTCATGCAGCGGCGGGGCGCCCTGGGCCCATGGGGGAAGTTCAAGACGATTCTAGATTCTAGGGCGGGAATACTTTCCCTACCGTGGTACCGAAGCCAATAGCACCTGTCAAGTAGAGCCGGGGAGATGACGGGGAGATGGCGAGTGCTGATGGGACTGTACATACATACGGTTTCGTTCCCCCGGAGATGGAGATGGATATGAGGCGCGGAAAAGTGACGGCCCAGACGGGTGGAGTAGGGGAATCGTGCAAGCTCGAGATTCTTGCTGCGTACAGGTGATTATGACGATAGGAACAATACCGTAGTTAGCGGGCGTACATAGGCAGCCTGGTGGCTTCTTCAGGGCTGACGAGTGACGACGTATAACGGGACATATCATAGTACTACAGCAAGCCTCAGCACAACGTCACATACCAGCACTCGCCCTCTCGCCCTCTCGCCCTCTTTGCCCCACCTCCTCTCCCTCAGAGCTGCCCACGTTCACGCTGGTACCACCGCTGCGGCACATACCCGGAGGGTGCGGAGCCCAAACCCAAACCTACGCCCAAACCTATGCCCACCCATCACCCACCCATGCTCCCGCAAGCCCTCCCATGTTCCCGCAAGCCCCCACGCAAGCCCTCCCCACTCCCGAGTGGGTGCACGGTGCACCTGACCACTCCGTTCCGCCGGGGGCGAGCTCGAGCTCGCCCGGATCTCCCCATCCATCCGTCATTCATCCCCATCCAGCAGCAGCAGCAGCGAGCACTACCCCCTCCCCCTCCCCCCTCCCGCCGCCGCTCAACAGACTATGTACATAAGCATTGCAAACGGCGCCGGAGCCACAGCAGTGACAGCAGTCAGCAGCAGACAGGAGGATCACGATCACGATTCTCCGTTGACAGTTGACCGTGGCGAAGCGCGCGTGCAGACGGGCGTCCCCGACAGGGACGGGCGAGGACGGCTGGCTGCCTATTACTAGAGTGCTATGTGAGTGCTATGTAGAGTACTATACATACGTGTGGGGTATGGGGTAGGTATGGGGTATGTATGGGGTGCAGCAGAGCGGAGCGGTGGGACCGCGTGCGTGCGTAGGTATCGTGTTGTAGGTGTCGTAGGTGTCGTATGCACCCCGGACAGCGGACAGAAGATGCTGCTGTTGCTGCTGCGGCCACAGTAGCTATGCCCGAGTAAATATGTAATCCGCTCGTTTGCCGTCTCAGATCACTGGTGCGGCCACCTTTCTTCCTTCTTTCCTTCTTTCGCCTTCGGATCGCAAGAGCCTCTCTCTCGAGGAGGAACTCTCAAGCCCTGACCTGGAGGCCAGCCCCAGACCCGTGTCGGCCCTCGGGACGAACCGCATATCACCCGATCTCCCGACGACGACGAGGAGAACGAGGGGGACGAGGGCCGGGGCCGAGGTGTGCAGACGGTACATAGACGGTCCTTTCACAGGACACCACGTCAGTCCGCCGTCTTACCTACAGTATCGTACATACAGCGTTCGAGGGCGGAGGCGCGCGCGCGGGCACAAGGGAAGGGAGCGAGGTTGATGCTGCTGGTGGTGGTGCTGCTACTAGTGAGGAAGTGAGTGAGATGGCCAGTGGACACAGTGGACACCTTATCGCGTTGTCGCGTTGTCGACAGCTGGGGCGCTTGCATGGCCGCAGGTACATACATGCATATACATACAAGCAGAGTAGGGTATGTAGGTGCTCAGGTAGGTAGGAGAGCCAAGCACCGACCACGACACGACATGCCTGCCCGCCTGCCTGCCTGTCTTTCTTCTTGCGACATGGAGAAGTCGAGCCTCTACTCTAGCATACACCCGCCGTTCGGTATTCGCGCCGTTGAAGCAGTGACCTGGTCCAGAGTAGTGCAGGATATCGCGGCGATTGATGGGTGATGGGTGATGGGTGATGGGTGATGGGTGATGGGTGATGGGTGATGGGTGATGGGTGATGGGTGATGGGTGATGGGTGATGGGTGATGGGTGATGTGATGGGTGATGGGTGATGTGATGGGTGATGGGTGATGTGATGGGTGATGGGTGATTGGTGAGGGACCAGCGAGGATCGATACATTAGGCACATACTCTACATACGTAGACGAGGGTGTTATACATGACAACGGATAGCTCTGCCTAAGTGGGTAGCTAGTAGTTGGTTATGGTTAGTTGTTGCTAGTAGGTATAGCTAGCTGTGGAGCTATGATAGCTGTAGCTGTAGCTTCGCTCGCGAGTCGCCAGCGAGCCAGTACCAGTGCCAGTGCCAGTGCCAGTACCAGTGCCAGTGCCAGTGCCAAAACGAGAGCCAATGCCAGAACCAGAGCCGGGCCAGAGCCGAGTGGCACGGGGATGCACAACCAGCAAACCAGCAAACCAGTAACCGCAGGACGAGGAGCATCTTTTGACTACCCGCCGTAAGTACACATCTACGTAGCCGGGCAGGCGGGCAGGCGGTTACCCCGCTCCGCCGGCTCTCGGCGCGACATATTACAGACGAACCTGAGCAGTGAGGACAGTCCGTGCGTGTTGCTGCCGCAAGGCTGCGAATAGTTTCGCGGAATTGCGAACCAGGCTGGAATCCCGTAGGTACATAGTTCAGCGTGACGCACAGAATTCGGGCGTAGAGTATGTGACTATAGCAGAGTACCCTATGATCGCACCCTGAGTCTGGGTCTGAGTCGTCGTCGTCGGTGCTATATGGTAGGTCTTCCTCCTCCTCCGGGGGGCATTGTTCGGTTGACTATTACTGCTGGTATAGACAGACGGCTCATGCCTCGAAGCACTTCACCTCACCTCACCTCGCCTCATCTCGTGGAGTGTGTGGACAGTTAGTAGTTGGACGTGCTCAGTCACGTTCACGCATACCATACCATACCATACCATACCATACCCACCTATCACCTTAAACCCTCCGGCACCCGTGAGGCCGCGACTTCGTGAGTCCGTGTTGCCAGAAACAGCGCTGATTCCCGAGGAGTCCAGCCGCCAGCGCTGCATGCACCCACCCAGCTACCCACCCACCTACCCGCCAATCATCTGCCCGCCCGCCGGATGCGCCCGCAGCGTTGTCGTGACGGGACTCCTCATCGCTGGTGGGTCGTGACGTCTGCAATGCATACCGAAGATTGCTGAGCTGGTGCTGAGGGGGGGGGGGGGGGGGGGGGGGGTTTCTTTGTTCGCGAGATAGATATGTAGATGCTATCGTAGCGTGGGTATAGGGTGTACTCTATGTACCTACTCGTAGATACATGAAGTTTTTGGGCTTGTTCGCGTGGGCTCGGTCACGGCCAGCTACTCATGTACTTCTACTCTACTAGGAGGTCGTTGGCGCACGTGGGTCCACCGGCCACGATGATTTTCTTTTTTTTCTCTTTCTTTCTTTTCTTTCTTTTCCGCAGGACCTTGAGGGCCGGACTCGGCGGGCTGGACTCTATCGGACTGGCCAGCCAGTGGCTTAAAGCTTTGCCTCACAATGCTCAGCTATATTTGTGACAAAGTGCATTTGTAAAATCCCGAAGGCTTTCATGATTCATCGCGCGATCTTGTACTCGGCATATTGCGTAAGCTATGCAAGTGTGAAACGAAACGGATTGAAACGGATTGGGATTGAAACGAAACAGTCCGATCCGCTTGTACAACTATGGAGAGTATACCGGTATGGGAGTACTGTCGAGACTTCTCTGCCCGAACGGAGTAACAACACCCAGCCGGACAGCCAGCCCTGTGCGTAAACTGGGCCAGACAGATAGACAGAGAACTAGCCACGGCCACGGCCTACGGTGACACGGTACGGTATGTAGCGGTGCAACTACATGGAACAAGAGCTGCAGTGGCCCGCTGTCTTTGTCCCGTAGGCTGCCCCGTAGACCGGACCGACTCGAGTACATATATTCTCGTTGACACATCGGCACCTAGTCCCCTTCAAACCAAAAACCAAAAAACTGGCACAGCCCCGAATACCGCCCGTGAACTCCGATATATATGTGCTCACTCACTCGCATACCGGCACCGGTATCGCTCTCGAGAAAAGGAATGAATGGCTGGCTGGTTGGATAGGTATGTATGTAGGTTGTTGTGCGCATTCGCATTGTTATGAATGGAGGACCAGTCGGAGATGTCGGCGGAGAGAGAATCCACGTACCCTAAGAGGTTAAAATGGCCATTGGGTGGTACACAAGTATGTATGTGGGTAGGCAGGTCTGTGGTGTGTGAACTTTGCAGAGTAAGCCCGCCCGACGCTTTCCCTATGGCACCATAGTTGCCCTCCGCGAGGATACGAGATGGAATGGAATGGACGATGGAATGGATGACTGGCTGGCTGCGGATGGCTGGGCAGCTGCGGACGTCCTTCGTGAGGCGGGGACATTGCATTGCACTGCATTGCATGTCTGCATGTATGTAGAGTAGAGTAATCCAATGATCAATCCATCGCCGCTCTTCTGCTTCCGCCTCAAAGTCCTGACTCCTGCGGCGGTCGGGGAACGGGCGAGATACGAGATGAAGTGGATGGATGGATGGATGGATGGATGGATGGATGGCTGCGGAAGAGCTCACCGCGTCCATCCAGCCAACCAGCCAACCCATCGCCGCCCCTCCCCTCCCCCTCCAGCTGGCCGACCGGGAACGGCGAGATACCAGATGAAGGCCACGTCCGTCCGTCCGTCCGGCCGCGGCCATTCGTTGCCATTCATCGCCGCCGCCGACGCCGCCGGCCTTCCTCTTCAGTGCATCTTGGGTGCGCTGCGCCGCGCGTTGGCTGAGCGAACCCGTCCATTCGCTAGCCTTCTGTCCGTATGTATGGTACATATGATGGGTGAGATGGGATGCGGGTGGCGTCCAATCCAATCCTCGCGCTCTCACTCGTTGCACGTCTTCTCACCCACTCATATGTATTGTACACACACTCACTCACACGCATTGAGGCCGACGTATTGAGACCGACGCATTGATTCGATGCATACTGTAACTAGTGCCGTATAACTACAGACTACAGTTCATCCGAGTTCTCTACGTACCGTAGTGCTGTTGTTTCGCATGAACCGCATCCCGGTCGGTCAGTCTGTCAGTCTCGCACATCCTCTCGCACATCCTCTCGCACATCCTCTCGCACATCTTCTCTCGCAGGACTCCACGAGTTGGAGCAAGTACCTACCGTACACAGCTCGCACGCAGCGGCGGTACCCACACATACCGTACCCAGTCCGCAGGTACAATACACAGGTGGATTCGTCCGGTATGTCACATCCGCATCCGCATCCGCATCCGCATCCACATCCGCAGCCCGGCCGGCGCCCGCTGTCACCTCACCTAATGCGAACGCCATCTCGCTCGCCCAGGAAATCGAGTTTTCTCCGATCTCGATCCATTGGGCGCAGTAGGGGCAGTAGGGGCAGTAGGGGCAGTAGGGGCAGTAGGGGCTGGTCAATGCCCGGCCCCGTGGCGCTGGAGCTGGTGGAAAACAAAAACAAAACAAAAACAAAAACAAAGACAAAAACATCGCTGGTTCGGGCTGGCTGGTTGGTTGGTTGGACGGGAGCTCGCCATTTCATGGGGACCACCTGTGGGGGTGTGGTCACTGGTGTGGTCACTGGTGTGTGGTGTGTGTGGTGTGTTCCTGGAGTACGATTCGATTCGTTCGGAACTCTTCACCCTCGCCACTAGATCACTAACTACAGCCCCAAACCATCCATCTCATCAGATATATATGCAGATACATACTCGTAGATCGCCACGAACCGGTGCGATCGCCCCGTCCGAATGCGGACGGGATGGGCATTGGGGATGGTAACTACGCCGATCGTACGTACTCAACTGAGTGTTCTGCGGATACCGTATCATGGCTCGTTCGGCAGACACGGGCTGGTACTGCGGCCGGGGTTGTTCTGTTCTGTAACCTGTCGGATCCGGATGAGCTGAGCGGCTGCGAGGATGGGGATGGGGCGGACGAACCGGAGTGGGCACGGTGTAGAGTAAGGTGTGCGGATAGTTACCTACTCTGCAGACCGGTATGGAGAATACTCAGTACTATACAGTACGGCGTGGGATTGGAACGGAAACATACTACCGGTATGATAGTAAGCCTCGGCGCATCCCAATTATTACATACATACCGTAGCCATCTCTCCTGAGTCCTGACGATGGCGGCGTCGCAATTGAAGGCGTCTGTCTCTCTCCGTATGTCTGTCTGCGACGGAGTAGAGTAGAGTACGTAAGTAATTGACCACCAAGGTATGGGCGCGGGCGGTTGTGAGGCCATCGCCATCGACGAGGCACCGCGCACAGCGATTCCCCCCCGGCGGCCAATTACGACCGCCGCAGATTCGCCGTCCCCCCGTCCCCCGTCCCCCCGTCCTCCGTCCCCCCGTCCCCCCGTCCCCCCGTCCCCCCGTCCCCCCGTCCCCCCGTCCCCCCGTCCTCCTCAACAAAAGCCAATTGATGCCAAAGCCAAAGCCATCCCATCCAAACCCAGCTATCCGATGCGCCTGTCCGCCCGCCTGCAGTTGCATTCAACTTTTTTCTTTCTTCTTTTTCTTCTTCTTTGTCTTCTTCTTTGTCTTCGGGTTCACACTGCTGCACTGCTGCGCTGCTGCGCTGCTGCGCGGCGCCGCAATGGGAGTCTCGCGTCGCTCGCTCGTCGCGAACCGCGGCGGCCGAGATTATGCATGCTATCGAGATCGCGCGTGGGCATCTATCTGGTAGTTAGTCTATCTCATCCATCCACAGCACATCCCATTCACGGCCTAACCATCAGTACATCCACCCCACGCCCGGCTTCGGTGAACCCCACCCCACCCCGCCCCGCCCAGTACGGGTACAGGTACGGGTGCAGGTTGGTGTGGTTTGTATGTGTAGTGAGATTGACTACTCCGGCCCAAACAAACAAACAAACAAACAAACAGACAGACAGACAACTTGACGGCTGGCCGCAGGCCGCAAGCCGCCCACACTGCATCGTATCGCGATGGGCAGCAATGGTAATGATCCGCCTGTCGCCGGTGGGTGGTCATGTAAACCGCAAACCCGCGGACTTGCGTGTTGGACGGCGGCCGGCTGGAGTGGACCTCCGCGATCTCGCTCGCCTCCACATGCCGCCGATACTGGCTGGCACTGACACTGGCAATCGCAAGCTGGCACTGACTGACACTGGCAATCGCAAGCTGGCACTGACTGGCACTGGCACTGACACTGGCAATCGCACGCTGGAGCCCCGACTCTCGAGTCTCGACAGCCCCCCTGGTTACAGGTACAGCTACACCATGCGTACAGTGCAGTCGGATGCCCGGCAACCACAGATACAGCTGTCTGTTGCGGGTATCATGTATGCAGATACATACAGACATACGTTTTGGCAGTGTCAGTTAGGTGGTTACAGACACGGTACAGACACCCTATATCCTTCAGGTACAGACGGTACAGACCTACCTACATCCTTCAGGTACAGACCTGCACAGGTCCAATCATGCCATCTCATTCCATTCTCAACTCATCTCATCCCCCCATCCCAACGCTGCTACATACCGTTTGCGGACGCATGGGGGATATACCTAGAATACCTAGGACCTAGGTACCGTAGGTATGCGAATAGTATGGGATAGGTCCGGTGAGGAATCAGGATGTATCATCAATCACGGCCAGCGACTGCTTGAGCGGCTGTGGAGTGCTGGAGTGTCCAGCTCCGCGGGGACACGATCCGTTACCCACCCGTTACCCACCCGTTACCCACCCGTTACCCACTTCAAAGTTCAGTTCAGGGCAGTCCCTTGGTTACATAAACCTTTCGTTTTTGAGGCGATCGACCGCCCTCCCTCCCCCCATCCCCCCTCCATCCCTCCCTCCCTGCCGACCGCCCGACCGACCGCCCGACTGACTGACCGGCAATTCGGAACTCCCCCCCCGGCCCCCCCTCGATCCCTGCACTGGTGTGTTAGAATCTGGGAGCCGAAACGCTGCCCAGGTTACCCTACACACTTCACGGCGACGTTCACGGTTCAGGATGGGCCTAGGGGGTGGGCCAGCCGAGTTTACCCGCTCGCTCTGTTTGTTGGCTGGCTGCGAGTCTGCGAGTCTGCGACTGCATCAACATCACGGATTCATGGACGGAAAGGGAAACGGGAAGGCTGGGCTGGGCTCAATGGGCTGGGTTGGGATGGGTGGCGACTTCGCGGTGGAGTACGTAAGGAACTACATGCATACATATGTGCGGTGCCTTGCATCCACCGCGGCGGCTAGCTCACGAGACAAACCAAACGGGGCTGTCCAGCATCCAGTCAGCCAGTCAGCTAGCAGCCAGCCAGCCAGCCAGCCAGCCAGCCAATCAACCAGCCAGCCAGCCAATCAACCAGCCAGCCAGCCCATAGCCAGCTAGAAGGGTTCCCAAGCTTCTCGAAGGAAGGAAAGAACGGAAAAAGGCAAACACGCGCGGATGCGTGGGGCGTGGGCGTGGGCGTGGGCGTGGGCCAAGGGTTGGTCATGCGTTTGGTTGGTGGCAGTCCGTTTGGGCTGGTCGCCGTCCGTTTGCGGCATCTCTATGCCGTACCCTGCCCCGCTGGCGCTGACAAGGGAGCGAGCGAGGGAGGGGGGGTCGCGTGTGGGGGGGATGGGGATGGGGACGGGATGGGGGCGGTCGTTTTGAGGCGGAACGATGCAAACGAAACGAACGAGCGAAACGAACGAGCGAAACGAACGAGCGAAACGAACGAGCGAAACGAACGAGCGAAACCTTCTCGAGCCGCCGGCCGACTGACCGACCACGCACGGACAGAGGACGGATACGGATAGCGAGCTCTCGCCCCTCGAGTCTCGCCAGCTAGAGTAGCTCAAGAGGCGGAAGGTGGAGGTGGAGGTGGAGGTGGAGGTGGAGGTGGAGGTGGAGGTGGACCGTGGATCGTGGAGAAACGTGCTCCATGATGGCGCGGTAGCTGTGTGTACTAGGTCCTACTATACTAGCCAGCACGATACTCTGGTACGGCATGTCTGTAGCGCGATGTTTGCTCGCTCCCCTCCATGAAGAGTTCAGTCCATCCCCAAGTTCCAACAACCACCTACCCAAGCCTCCAAGGTCAAGACCCACCTCCACCAGCGAATTCCGGACTTCACCGGACATCGCCGGAAGAGAATCGACTTCTCCGCTGAGCAGTGAGAACTGAACAGTGAGAAACTGGTCTTCTGACCTCTTCTTATCCGAACACCGACGGGCCTACCTACTCTATGTACCCACCTCTTTCTCCATATTACCCAGCTTCCGGACCGAATGACATCGGCACGGGGATGACTACGAACGAGGGTGCACGGACTGCAAAATTATAAGTTCAAACCAAACTACGCCAATCCAATCCGAGCCTGAGCTTGGCTTGATCGATAAGAAACAAATCGTGGGGAAGTTGGAACAGGCAGACAGGCAGGACCTTGGTGGATAGGTCCCTAGATAACTAAGCTAGGACGAACCACGGACACACACAACGGATCTGGAGCGGCGCGGGGGGGGGGGGGGGGGGGGGGGGGAACTTCAACCGACGTTTTGCTGATTCTTGCTACCTATCGATTCTCGCGGAGATGTCTGGATGTCTGGCACTTGTTTGCTTGCGCGGCGACGGACGAGTCGACGGTTCGAGCGTGGAAATCCCCATCTACGTACTAGTACTCCATCTGTCACAGATCAGCGCCAAAAGGAGCTGCTCTGCAGTGCGAGTAGCGACGACGGATTCCGACATCGCAACTACTCTAGGTATGATACTCTACGGTAGCACACGCACGACAAGCACGACAGGCAGGCACGACAGGCAAGACAGGCACGACAAGCAAGCAACTGATCCCTTCTGGGTAGGAAGGTAGGAGGGTGGTTACCACTCTGTACTGTATTCTACATATCGCCAGCCGCGGATCCCGTAACTATGGTGGTCTTGTCTAGTCTTGTCTGGGGCAGTGGATTATGGGGTATGTAAGGTAAGGATTTTCCATCTGCAGCGAAGGGAAGGGAAGGTCATGCTGACCAAGACGTGTGGTGGTGGTGGAGGTGCCAGTGGTGTACGGCGGTTGAAGCTGATCACCGTCCGTCCACCGTCCAGTCCCAAGTGAGCTCCTCTCTGGAGCCTGGAGAGAAATGGTTCCTCACGCATCCGAGACCATATATAACCACGACTCAGTTAGCCCATACCATACCTACCATACCATTCCGGGAGACGTCTCCCACCCAACTCACCCAACCCACTACCTGGATACCTATTCCCAACGGACGCTTGCCACGTCGACAGTCTTTAGGGATGTAGCAGCGAGAAGGACGTATGTAGGATCACCCTCGCGCTGCGTAAGTAAGGACGCCCTCGCGTCTCGTCTCGTCCCTCTCGCGCTGACGGGCCGGCCGTGTGGATCTGAATGGCCGACCGACGATGTGCACCGATATGTACCGTATTGAAGTCACTGAGTTATTGGAGTTATGTATTGCTTTGCTTGCCTGCGTAGGGTGCTTACATATGTTCCGCACACTCTTGTGCACTCACTTCACCTCACCTGTCTAGGTATTCTACATATGCTGCCAGATCCAGTGCAGCAAGCAAGCAAGCAAGAACCCTCGTTTCCTTTTGGGGGGAAGGGGCGTGGAGTGACAAAGCAAGAATACAGGTATGGAGAAGGCGACACAGCAGCAGCAGCAGCAGCAACGAGGGCAGCTACCTATACTTACATGACTGCCCGGCGTCTGCCCTGTCCTCTTTCTTTCTTTGGATATATGTACTTGCTCCTCCAGAGTCCACTCTCGTTCCGTTCCCACGCCCTTCATGCGGCGGCGGGGATCCGACGTTGCGCGGCGCAGCGCAAGCAGGCAGGCAAGCAGGTTGGCAGGTTGGCGTGGTGCGAACAGATGGACATTGGACATTGGACATTGGACACTGGGAATCAGGTTGGTCCGTCTGGTCGGTCAGTTCATGCTCTGCTCTACTCTAGGTGCTCTACTCTGCTGAATTCCTGGCCAACGGGAACGGGAGAAAGAGGTCACAAGTTTTTTTTCCTTTTCTTTTCTTTTCTTTGGACTCACTGTCGTGTCGTGTCCGATGTCACTCCCTTCAGCCATTGCACCGGCCGACAGACCGCGACAGACAGACAGACATTGGCTCCAGTGGAGGGACTGGAGGGAATGGCATGCCGAAAAGGAATCAGTCTGTTGGTTGGATGGTGGGTTTGTGTGATGCTTGTGGTGGTGGTTGTCGTGGTGGTGGTGGTGGTGGTGGTGGTGGTGGTGGTGGTGGTGGTGCAATGGCAATATCGATTCGGTGGCACCATCCATCCATCCATTGGTGTTCTGTTCTGTTCGGGCGATTCGACAGAGAAGATTCGCGTCCCCGTCTGCAGCATTGGGTATCATACTTCAAGCCCCACGAAAACGAGACGAGAAGTGCGAGAGGAGTGCAAGTGGAAGAGGAAGAGGACGAGGAAGAGGAAGAGGAAGAGGCGAGCACGCGGTTGAGAGATGCTTGGCCGGCCGGTCGGCGATTGGGGCGTTGATTGGGTGGCCGTCCGTAACTACCGGGGTTGTGCGGGGGGAGGGACTCTCTCTACTCTTTGTACTAGTAGTACATATCATACGGAGAGTCGGAGACCTCTCGACAAGTCTACTCTAGCTAAGGGAAGATCCGAAGCATGTCGCACCGACGTCGCATCAGCGTGGAACAAGCCATGTCCCAGTCGGTCTCTGTCCCTGTCCCTGTCCGGTCCGATCCAAGTCCCAGTCCACGCCATGGCTAGTAAGTTATGACCTAGCGGAGAAACAACACACACCACCCCCCCCCCCCACACATCATCAGCATCATCATCATCATCATCATCATCGGCGGCGGCGGTGGCCGTAGCATCATCGTCGCAGACGAGGCGGGCGAGTAGGATCCCGTCATTGTGTCTCGCCATCGCTGACTGCCCGTACGTAGAGTAGTTTCCCGGGTCGCAGGTTTCTTGAGGCGAGCAGCAAGCAGCAGTAGCAGCAGACGGTCGGACGGACAGACGGACACACGGCGCCATGGCGTGACCGACTCCCGAGGTGCTGTGGAGCAGGGCACGTACTCTACAGTATAGGCGGCCAGTGTCTCGTAGGTAGAGTACCTAAGCAAGCACTCACCTATGTTACATGTATGCCATTCTCTCCTGTGCTATGGCAATTCTTCGGGAGTGGTGGTAGTGGTGGTGGTGTGTGCGCGAGAGACGGAGGGAGAGGGAGAGACACCGGTACCATGCGATACGATACGGGCGTTGAGATATCTCTCCTATCGACTGGATGTTTTGTTTCCCCCTACCCAGGCCACACAATCAATCCTCCGGATCTCCTCCATGGCCCACCGGCCAAAAATAAATAATATGTAAATAAATAAATAAATAAATAAATAAATAAATAAAACCGCAAGCTTTGTGACACCACAACAATCACCACAACAATCATCACAACCACCACAACAACAAAAAAACACAGCTTCTGCAGAGTCCTACCCACATCCCCTCTCTGTGCCCACCCGCCCCCAATCGACTGCCGCCGCCTTTTTCTTGCTTTTCTTTCTTTATATACCCGCACCTCCCCGGATTCTCGCTCCCCCATTCACCCTGCCCGTCATAATCGATACCCCAGACTCACCTACTAAAATCCCCACCATCCAGCCGGCGCATCCATCAACACGCCCGCCTACCAGCTCCCCACAATCCCCATCTCCGGCTCCGAACCGTCGCTCGCAGCACATCCATAGCAGCAAGCGACCAGTAGCTCCGTTTTCCCCGTCTTGTCCTCTTCGTTTGAGAGACGAGATAGAGAGATTCTTCATCGGACTGCACTCGAATCACAACCCTCCCCCCCCCGTCTTTGACCTCCCCTTGCAAGCATCGGGCTACCTAGCGTGGTCGTCCACTACGAGTTAGTTGGTCTGATTAACTGCCTTTCACCTTTCGTCAGTCCCTCCCACTGCAGAACCCACCCACCCACCCACCCACCCATCCACCCTCGTCCTCCTCCTCACATCCTCCCCCCAATTTTATCCCCACCTGCTGCAGCTTGCAGCTTCCGTCGTCGCCGTTATAAGACTTGCGCTTCCCCTCACCTCCCACATATCCCCTCCACACTCCCGCCAACTTGAAATACCCCGACAACAATACAAACAATACCAACAACATCATCAACATCAACATCAACCACCACGACAGACTTCCATCATCGTAGCTCCGAACTGACTCCTTCATCCCATCGGTAGAACAGCATTCGGACCCGACATAACCCATATACGCCTTTTGGAAACATCTGCCCGAAAGCAAGCAATCCTTTCGACTTTGCTTTGCTGCCCACTTCGAAAAAGAAAAGAAAGAGAAAAAAAATCCAATCTGTTTGTCGAAACGCCCCCACAGCAGCGCCTATCAAGATTCGTTTCCTCATCCCCAACCGATAAGCCCTAAATCCATAGCACCCAAAACACCACATATCTCTCATCGCACCACATCAACACCATGTCGTCGCCGGCCGCGGAAAGCTATCAACCATATGTCGAGGATTACGACTCGGTAATATCGGAAGTCATTCCGATAGCACGTCGACAACACCATCGCGGGAAATCCAGTCTTTCGCAAGAAATGAGCTCGAGCTACGACGGCGTTTCGGATTCCGGTTACTCGTCGACAAACACCCCAAACAACGAGACCCCTCCACCTCCCACATCCGCTACCCCGGCCCCAACAAGTACCACGCCCGGTCCCGGCGGACGAAAAGATGCCTTCAAGCGAGCTTCGACACCCGGAATCCAGAGGCCAAGCAGCAAGGCTTACAACCGCACCTCATCCCCGGCTGTCCCACGGAATATCCCCGGCGCAAAGCCTCGAGAGAGATCGCCGACCATGCCATCGACCGGCGGTGCTGATGAGTGTGACTGTGCCGATTGCAAAAGGGACACATCTACCACATCGAAGGCGTCGCCTTCGTCGCCGAGTGCGCTGAGCGGATCGTACAACGGATCGTACAGCCAGTCGCCGTCGTGGCAGGGAAGCTACCATTATCCTCAGACGTCGAGATACGATGATCCTAGCTTCGACGGTACTTACGGTAGGGAGCCTGAGAGGAAGAGGTCGTCCATCCCTATCTCTCCCGCACGCCCATCCTCAGGCTTCAGTGGCGCCACTGCTTCATCGTACACCGTCCCATCAGGATACCCAGGGTACTATTCCTCGTCTCCGGTCTCGGCACCGATCCCGTCCTCGACCTGTCCTCCCACAGCTTTCTCGGCATACGCTCCGCCCCCTCTGAACACGTCGCTCGGGTCTTCGGATCCCTCGGCGTATTCGCCATACGGTCCTCCGCCCATCCCACCGTACGGTAGCTCGTACGGTCACGATTCGTGGGACCGAGTGCCGGTAAATCCCAATTCGTCGTCGTACGACTACGGTTCGATGCCGCCTCCGCCGGCGTTGCTCTCGGGCAACACCACAAAACGCCGTAACAGCGTCAAGCAATCGGCACACCCGGAGGGTGAAGAATACTCACCCCCTCAGCGGCGACCTAGCCGTCTCAGCGGCGATCGTCCGACTTCATGGGCGTCGGCACCGTACCGTGACTTTGATGGATTCGACCGTAGCATGTCTGTCCCTCCTGGTGGCAACGTCGCCGCCGCCGCCGCCGAGTCCAGTCGCCGGAAAACAACCACCCCCGGTCCCCAGCCGCGACGCCGCGAAAGCAGCCATTCGCAGGGTGTAGCCGGTCAGTTGTCCGGCAGACTCGGCCCTTCGGCGTTGTCTCGCGCTATGGAGTCGTGCGCCATCTCGGATGAACCACCGGTGCGAAGCCACTCTCGGTCGCACTCCGACTACTACTACAGCCACAGCCCTAGCAACAGCCACGGTCAGCTTACCCGTCGGGAGCCCGGTACCATGTCGGGCGGTTCTTACCACTACGACGAGCAGGTCCAGATGACCATGCCCGACCAAGATGGGGAGACCTTCACGATGAGATATCCTGCGGGAATCCCCGTCAAGTTGCAGTTGAACGGTGGGACTCACAGATCCGGCTCCAAATCTAAGAAGGAAAATATTGAGTGTAGTGTAGCATACCGATACGTTCAGCAGAGACAGCAAGAAGTCCACAACCAGTTGCGTTATGGTGCGTTGGAACACGGCAGCCGCAAGCCCAGCGCAAACGACTACTCGTACCGCCCAAGCGCCTATGGCCGCCGAGCAACGATGAGTGGTGCCGGGTTGTAAGGGTTTGAGGATCTCACAACCACCAACCAGAAAAAGAGAGAGGCGGCTGTTCTTATACATATTTTTCTTTCTTTCCTTCTTCGTGTCTCCTTGCGGGTGTGTGTGTGAAAGGAGTCATCGGTTCTCTCAGCCTGGTCGGTCGGTGTGACTCTACTATCTATTCGGACGGACGGGCGGCTATCTATTTACATCTACGGTGTGCGCCACAGGTTGTGGTGTATTCTCTTGTTCGCTTCTATTAGGTATATCCTCGTGGAAATATTTTGCTATGTACCTCTCCCTTTTCCTTTTTCCTATCTTTTATTTTTTCTATCTTTTCCTTTGTCGGCGAAATGGGTACTTCTGGGGGCGGCTCGGGTCGGTTCGGTCGGCGGATGTGTGTTTTTATTTTTGATTTCACCTGTTCTGTTTACGGGCGTACATATTCCTGCTACCACTTGTTTTTGTCGGTCTGTTTTTTGGTCAACGAAAGAGATTTCGGCGACTGGTAAACAAAATTCGATGACAAGAATTCTTCGAACGGCTTTGGCTTTCTAACTCTACTCTACTCTGCTCCTTATGCGAAAAAGAAAAAGAAACTGCGTCTGTCGTGTCGTCGTCGAACGGGGGGTAGAATCCCTGGTCTTGACTTGATCACTGCGGCACGCACTTTTTTTTTTTTTTTTTTTTTTTTTTTTTTTTTTTTGGGGGGGGGGGGGGGGGGGGGGGGGCAGAGTACATCTTACACTCTTTTGGATACCTTTCATTTGTCTTGTCTTTTCTTTCTTTGCGTACATTTTGTTTGTTTTCTACGATTGTTGGGGTCGGGGTCGGGGTTTGGTTGGGGTTGGGGTTGGTTGTGGTTTTGGCTCGGGACGGGATGGTGGGATGGGAGGAAACGGGATTATCGGGCGGGCATGAATGAGAATGAAGAATGAACTCGACGGGGAATGGGGAACGGCTTTGCTCGATAATACGATACGATATTAACGGTGGATACGGGACTTTGGGACTTTTGGGGGAGGGGGTTATGGTTTATGGATGGAATGTGTGTGTGTGTGTGTGTGTGTGTGTGTTGGAGGGGGGACACTGGATAGTGGATAGGAGTTGGATATCTTTTTACTTACTGACCGACCGACCGAGCAGTATACCGTACTGCAGTTATTACAGTACAATAGTATCGTCTATCTTACTATTTACATTAAGTAGCTGGAATGACAATAACTATTCTTCCGACTCTCCAGCAGATGTTCTGTTCTACCTTTCTACCTATCTCCTCTGTTTCTTCTCGTTTTCTATCGGTATCCTGATAGATATCCTGACAGTGACCGTGTGATCTCTCGCTCCGACGCTCCGTAAACTTTTTTCTTTCCGATGTGTGGATGTGGATGTGGATGTGGATGTGGATCTGGATTGCCCTGCATCTTGTTTTTTGTTTTTTTTTGCTTTCGAGAATGAGGGTGTGGTTAATTATGACGATGCGGAGTCGAGTAGAGTCGAGTGGGAGTGGAGTGCAAGAAGTGCAACTTGGAGTGCAAGAGTGCAACTTACATAGAGTGCAAGAGTTCAACTTACATAGAGTGCAACGGTCGTGATCACTGGGCACTGAGTGGTGGGCTCTCCATGGGTGGTGGGCAGTGGGTGGGTGTGTGTGTGCCCCACTGCGAACTCCGCGCCGCGTGGGTGGGGACTTGGAAGTTGACTGTTGGAGGGTCACATTGGTCGTGTGAATGCAGGATGATGTGAGTGTATCGTGGTCGTGGTCTGGTTGGGGTGGGGTGAGGATGGTGTGGTGTGGTGGTCGGGGAAGTATGTACTTGCGATCACGGGATCACGGGATTATTGTCGTTGTTAACATCGTTGTTATTGTTGTGTTGTGTTGTGTTAAGTTGTGGGTGCAGAAAGGAAGGAGACGAAGACGACCATTCAATCCTGTTCCCGCTCTTGCTCTTGCTCCTGCCCAGCTCCCGCGAGATCTCTCGACATCTCGCTCGGAGGCTTCGAGCTTTGAACAACGACCGCTTGTCCTTCCGTCGGCGCGCGGATACCAGTACGCGGATACCGGTACGCGGCCCCGCGGCTACTCGGCATCGAGGGTCGTGGGACGATGGGATGATGGGATGATGGATCCTGTGTTTTGAGTTTTTGCTCATTGGTTCGGTGTCTTCAACCTTGTGCTGTGGAGTCGTGGAGTCGTGGGGATGGATGATCGGCGTGTAGGGTTGTAGGGTGCGGATCCGGAGCGAGATTGCATCATGGCCTAGGCAGAGCACGTAGTCGGGGGAGATACCAAGTATGTAGATGTTGGAACTTGGGGGATGAATCATGAGCACAGCGGGCTCAGCTGTTGCGGACGGCGCTGCATGTATACTATGCACAGATCTGGAAGGAATGCCGAAGGTAGGGCCGAATAGTACCGTCATGTTTGTGGCGAAAGAAGCATTACTCCGTGATTCAAAACAGGGCTCGCCGGGCGAAACAATTGCAACTTTCAAGAATGACCGTTGGCGAGTCGTCCCCGGTAGGTACCGGTAGTTAGGGAGCACATGGACAACCGACCTTGGCTCGGACCACGGCTGCTACTATTTCAATATGGCTGGGCGGGCGGGCGGCGTTACCATAGTACGTAGTAGACGACTGCCGAGCCGCAGGGCGGCGGCGGCGGCGGCGTCAGTTCGTTACCGCCATGATCCAACCTTCGTCCTGCCTGCAATGCGCACGCCCCCGCCCCACCGACCCAGCAAGCCAACTCACGGAGCGGGGTGATCGCCCGCCGAGCGGAGAAGATGAGATAAGATAAGATCTCCCCCCTCCTCCCTCCCTCCTCCTGCCCCGCCCCCCCACTCCTCTATCACGAAGGGAGGCCTGAACCTACCACCCCGTGCCCTCCTCCGTGCCGCACCTCGAAGCGAATCTTACAGCTTACATACATAGCCTGTCACTGACAGCTCTGCGGAATGACGCCTGCCTGCCTGCCTGCCTGCCCGCTCCGTCCCCTAGTTACCCTCGCTCGCTAGGCAGTTCCGCAACGCACGCACACTTTTCTCGTTCGCTCGCTCGCTTCGATCCGCGGTTCTGCATTCATTTTTTGGGGGCGTCGCCGCGTCGATGACGCGGAGCTCTCTCCACCGCTCTCCACCGCTCTCCACCGCGCCGGCAAATTTCGTTGCTCCCCGTAGGTCGGTATGTAGGTGTGTAGTTTGTTGGGCGGGGTGGGGCGGGGTGGAGTGAAGTGGGGGGAGTGAAGTGGGTGAAGTGGGGGGAGGGGACAGCTCAGTGCTGTACAATACTGTACATTGGTACGTAGCGTGGCTTGGTGCTGGCAGATAGATGAAATGGCGTCGACCGACCGATTGTGGGAGGGAATGCTCGATCGCGATGGACATCTCACCTGTAGAGTATGTATATCATATGAGTAGAGTACTCTATCGGTACGGGATGTAGCGAGATAGATAGAGAGAGAGAGAGGGTGAAGTGGCAGTGACGATGAGGGGTGAGGAGGGGAAAGCAGAAAAGAGGGGAGGAGGCCTTGGAGGTGACATCGCCGCCGCCGCCGTGGCCCGTTGCGTTGCGAATGCTTGTGTAGCTAGCATGGTGGGGGAGCTCCGCGGAAGGTCACTACGTGTCACTCGCTTCCAGTCTTCCCACAGGAAGGTGCGTTTGCACGGAAAGATCGATCTGCCCGCCTGCCAGTCCGAATGCAAAGGTCTAGAGTGGACGTACGTGCTGGGCTCAATCCCGGGCTCGACTCCGCACCGCGTTGTATGTACAATACGTATTATTGATTACCCGCGGACGATGGCCGCCCGCCCACCGACCGACCGTTTCGACTCTCCCTCCCTCCTCTCCCTCTCGTCTCCAGACAACCTACATGTTCCAGGCTTGTAAGACGCAGTTAATCGAGCCAACAATCGTGCTCCCCTCGTCGTCCTCGTCCTCGCCTGGACGAAGCGAATGCAGGGTGTGGCGAATCTCGAGGCACTCGACGACACTGGCTGCTTGGGCCGGTCCGGAGCTAGAACCGGGGATATACCGTAGTCAAAGATGAAAGATGAGGCCCGATCAATGCGGGAAATCGGACGAAACGAAGGTGTCGAACACGAGCACACGACACATACCGCGCGCTCTCTTGATGCGTGATGCGCGATGCAGTGCAAAAAGGTGGGTTCTTCCCCAACGTGGAGTCGGCTTGGTACATAACCCTCAGAAACATCATCTCGCGGCGTCGGATGCCACTGGCTGGTCGCCGGCTGCGCATTGATGTGACGGACCCTCCCCCCGCCCGCCTAAACTGGTCACTGCACCGGGTGACAGCTGTGAGCCAGCAGTGTCCGGACCTGGGGACCCCGCCCATCCCACGCCTGCCACGTATATATGACCCACGGAAAACGGTTCGTCCAATGTTTCCGCGTCGTCAACTGGCAGCGCTGCGGTCGTGTATGAATGTGAACGTTGAGGTGTATTGCACCTACCCCGCAGTGATTGGGCAGGAGTGATGGGCGGCCATAGATATCGCTCTACCTATTCGGTCGTGATTCGTGAATGGTGCACATATGTATGTGGGTATGTACGAGTACGTGAGGGGATGGTAATATACGATACATACGATACCTGCACTCTGCGTACAGTACGTTAATCTCACTCACTCAATCACTCACTCACAAACGGGGAATATGTACAATACATACCCCCCCCCCGACCCCGACCCGACCCCGACCAGCAGCAATTGCAGCAAAAAGTCTACCAGTAGTACTCGTGCCAAGGTGGTTAACACCACCCCGGATCGCTCGTAAGCTCGCAACCCAGGGCACTGCTACGGAGTGCCTGACATGTCAAGCAGGTATGACACGTGTACCATTTCTTCCCTCGTCCGCCGCAATCAACCCCCCCCCCCTTTCACCACCACAACCACAACTAAATAATGCCACCAAAGCGGGAGCTGGAAGTTGAGATCTATAAGTCCATTGAGACTCAGATTCAAAAGGCTATCAACGTTGTGGGGGCAAAAACAATCAATTATTTACACGAGCCCTCTCGCGAGCAGCGCGCACACCAGCACCAGCGGGCTTCTTCGCTTGCGCTTAGTCATTTGCACGCGCGAGGATCAAATTCGCACAGCTCGTAACCATCTTCTTGCGAGCGCACTTCCTAATCGTACTAAGAGATCTAGATAGAGGCAAACTGTAAGTTCTTGATCTCCTGAAAGCTTTTTATTACTTCCTGTCCGGTCACTCTTCGATTGTTGACCGTTCCATCTCGCTCGTAGTCTTTGTGGTGGAAGTTCGAACTCCCGAGCAGCAGCAGCAGGAGGTTTTGTTTTTCCTCTCCTCTCTCCTCCACAATGTCGATAGCCTCTTGAATCTGAGTCCTAATAGACTCACAGAGCTCTAATTCAAGTTCCTGCTTTGATAGAATTAAATAATTGTGGTTGTGGTGGTGAAAAGGGGGAGCGGGGTGCTCTTGAGCGGGGTGCTCGCGAGTGGGCTCGTGTAAATAATTGATTGTTTTTGCCCCCACAACGTTGATAGCCTTTTGAATCTGAGTCTCAATGGACTTATAGATCTCCACTTCCAGCTCCCGCTTTGGTGGCATTATTTAGTTGTGGTTGTGGTGGTGAAAGGGGGGGGGGGGTTGATTGCGGCGGACGAGGGAAGAAATGATACACGTATCATACCTGCTTGACATGTCAGGCACTCCGTAGCAGTGCCCTGGGTTGCGAGCTTACGAGCGACCCGGGGTGGTGTTAACCACCTTGGCACGAGTAGTAGCCCGTGAAGATAAATCACCGCTGCCGATGCAAATCAATATACCGTACGTCTGTTCCCTTCCCTTCGGTCCAACGACGACCGGCGCACGGAAAAGCACCAATACCAATGAAGCAAACCGCCGAAGAGGAGAAAAAAAGTTTTTTTCTGACTGCAGTCCATTTCATCCATCGCATGGAGCGGTACCAACCAGATTATTCCTGCCGTGATGTGATGGCGTTGGCTGTTGACTGTTGGCTGTTGTTCGCTGTGTCGTTGTCGTTGTCGTCGTTGCCGTTGTCGCTGCCGGTGTCGTTGTCGTCGCCGTTGTCATCGCCAGACTGAACCGGCGTATTTATTGTACATACATCCCATATTTACCTACATACATGAGAAATATAGTGACTGTGCGCATCGCGAGTGACGTGGTGTTTCTCTCCTTCCTCCTCTCTCCCCCCACACACGACACACACGACACACGACATACATACATAGACAACCGCACGCGCGCAGACACAGGAAGATCTTCGATTTCGATTTCTGGGGAGCGGAGATACACACTCTACCTACTCTACCTACATACCTACATCAGCGCGCAGATGTTTATGTGCGGAATCGAGATTGAGGACGGAATCGACTGCGTTGGTGTTGGTGTTGGCGAGGGCCCCCCGCTGGACGCTGGATGGATGGATGGTTGGAGGAGTCATGGGGGAGTCATGGGGAATCACTCTGCGCTGATGGGCAAGTGAGCGGGGGAGACGGTGGGAAAGAGGGCGGATGCGGAGGTTGATAGCAGTTGGGAGGGAGGGAGAGGCTCGGGTTGGATGATGGGAGGGAGAGAGGCTTGGGACCTTAGATTGGGTCCGAGGAATGATGGCGGACTATTCGGTGTCCAAGGTCGATCGCGAACGGGCCTGGCCCGGGAAGCGGCCCGTCTGGGGCGGGATAGCGATACCTCGCCCTATGCTACGACACGGTGCCTTTGTTAGAGGAACAGCGACCAACGGCTCCTGGAATTTGCGCACGGCATTCTCAATATTCTCGACGTGCAACACGAGCCAGTCCTTCCGTATTTCGATTGTATAGGATATGTATCGGCACCCCGTCGGGCCCAGTCCACAATTCCCCTCCAAACGACGACTATATGAAGAGTCATCTCCTGTCCGCTCCTCCTCCTTCCTCGTTCGCCCATCTCGGAACCGCAAACGGCATCCTCGCACAGAGACCTTGACGCCTCCTCGCTACATCTCTACACAGGCAGCAGAGAGGCCAAGATCCGGGCCAGAAAGAGGGAATTGCGGGTGAAACAGGCATGCCCTGCCTGGTTGTTGGACTTGGGTTCTTGCCGGGATAAACTGGGACTAACGCTCCAAGCGGAAGCTGTTGCTATTTTGTTTATCATGAATTGATGCTCTACCCTACATCAACTCTAGGAACGAGCGGTTCTCCTGATAGCCCTCGTGCTCCGCTTCCATCGTGAAGATAACTACCGTTAGAGTAGTACTCCGGAAGCTCACCGGTGACTCTACGGTCCTACGGCGAGTAAGCACGGGTATCCGCAACCGAAGCATAATACACTTCAGCAGTCCGGTCGGCCTTTGCTCCTTCTAGTGCTGCATCGCTAGAGGGGGGTGTTTATTAGTAAACACACCCACACGCACGGCGCCGGGCGGATATCGATCCTAGCAAGCCTTTTTCGCCCCCCAGAAGATCGCCACATATTCAGGGGAAACCAACTAAAGCACATTAGCCCGTCAAACTTGAGGCATCCTCCCATGTTACGGATCCCATTCGGGCCTAATCACCGAAAATCTCTGCCAATCGTGTTGTCGAAATGTCAGTCTAATAAAGTGCTGCAATTGCTTGTACCAACCACCGTACTCGGTGCCCACCCCCCGGCATCCTACCGTGTGTGGCGGTTGCAGATATCACGAGGGGAGGGATGAAGGAGATCAGAATAACCGATGACTGATGCATTTCCCCTTTCCTATGCGGGTGGGGGACGAGGGGGGGAACTGGATATAAAATCCAGGCACTTCCGCCGGAAAAGTTTTGTTGGTTCTTCAAGCTCGTCGTCACTCGTTCACACAAGCCACTCATTCTTTCCAACCTTCAACTTCAGACTTCACCGTCGTCCACTCGCTCAACGCAAATACCAAACACAAAACAAAAACAAAACCTCCCCCCAAAACAACAACAATCAAAATGCAGTTCTCCCACGTCATCCTTGCGGTCATCGCGGCCACGCCTGCCCTCGCCTACCTCGACTGCGGCGGTGGACGCGCTCCCATCAAGACCACCGTGATCGGCTGCCCCGGCTACGTCGAGCCGACCACCGCGGTCGCCTACCCCGTCGTCGAGGAGACCCCCGTCGCCACCTACGCCCCCGAGGTGACCACCAGCAGCGTCGTCTACCCCGTCGAGACCCCCGTCGTGTCGTCCTACACCGTCGAGACCACTCCCGTCACCTACGCTCCCGAGGAGACCCCCGTGGCCAGCACCTACGCCCCCGAGGAGACCCCCGTCGACACCTCCGCGCTCGTCGCCACCCCCGTCCCCACCACTTTCCACCCCTCCTACATCACCCCTTCATACGTCGCCTCAGTCTCCGCCGCGCCTTCCGCCTCCGGCAACTCCACTGGCAACCCCAAGCCTTCCGGCTCGGCCGTCCCCTCGGCTGTTCCTGAGGGCAGCGCTGGCCATGTCCTCCCCGGCATGCTCACCGTGCTCGGTGTTGTCGCTGCTGGTATGATGCTCGCTTAGATATCTACTGGTGCTCCAGCGTATTTTTGTGTTATGAGGAATGTAGATAGATGGCTCTCTGATCTGGCGGTGGAAATAGTAATTGTTAATGTTGTCTAAAAACGGTGCCCATGATTTGTGAAGTGACTCTTGATATCACCGTAAACAAATAACCAAACCATCCATTCCCGAAACCCCCGTATCCAGATACTATCATAGATCTAAGTACCGACAAGACGGAGCTCAAGCTTCGGGCAAACATGTCACTGGCTCGCTCGGTCCCCTGCACCAACCAACCGTCGCCTTGTCGCCTTACGCTTTGTCCCACCCACTAATCTGCCCTACGAGGATCCACAAACTTGCGCGCGCACTCATTCCGAACCCAACCTCGTGCAAATGCATACCGTCGGTACATACTCTACATATTCTACAGATTCCACGAACAACCCAAATGCAGCGAAAATACCATACCAGACCAGACTGAGTCTTGAAAGAGAAGAGAAGAGAAGAGACCAAAGCGCTGTCAGCGGCACGCGCGAAAACCCTGCCGACTCCCTGCCGAATCCATGCCGCTGACGGTGGCAGTGGCACAGCGCGGGAGTACCTGCCGTAAAATTAACGCTGCCGTGGTTTGTGTTTTTGCTTCTTCTTCTTCTCCTCCAACAACAACCGATCGCCGGGAATGGTGCCGTTTCGGATGGGAGTGGGCACTGGGGGGGGAGGGAGTGGCGGCTGAGTATTGGTGTTTATTGGTAATGTGCGGCTGACTTGGGACAGAAGGTATTGACTGTATTGTATTGTAGAGTACAATACAATATGAGGGAGGTTTGATTGCTTGATTGATTGTGGCATGGGTATCTAGAGAATCTAGGTTAGTGGGGAGTGGGGGCACTTTTGAGGCCCCGAGCAGAGTAACGACTTCAGCGTTCGTTGGTTCGGTAGGCAAAAAAAAACATTAGATACCCATCACAGTTCCACAGTTCCACAGTTCCACCTAACCAGGTACTCTGAGTGGGTAGGCTTGTGGTATTTAGCCGGCTGGGACTCACGTATGGGCCAAGGCAATGGCATTAATTTGAATAGATTGGTCCTTCCGACTCCTCTCTGGTAAGTTGGCAGCTCTCTCAGTAGGCAACGCGGACGAGGGTTCTGGAAGGGATTTGGTTTACGTTGTTTTCACAGTTGGATTTGAGATAGAATGATGGTATGGTATAATAATAGTATCTACATGGTACCTAGGTAAATGGCCGCCGGGTGGGTGCCGTTATGAATAGAGTATCGTAGGATGACATCCATATCACTCGCGGGGTTCGTGCGCAACTTTAAGTTTGGTTTGGTGCGTGGGGCTTCTTACATACATAGGCAGCGGAAGACGAGGAGGAGCGGAAGTAGAAGACTTGTCGGCGCGTCTTTCAATTCATCCTGTGATCCGCGGTTACCCAGGTCAGGCGGAGGGCGCGGGAAGTGGGCGGCCGTCCTCACGCTGGTCGCTCATTCTCACACGTTTCCACTCGTGTCGTGACCCACGTGGTCCGACTTCCGCTTCCGCTGGAGCAAGGCTGAGCAGTAGTATGCATAGTTCAGTACGACCGATAAAGCGACACATGTGTATACATAGAGAAACCACGGTTAATGGATCGATGTGAACTGTCCCATCCTAAAGCTGGAGACAGTCGTCAATGTCGAGAGCAAATTGCAATCGATCTGGGGTAATCCGGGCAATGATCGGACTCGGCCGGCACAAGTGCTGTGAGAGATCTTTGCGCCCCGTCTTCAAGCTCACCTTACAATCCCTAGATATTAAAGTCGACTTTCACCACAACAGCAGTGCTTCGAAACCTCTGAGGAATTACCTAAGCAACTGGAAAGCCTCTGAAAATCAGCTGATATTGAAAGGTCTTTATTGGAGGGTTGTAGCCGCACTGTTGATGTTTTCTAAGAACTTTTAGATCTGTGTGGTGCTTGTGGCACAGAATAGGTTCTAGATACACACTCCGGCGCAACTCGCGATTCGCCATGATACTATACAGACCTTCACTGCCTCTCACTCGTAATTATACTTCATAAACAGTTTTGATCGAAGCCACAATGTGGTGACTATTACTATAGATTATTACGAGCCTGAGGTCACTTTAGAAACTTCGATTTCCATCTCACATACCTCTCTGTCTACATAATAACAATCGTAGCTTCCTTCAATCCTTATCCGCTATTCTCTCATTTGACTGCCCGATACCTATGACTGCTCGATAGTACCTATGTTCTCATCCTTCATCTTATCCTCGTGTCTCTCATCCGTCGCTTCCAGTTGACTGCTATGTTACGGCAAAACCGTTCACCATCTTGGATAACCTTTTCGGCCCAAGTCCTCTGACAATCGATCGTAATACCTATTCAGACATGTATGTCCTTCTCTACCGGTAGTTTTCTAAGTATTTCATGATGATTTACAGGCTCGGAAGTTCGTGGGTATCTCTTCCACGATTGAAAAAGTTCGTACCTTCTTCCGGACGGCTCGAGCAGTGGCCCCACGGAAGCGATACGGGACGCGGAGATACAATAGGCAACAGCGATGATAACTTCTGCCTCGGAGACGGCAAGTTGTACACAAGTACCGAGGGTTTCCTTCCCGCCGGATGGTAATGCGTGAAAGGCATGGTCCGACGCCATTGTTGTCGCTCTGAGCCGCTGGAGCCGGGTGTCCGACTAGAGCTCATCGGCGACCCTCGGGTGCAGCAATATGAAGATGTGCGGATGGATGGATTTCCGAACCCCCTAGACGTCAGACACCCGCCGTCGAGCTCCACATGGCCGGATCTACCGGGTAGATACTTAAGTGTCTAGAGGAAAGTGTTGGAAGTTGATCGTGGCGACTGAGGATTTTTGTTGTGTTGTGTACTATGTTATGGGATGGGAAGAAGAACTACTCCAACTAGACGGTGCGAGGGCACAAGAGTAGAGTAGTGGGCAACAACGAGAGTACCAAGATAGTAGTTGGGCTCTCACAGTTGCTGCTAGTTATCGCCAACAGAAAGCAGATGGGCGCGGGTCAGGAAAAGGTGGAGGGGGGGCGAGACATGGGATATCAATCGGTCCGAACCCACGAGGTTATCGAGATCGGAGGGTGTAAGATATCCGGAAGGACCGCCTGAGGACGAGAAAGTGTGCAAAATGCACGCCGCCATAATGTATATTGGCTAGATGCGAGTATGATTCAAAAACTCCTTCACGATCACATCTTCGTCGACACAGCGCGATGCTATTTGTGTTCCGTCCGACGGGCACGCTTTTGAGCCGTACGTACTCTACGATACTCGATGTATGTATGTACCTGACATAATTTGAAATACTCTGTAGTCGGGATCCTATTTTCGATGCCGGGGGTATCTACATCGGAGAACTGCACAAGCTGCCACATTGCCATGATCTACCTAGGTTGGTAGATAAGTCGCAAGCAAGTACTGACTAAACAGAAAAGCTTTAGAGATATGGGGTTGGTGATCTCGTTGCGTAAAATCGCTACATACCAAATTTCATCGAGGATTATGGAATCTAGATTGCATGGTTCTCACGCAGCGCTTCATATGAAATCACTCTCTACACGAGTGACTTCATACGCCTCGACGGCAGCGACAAGCCTCAATCACGACTCTCAACGGCGATTGAGTTCCAAGCACCTTGTCGGCCCTCTCCTCTCTCTCCTCTATCCTTCTTCCTCCCCCTTCTTCCTCCCACACCACCAACCGCACGACAAACCTCTCCCTGAAAGTCCCAAATAAAACCAATCAAACCCTATCCCACCATTCACCCAATGTCAAACACCATGCACGACATTATCATCATTCGCTACGAGACCCTCCAGACCTCGATTTTATGGGGTAAATTCCTCACCGTCAATTCTACGGTCGAGGAAGAAGCCGTTGCCACCACCACCGCCGAAGCCGACGCCACCACCACCGCCGACACCGCCGAGCAAATGGAGGTTGGTACCGACGAGAAGAGAGGCGCCGAGAAGGTGGTGATTGAGATCGAGGAAGAGGACGAGTGGGAGGACGAGGAGGAGGACTAGGAGGAGGACGGGATGGGGATGGACGAGGAGGGAGGGGGAGAGGACCAGGAGGACTGGGACTGGGAGGATGAGGAGGATACGGACGAGGAGGAGGGGTGAGGTGGAGTGGACCAGGAGGACTGGGAGTGGGATACGGATGGGGAGGACGATGAGGAGGAGGGAGACGATGAGGACTGGGAGGACTGGGGGGAAGGTGCGGATGAGGAGATGTGATGTTGAGGGAGTCCTTTTTTTTTTACTTTCAAATTTCATCGCAAATAACTGCATCCCCAATGACTTTGTACCCCTTCGAGCTCGTCGCGACGCACTCCAGTCATGTACATACCAGATACTATGTAGCTATCGTAGGATCAGCATCTGCCGCCCAACCTACTATCAATGGTTTTCTCAGGAACGGAGAGTCATACTTCCAGAGATAGGTGGCTCCCCCTTCATAGCCTGCTGCGTGCAACAGTGATCAAGCCTCAAGGTGTACTATATACTCTACCTGGTAGTAAAGTAAGATTGACTACCGAAATCCAAGGACCAAGGTGTCTTCTCGCAGTCGATTCAAAGCCGTCGGCAGTCCTTCCCGATCGATCACATCTCCGTCGGCACAGGCCGATTCTTGTGACCGACCGCCCGACGTCACGGGCATGCTTTTGAGTCGTATGTACCTACTCTACGGTACTCGACGTAGGTATGTAGGTGCATGAAACAATCCTCGGGAGTCGGGATCCCACTCTCGATGCAATGCCGGGGGTAGGAGAACAAAACCAAAGTAAGGGCGTTTAGAGCATATAGCCCTGTCAAATTTTGCTAGAAGCTTCTGTCTGGAATTGCTTGCCCCATACATAGGTAGGTAGAGGGTGCTTTCTTCTAGCTCATCTCGAATGCTCAGGATTGCAGGTCAACCGGTTACCGAGCGGCGGCCCGAGTTGACGAACGCAAAGATGCCGATTGGGAGTAGATATCGGAGACGAACTTCAGTGATTCACTCGGCATTCGACGTAGGTAACTAGTTATCTGCGAAGTCACGCATGATTTCGGTATCTATAGCTTGAAACCGGGAGATTCCCATTGCCCAACGTCTTTCATTTCCGGCACTCCTTACCTATGTAGCTGATAGCTACCGAGCGCCAAGATTCACCCTTCGAGGCACGTAGATGTTTGTCTTGGGGACATTACCGATACTACGTTCTGCTGCCATAACGTGTACTTTGAGTCTCTGACCATGACAGCATCGGTTACATCGATGATCTCGACGATTTGGCCTGCCTTGACGGTCAGCTCTCCGTCGGCTCTTGCGGCCCTGTCCGTGACGATTATGCCCACGGTTAGAGTACACCACTCATGCCCGCACGATCTAATGCCCTGCGGATGATCGCGTTGAGGGTGTGGTGTTTCTCTTTACTCACGTTGTGGGGTATGTTAGTACGGATGAAGAGTCACGAAAGCACTTGTTTATGTCCATACCCTGCTCGTTTTTTTTATTTCATCATCGTAGCATTCGACCTGAGGAGATCATTGCTGTATACACGTCCTGTTCCGCCCCACTGTCTCCGACCGCTGGCCGCGAGCTCGATGTGGGTTCCCTATTGTCCCCCGCTCGGCCCATCCGCGCATAACAAAGGGAAAGATAGAAACAAAGAAGAACAAATGAGATGACAAAATGGAACAGAAAGGGAAAGCGTCAGTCTTTCTCAAAATCCGACCTCAAAGCTCTCAAGCCAACTCCTCCAGCCTGTCTAACGCCCCATCACTTCCGGCGTAGGTATGCCGGAATCTCCGGCCGACTAGCCCGTACTCTTTCCTCCGCTCTTGCTCTCACCACGTCCCAGTCTATCACTCTGCCCGGGGCCCGAGTTGGGGTTGGGGTTGGGGTGTCTGGTGCCGGCGGTGCGAGGTTTGGGGGGGTGGGGAGGAAAAGATGTTCCCCAGCCTGTCGCCTCTCTTCCGCTGCCACTACTCTCTCCGCTGCCGTCGCTCTTGCTCCTTCCCTCTCGTCTCCTGCTATGGGGTAGGTGGGATCCGCCGCTGCCGCTGCTAAGTCACAGGTCTGGCTCGGAAATTCTTGTTGCTCTACCCCGAGAGGAGGCACCCGCCGGCCCACATCTGTGGTGGTGAGAAAGTGGAGGACGGCCTTGCTGCAATATTGGCATACCCTGCTCATTAGCTTAACCAAAATCGCGAGAGTGTTGGCCATGTTGCTCAATCGAGTGATATTTGTGATGGTGATGGTTTGGTTTGATGGATAAGATACGGAGGGACGCCATGTTACTCATACAGGGGCTTTTATTAGGGACCGTTGATCACTTGTGTGTGTGCGATGTGATGGTACTCTTAGGAAAGCGCCGGAAAATCTATGCTAGCCGAGTGCTGCCCCGAAATCACGCGAATAGACCACCGAGTGACAGCCGGTTCTTCTGCCCAGTCCAAAAACTTCAAGCCGTTTATTCTCTGCAACGCTCTATCGACCAGATCAATAACCTGAATCTCTCATTCGCTTCTTCGCATATCGACGGTGCTCGATCCTGATCAAACCGACCGCGAGCGAAGAATTTGCTCGGAACGGGACACGACTTGCTTCTGCCCCCCCACTGTCGTCTGGACTGCCCCATGCCTCCACCACACTCCATAGAGAACTCGAATTCATTATCAAAACAACACTCAGCTCAGCCTGCCGGGCCAACTGTGTCTGTCGCTTCCACCCTTTTAAACAACACGCTATTTAAGCGACCGCGGCCATGGCTCCCCTCAGCATCATCATCAAACTGCTGGGTCGATGCAAACCCCTCCGTCGATGGATACCGCTCTATATCGGCGAGCTTGATGGGCGCGGTCTTGATCACCGAGTTGTTATTGCGCGATACATAGGCGGTCGAGATGGGCGTGTGCTGGGGCATGGCGGAGTGGCTACCGGTGTCGTTGGTGCCCAGGATGCCGGGGATGATCTGCTTTATCACCGGCCGGATCGTGGGGAGGGAACTGCAGATCAGGGCGACGTTGACTTCGATTACGGACCAGAGCACGCCGTTGAGGACATCGTCTAGTAGGAGGATCAGTGTCGGCCGGACCGAATTGAGCGCGTACGCGCGAGGGGACTCACACGATACGTCCATGATCCCTCCTTCGCTGACTTTCACTCCGAGCTGGTGGGCGTACACAAGGCGCACAATGGCGGCGATCCATACGCTGTTTCGAGTCTCGTCAGTAATCGGCACCCCATCCATCCATCCATCCATCCATCCATCCATCCATCCATTCACTGCTTGCGGGTTGCTTACGTTGCGCCCAACAAGAAAACCACAGTCAGACTAGCTTTCTGATTCCACGGCAGCTTCACCTGCCAAACAATCCTGAGCGGCGCCAGCCAGACCACGAAGTCGGTAAAGATATTGACTGTTCCCACGGCCGTCTGCAGCTGGAAGTAGTCCATGCACTGATTCTTCGAGAAGTACATCTCGACGTCCCAGAACTGCGAGGGGTCTCTCCCGCAGACGAAGGCGTGCAGGAAGAAAGCCGTGACGGAGAATGTAGCCGTGATGCCGAAGATCGTCCAGAACACCATCCGCCACTGCACCGACGGCGTGAGTCGTAGGAGTTGCAACAAAAGTGACGCGCGTGCAAAGGCGAGTGATGTGAGGTACAGCAGATGACTCAGGTAGACATACTTGGGATTATCTTAGCAAGACGAACCCCACCCCCCATCCAAGGCCGCTCGCGGAGCGGAAAAATACCTTCAGAAATGCCTCTATCCCCTTGTAACCGACCGTCCATATATGTCTCCCCACACCTGCGTCCACGCACAGAGCCATCATGACCGACAGCCCTACGGCAGCTGCCTTGATAGTTCCACCACATCATCAGTATCCGGAGAATTGTCGTTCCCACCCCAGTGGGTATCCAATAGTATGTAGTTCATTGCGTACCATGGCAACAACGATGCAGTAGTCCTCCCGGCCAACCATCCTTAAGATGCACGCCCTACCATATAACCTCGTAGTCACGACGGCCAGGGAGATGACGCACAGAGTGATTGACGTAATGCTCAACCGCGGTCCTATATCGTCGGTGGCCAGCCCCAGTATCTTGATCGTTGCATCGGGTATTATGCCATTGTCGCCCGGCGCGATTTTAAATACTGCATCGGCTCGAGGGTAGAGGTGCATGTCGATTCGCGCAAAACTGGACGTATCAAAAGAAGGAAGAAAAAAAAAATCTCCCCAAGAGGAAGGGGAATCGTGGGTAATACATATACTTCGCCGTGGAGCGGTGAACTCGATAATGTAGCATATAGTAGAATGGACGCTCCACATTACCGGTGTGGTGGGTCCCGAGACATCGCTAGTCCTTTTCTTGCGGGTAAGCACTTGGCTGGTAAAACGCATCTGCTGGAGGGTACCTAAGTAACATGGGTGTTCTCACATCTCTGAAGAGTGCTAAAAAGGTACATATCAGCCTCCCGTACGCGTCCGTGGGGTTGGCGTGTGCTCGCCGGTAAAGAATGAGAAGAGTTGGCGTCTGCTCGCCGGTACAGAGCGAGGAGATCGGGCGTCCAGTGCTCACCGGAAAAGAGCGAGAATCGGAGTTCATTAAATTAGTAGCTTCGCAGGGAAGATTTTCCGATACATGAAGATTGGCGAACAGGAGTTGTAACTGGAGAATGTATGTACATATGCACCTATTCGGGACTGGGCCCAGGTGCAAGAGAAACACCCGTCTCTCTCCGGCCTTCCGGAAACCTCGGCGGAAACGCACAGAAGATGATTTTCGGGCTTAGTTGCCGTCAGAAACAGTCTCAGTCCTCCTGGAAAGGAGGAGTCCACACAAGGCTTCCGCACGGTGATGGGCGTATGTCGGGCTATCACACTCGCCTGAGACAGCCATGTGAGGTAGGCAAGAATCGCAGCCACTAGATTGCCGATTGCTTAGGTCGAATTATTGAGCCGCTCAAGCGCAAGCCATGTAGTTCCCTGGCGCAGCCCGTCAGTCGTGAACAGGACAGGACGAAACGAGGCCTAGAACCGTAAACCGCCCCAATGATTATACAGAGCCAAACTTTGATAGGTAGGCACATGTCAGGCGGAAGCGATACGGAGCCAAACAGTTTTACGATTCACGTCCTCTCCCGGGAACAGCCCTGCACGCAATGGTCACGATACAAGGAGTCCGGCTTCAGATGACGGCCTGAGTTGTGGGTACGTACGACGGGCTGCTGTATGAGAAATGGATCGCCAATATAACTTCCGGTCTCCAGGATGAGCCAGGTCCATGCGGCTTATCTCCAAGCATAACGCAGACTTCCCGCTGAGGCGCTGGGCACAGGCATGCAATACCACAGCATCTCCAGCGCGCATATGTTGGAGTGGGTACTCTACCTTCATAAGCCCTCAGATGATGGACGACAGTGGATCCTGTATCGGGGGCTGGGAGCTGGGGGCTGGGAGCGTGGAAGGGCGGCTCGGCACCGCAAAGTATGAATGAACGGCTTTCAGTCCGTGCAAGCTGGCTCTCGACGTCATGAGATATGACTCTAGTATGATTCTAGTGGCCACACTAACCACCCGCCCCCTCAAACCTTCAGCACCAAGTTTCATGAACAGTGAACAGGGAGTAGCTTCGACTTCACTGATTTCTAAGGGAACTTTCCAATTCGGAGGTGGGTGCCTGGTATGTACCGATGCTTCTTCCAAGATGTTCTTCTAGTTGGTCGACCGAACGCAGCTAGGTTAGTGCTGCTGCGCGGTTTAGAGGGCATGCAGGAGGGGAAAATATTACTCAGCTATTCACGGCAAGCCCTATGCGTGCTGTAATTCAAAGAATTCTATGATCCAAGTCTCCGATTTCTCGCTTCGGGATTTGCGTCTAGATTTGCCGGCAGGTGGACTCGCCAAACAAGATCACAGCAACCCGGGAACGTGAGAAAGGCGTGAAGACTGGGCAAATGTACCCAAAGTAGAAACCATCTGGCCATATATATCGGTATTGAGTTACGAGTATAGCAGATGGATTCGATTGCACAACGGCACGCGCGGAAAGAGAGTTCGTCTAATGAGTGAAAGTGCCGCGTAGCTACTGCTGTGCGACTTGAGCTGCGTTAGCTAGTTTCAGCACTGATCATTGGCGGAAAGGAACTTGACCTGCAATGCGGGGTTTAGTTTTGCAGTCTCACACCCCATGCCAATCTGGATTCTGGAGTGGTTGACTGGAAAGGAAACGGTCGTTCCCACCACTTGACCTAGGTAGTTATGCCTGTATCCTCCTTGTAGTGCTTTTGATGGAGGTATGTATCATATCTAGCTGGAGGGAAAGCATACAGAAATAGGCCAGTACCTGGTCAATCCTACAGCCGGGGGCGATCCTATCTCGCCGAGACGCCTTCCGACGAAATCTCTACCCCGTAGTGGGGAGAACCTGCAACAAACAACACCTTTTCGACTCGCGAAATGGTCAGTTGGCTGATTTCCATCACTAGTCCGTCACTACCAGTTAGTAGTTCTCCGTTGCGTCCTCAAAATAATGCGTAGCACTCTCCTGATCATGCTAGCTTCGTTTCGTCCTCCCGGGGAACATCTATATCTCCTACAGATCCTAAATATGTGCGAGCTTAAATCCGATTGTGGTTGGTTCTCCAAGCCGCCTGAGACGGCATTGTAATTCTCAATCCATGCTTCTTCCCAGACAGCCATCGAAGTATATCCGGCGGCATAACTTCTCCACCAGGATGTCGATTTGTGTCGGTATCATGGATTCCCCTGACCATGAAAAGTCTGAAGACTCCACTCCCCTCCGTAGGCACTCGGGTGTGCATTCATCAACTAGTCCCATAAAGGTTATCATTTAGGGTTAGTTATTCCACCTCTGCTACCTCGATTCCGAAGTACCTTTGTATTTGACTCCCACATATATAGATCTCTGGTTGTTCCGCCTGATGGTTGTGCGAGATGGCTTCTGTGATGGATCGACTCTAGCTCCATGAGCCTCTCAAAGATATTTCCTCCAGTTCTGCCTCATGTCGAAGGGCAAGCACACGGTCGTTAAATAAGCAGCTACACTGCTACAGTGCATAACTATCAAGATCAGCCGAAGCTGAACATCTCGGCGCTTCAAAATTTACCCGGGGAACTACTTTCACTCAGCTCCGCACGAGAAAGAATGGCGGCTCCGTCACCGGTTACGCTCACCCTCTGGCCGAACCGGATCGGTGATGCCAGAAATGTTGCTCGCTTGTCCTGCTTGTCCTGCTTGTCCCGCTTGAGCTTATGTAAGGATCCCTCGCCCTCGTTGAAACAACCGTGTTGCCGGCCAGCCCTAGAAATCTCGCGTCGGTACTGACCCGAAGGAGAACCGAAGGGAGGATTCCGTGCTAGCCGCCGCGAGTCCGGCCTCACTGAGCGCCTGCCGCCCGCGGAGGTCGATTCGCAACGCTACATACCTACCATGTACCATCGTGCGGCTCCTCCGGGAATGGGTAAAAGCTCCGGATTTGCAAAGCGCGAGAGGTGGAGGCTGAAAGATCTCCTACCAGATCTGGCTGGATCTGGCCGGATCTGGCCGGTTGACGGGGGCCGAGCGCTATCGGGGGAGGCGGGGGGCGGGGGACGTTAGTGAATGGATAATCATCCTAACTACCGTGTCGGGAGAACTCAAATCTCGCGAGTCGAGATGTATCGGCACCCGTGCTGGTGGTGCTAGATTGGGTGCTAGATTGAGTTGTTGCTAAACTTGTGAATTGCTTCGGTCCCTCGGCAAAGGAAACGTTGGACGGCCCAAATCATCTAAACGTGGTAGAATGTTGCAAACTTCAGCGGAAGCCTCCAGGAACGGGCGCGCTTTATTGTCCGTGTATGATGTGCACACACATAGAACAAAATATTTGCGCCAGCAACGTTGAATATGGCTGTTTGGCATACCTACCGGAAGCTCAATAGGACCTAGAAGGAAGGATGGTGTCAGTACTTCGGGGGTTTAGGCAAATACTAGTGATGGCCTGCCCTTCCGGCGTGGCGGTGCAGGTTGTTCTCGCGCGAACAGACTAGGTGAACGATACGGATACGACAACTACATAGCAAAGAAAGAGTAAAGGAGGGGAAAATAGAGTCGATTGAGTGGCTAATCTCTTCGCAACGTCGTACACAAGTCGACGAGCTACATACCGACCGGGTCGAGTGATAGAGGTGCAATCAGAAACTTCTGGGCGGTGCCTCGGGGAGGCAGCTGCTATCTACAGCAAATGATACTCGTGGCGTAGATACCGGTATGCCTATATATTAGTGCTCTCGAACTCTCACAACCGGCTGTGAAACTCTACCGGATTAGCTGGTTAGACTGATTGCCACAGCATATGACGGCGGGACGGGCCGGGGGTTTCCCCCTGAGCCGCGGGTAGCCAGCAAAGCCGTTCGCAGGTAGTTTGGCGGGGTGGCTTTGAATCTTGAATCAGATTTTGCGGCCGGATCAGCGTGTAGATGACAGTAAGCTAGGGTTACTATCACGTTATTCTTACTGCAAGACATATTCACTTCCCTACGGCCTCAGTTCGCGCTGACCAGAATGTATCGGTGATATCCTCAAGAACAGGCTGAGCAAAGGACTTCAAATGATGATTGTCACCGTGGTACAAAGATTCTGTAATAGCTGCTGGAGCCTGAAATTCGCCTCCGTGAGACGATGACCCAATAGGCTTCACCGGAAACCACAGAACGATCGTCACCCTTTTGTACTGAAAGGATGAGTGGCCATAGCCGGCCGGGGACGCAGCCGTGGTCGAAGAAGATAAGTTCCCGCCTCCGGCGAAACCCAGGGAATAAGAGCATGGATAGGTGGCATAGCAGTGATTGAGTGGTCGAGAAGTAGGGGAAATGCCACACCGAGGGAATCCTCTGTTTGCCTTTCTTTTCTGTCTAGCACAGGTGGGAAAGTTATATCAACACCTAGGCCCGCGCGAAAGCGTCCATGCATTGCACTCAGCGTGAATCCTAGAGGACTAACTGTCCCCGAGACACGAAAGATCGAGCTCAAGACAAGGAAGGTCGAGCTCGAGGCACGGAAGATCGAGCTCGAAGCAAGGAAGGTCGAGCTCGAGGAACGACAGATCGAGCTCGAGGCACGGAAGGTCGAGCTCGAGACTGACGGGCCGATCTTCGGGTTGTCACGTCATGCAACACAAACCTGCAGTGGCTGTCCAAGGTGACCTTCATCCGTTCTTTACGGATTCTCTCTCAAAACGAGGGTTCTGTGAGGGCTCTTTCGCCAATGTCTCTCCAGACCGGAAAGTGACGGGTCGAGAGAGGGAGGACAAGCAAGGAGAAGGAGAAACTCCGGTCGACCCAGCTTAAGCCCCCTCCTCCCCTCCTGGTTGACCCCGCCATGCTCACCAACGTTGAAGCCCACCACTAACCACATTCGTTTTCTCCCGCTGACAGGGGCCGTCCTTTATTTTCTCATCTCGCACAAGTCCGCCATCCCTCTATCACAAGGTCTTCTTCGACTGCTTTAGATTGTGATGTCGTTGATTGATTGATTGATTGATTGATTGTTCATACAGCATGGAACCCGAAGGTTATGGCCGATAGAGATATCTACAATACAACATTTCGACAAAGAAATTCCACCACCAAATCCATACAGAAATGACAAGCCAAATCCCTTCGTCTCGCAATATTTTGAAAGTGAGCCTCCGAAGAGGCTCGGGTTGTCGGTTTTGCGCTGTAGCGGCGCTTCGTAGCCCTCCTCTTCTCCAAAAGATACCTCCACTCGGTACTACCCTCAACATAACCAGTCTAGCGCACACGGCATGGTGCTCGAAAGGAATCGTCGTCTTGGGGTTTGCGTAGCTGTCAAGGCCGGGGCCCGATGAATAGCAGCGAAGATATTTGGATCGAAGGCGGGACTGGCAAAATGCCGGTTGTCATGGTCGACGTTGTCCTGGGCCAAGCCCTGAGCTCTCCCTCTGGATTTCAGTCTCCTCCACGCCGTCGCCGTATCGCCTGCTAAACAGGCTCTCCTAGAGTGATAAAATCGATGATGATGTGCGGGGAAGCGATGGTGAGACTTCTTCAGAGGTTTGGACGTAGCACCCGTGGTGGTGCAGTTCTCCGGCCAGGGACCGAGGCTCGATTGATCTCTGTCGCTTCATGCTCATCGTCGTCGAATTCGTCGGTCGGGGCACTCAATCCGCGGTCGGAACGAGTGGACACACACGCCACATGAATCCTGAAGCCAAAGTGAGCGGGGCATTTGGTGTGCCAACGCATAGTCTTGGCATTTTTGGAAGGTTGGTGTGGTTGCCGGAGGTGTGTGTATTGTGATGTCGTTGGTGCTTGGCGTAGTCGGTGGTCCTTGCGGGTGTTGGCAGTTCTGTTAAAGAAACCATATGTTATCACTCGCTAAAAATCGCGGTTGCTAAAATATGTCTGCACCGAAAATCTCGGCGGGGACGTAGAAGCGGTGCGGGATTCTTAACTACCGGAAGGCGGTGTCAGTCGATATTAGGAGTGGCTACTTTGTCACCGCTCATCAGTCGCTGGGAAGCTGAATATCAATGCAGATATCCACATACACATTGGCCACAACATCCTCCGTGGAAGCGGGTTTTGGAAGCCTACGATACTGAGTAGCTAGCCTGAAGTAGTTCACGATGACGAAGGTATGATGGCTGGTAACTGCTCAAGATGAGGCTCGTCGAGATTGATCCCGTGTACTACATAAGGGAAGCCAGTTCAGTGTAGAGAGCCTACCTCATATGCATCTCAAGAGTGAAATCGAGCGATAGAAGGCCAGTATCCAGATCCAAAGTATGACGGTTTCCTTGAGTATCGACGTCGGTGATTATGCGCACTTGGAATCACAGAGGGTCGAATGCAGATGGACAGAAAAGGATTTGCATCAAAACAAACCGAATCGGGTTCCATCGGCTTGGAAACAACAGAACCACAAAGCCGCTTTGTCCCCCCCATAAAAGGCTCCCACCTTTCCTCCCTCCACCCACTTCTAACCTTTCCACCCTACACTTCCTCATCCTCTCCACCACAGCCTTCACCCTCATCATCTACACATCATCCTACAAACTCTCGCAATCTATCACCACCTATCCCAAGAACATCATGAAGCTCCTCGCTCTTGCCCTTTCTCTTTTCGCCGGCGTTAACGCTGTCGCCATCCCCGCCGACATGATCGAGACTCGCGGCGATGCCGGTGAGGTTGCGGCCCAGGCGGGAGGCGTCTACTTCTGCAACGGTGCCGAGTTCACGGACAAGTGCAAGTGGTTCCCCATGGGCAAGTGTGTCAATTTGGCTCCGTACGGCATGTATGTCACTCACCTCTCTCTCCACTCTTCTCCCTACATATTACATGGTTCCGACACTGATCGAGACAATACAGGCAGGGACAGATATCCTCCATCGCGCCCAACAAGGGAGTGAGGTGCACCTTCTACGTGTAGGCTACCCAACTCCAACTAACTCCCGAAGTTGTTGACTGATCTGCTGCAGCATGCCCAACTGTCTCCTCGGCCAGGCGATGAAGTACAAGGTCTACAGGCACCCCGGCGAGGGCAACGTTGGAAACGAGTGGAACGACAAGTTCTGGAGCTTCCAGTGCTACTAGTCGCTCTTTCCGATTACATCTTAATGGCTTGATGGAATGTTCATGGGGGGTGGGGAATTAATTTTTTCCTTTGTTTCAAAAATAGGCTACCTCTTCTACAAATGAATACGGTTTTCTACCTCTGTTTCATCGTTCTGCATACCTGTGTGCACCTAAATACCTATGCACTTGAGCGTTAAATTGACCTGCAACTCCTCCCTCTCATGGTCGATGGATACTCTGCTCATTCGTAGAATCAGAAGTCGCTGCTCAAGAGATGCGCACGGCTGCCTAGTGCTTATCCGTCAATGCCGGACAGAGGATGCCGTCATGGAATTGATATCTACGCCGAAAATAATAGCAAGTACTCAAGTGACTGCATCCAGGACCACGCTCACTCTCTTCACCACATGTAATTCGCTTCCCCCGCAGTTTCTTTACTTAGTACTAACCCCTGTCTCCTTTCTCGGTCTCTCTCTACCAAGCACTCCACCTATCCACCCGCAACACTACCTCCAACGTAAACTACAGGACAATAAATCTTCTCGGCATTCTCACGGTCCTCATGGTGACTTTTATCTCTAACGCAGCCCCCCCTTTCGGCGGTATCGTCTCGAATAGTACCGGCGAATCTCTGAACACCACGGTCGATTCCCCTCGCTTCACGATCATGGGCATTGGCTAACTACCCCACCACGCACCCCTGACGACTCCCGCCCCCTCACAGACGCTTCTAACAGCACCTATGATTACACCTTCTCCCCCCCACAACAGGCACGGGGTAGTGGTGGGCCGGCTACATAGCTCGCCTACGAGACATTGTTAGCGTAACCCACCTTCGCGGAGACGAACAACCCCTTCAAGATGCCAGAGACGTTGTCAGGTGGATAGAGAAACGGCAGTGCTTCCAAAGCCACCAAGCTGGAGTCTTACTGTGGTGGTACAATCTTGCTACTACGTGGGACGTCTGGAAAACATGGTCGAGTATGCTGCTGTCACGTCGACTCGACGCCGCTCAGCCTTCAGGAGATCAGGCATCGTCGTGAGACGAGTAGGGCTGGTGATACCCATGGATCGTAAGTTTAGACTTCGAGTTCCAAAATGACTAGGCGAATCTACTCAACCCAGAACATCTCCAAAAGAAGGCCGTATAAGTCTTAAGATCTTGAAGAGAGTTGTTCTCTTGGCCCCTGGCTAAAATTTAGTGAAACTTGGAATTTCCACGTCTGCGGTTGAGGTTGTAAATGAGAAGAGGTATGAGAGATCTTCACCATCTGGCAAGCCGCAATTGAAGATACAAACTTGCCTCGTTCGGCACGAAAATCGTCATCTAAATGATTACCATCTCAGGAGGTAGTGAGGTGGTATATTGAAAGCCCTTGGCGGTCGCCAACTCTCCAAAAGACAAAGCACCGATGAATAAATGCTGCTGCATGGTGTATCACTCGTTCGAGCCTGGCCTAACCCTAAAAACAAACGGATATCATTGGTATCTAAACTAAAACCTCCTCAACAAGCCCGACCAGACGAAACAGATCCTCCCATATGCGGATATGAATGGGAAACAAAGTTCCCATCGTCCTTAGACGCAATTACCCATCGGGTAACAGCCATATCCGCCACAGTCCTGGGCGTCTGGTCCCCAAGCTGCGACCTAGTCGCCCAGCTCCATCTGCTTCGGCCACTTCCCCGCCGTGGCTCTGATGCGCTCGATGTGAGCGTCGAGAAGCTGCTGACTCTGTAGCTTTCTCACCTCCAGCTTCTCCGGGTTCATAACACACCAAAGGATGAGTTCCCTTGCGGCAAACACATCCTCTAGGCAGTTATGCCCGTCGCTGTCGGGGTTCTGCACATCCTTGCCGAGCAGCTCCGCCATCAACGCACGCACACCGTGCTTCCCCCCGCCCAGGAGCCGCGGGATCGCCAGCCGCGCATCAACGACGTTCGGATGGATCAGCCGTAGCTGATCCAGGTTGTTCTCGAGCGCGAACCCCACCACGACCGTTTCCGAGTCGATGAATTGCAGCAGGCGATCCCACGCCCCCTGCCAGCTCCGGAGGACGTTCCCGCTCGCCCTGGCCGCGTCCATGGCCTCGCCCGTGACACTGGAACAGCGCGTGCGCCAGTCCGTGACCGCGGTCGAGGGGTCCACCAGGGAGTCGACCAGCACCTCCCCGGTAAAGAAGTCCACCACGCTGAGCAGGATCAGCTCCGACTGGCCGAACTGGTCCCCGCCCATCTCGCAGTCGATGACTACGGCGCGGCGCTTGAAGCAACCGTGGATGGGGACCGGCGTCCTGGCGAACGCAAGGTTGGCTTCCAACGCGAGGATGTCCTCGACGTTGTGCTCCTCGAACACCACGCAGCCCGGGGCGTTGCGGCTCATAGCTATGCAACAACTCCACACGCAGCCGACGCTCGGTTTCCCGTCGATCGTATGCCCCTGGTATACGCGGTTCATCACGCCGGTATGGGCACGGCATTCGCGGGCGTTCTTGCTGGCTGTTCACGAACGGTCAGTAGTGGACGAGATGGTCAGGGTGGAGTGGATATACATACCGCGGCAATTGTAGCACTGAGCCTTGAGCTCGATCTCGGCTCTGGTCGGTAGCTCAATAGTGAAATTATTGTTGGCCATGTCCTCCTTGGAGAGACATATGCCGTACAGTATCCGCATCATGGGATCCACAAGGGCCCGCGGGACAATTGTCCAGAGGTTATTATTGTATGGGAAGAAGCTTCAATTGTTCTGCTGGTACTCTTGATCCAGCACCTCTTGAGTTTGTAGCACCGTCTCTTGCGACGAATCCAGCACAACCTCCTCCGGCGGCGAATCCGACTGCGCCACCTCTAGATGGCACCTCTTTATGTGCTTTGCCAGGACGTGCCTGCTAGTGAAAAAACCCCGCCTTTGGGCCGGGGAAGTTACCGGTCGTAGCGGTGTTCTGGCAGTATGCACAATGCATAGGCGCAGCTCGAGTTTTGGTCTTGGCCGTGATAGTTTTCGTCGGCACAGTGAAGTGCGTGAACGCCTTGCTGCTGCGGATGTGTGCGTCTAAATCTGCCTGGCTGTTGAATTTGCGGCTGCAGGGGATACATAGGAACTGCTCGATGGTGATGTTGCCGGATAGAATTGCGAGGGGTGTTCGGTTCAACATGGTGGGTCGTGGTGTGGTTGGATGGTGGAGTGATTGTTAGGGGATGGAGGGGTGGAGGGGGGACAACTTGTTGTCGAAAATGCATCTTGGGTGTGGTGACGTTGCAGGATGGTGGAGAGATGGAGGGAGGATAGAGGGGTCGAGGAGGGAAAATGAAGTTTTGAGGTAAGCTGATGGGGATCGTGAGGTGGGGGGGATTAGGGCAAATGGAGTGCCGAGATAAGGGCTGATTGATGTTCTTGAAACTGAGTCGTCAAAAATTTGAGGTGAAGAGTTCAGAGAATGACCTCGAAGAGAATTGCATGTCGTGAGTGATCAAGAAACGCTTGTACCATCATTCATCACTCGCCCAAAATCGTAGAACGAGTGATTAGCCGCGAAGGTTTGGCGCATTCTGTTCCTTGTGGGAGAGAGAGAGATCTTCAGTTTACTTCGCATGCAGCCTATCTGGACTATGGCGAACCATCGCACTCCTTTCCTGTCCACTCTGGCTGGCCGAGGGTTGAGATCCCACTACCAGCCAGCACGATGTGGCGCCGCTGCCTGCCAAACAAATAACAGGAACTGTGTCGGCGGCGCATGAGGCATCACTCGACAATTATGTGTGCTGCGTCGCGATTTGTTTGCATTTGCTACGGCTGGAAGTTGTGTCAAGATTTCCCATCGTTCAAGAGGAGTCATCTATAGTGATTCCGTAGTAATTCTGTTGTAAATCATGGGATTGTCCCAATGTCCTAATAGATGCAGAACCGTAAAAAGTAGCATAGGCCGGCTTGCTGTGGTGCATTCAGGAGCCTTCGGACGCAGGAAGCGGCTCCTCAAGTTGCTGAGGCTGCTACCCGGATTTTCGTGCGTGATATCGGCGCCAACTCGCACCTCCGTAAGGTCCCACCGACTGGACTCACTTCGACCCGTTCATAAACACCGTCTCCGACTCTACCCGTTTCCTTCTTCCCGACACATCCACTCCGGCGCTTACCTCCTTCCGTTCGGCTCTTTACTACATCTTGATTCTATTACATCTACACCTCTCTTGGTCAAGCTTAAGCATCGGGATGTCTCCAATCATTCCTACCGCTCCCGCCTTCATGCGCCGACAAGGTTTTCCGGTTACTGGTACCCGTCCGACTGCAGTTAAGTCAAGAATGTCTCCCTTGGTCCCTTCCGGACTCGAAGCCATCCGTCCGTTTGCTCCCGTCGACGCCATCGGCACGAGCGAAACCCCGGCTGGAAATCGAGCCGCCGAGGAGTGTACTGATCCAGCGTGTGCCTACGTCAAGGCCCTGAACGACCCGAATCCAATCACGCATCACACGGTGCATCACACGTACAGAGGCGAAGACATCGACCACATTCTTGCCCACTTGTGGGGGGTTTTGAAGGTCGGACCGCCTAGCCCGCCGTCAATGACTACTATTCCGGCCTGCATGGCGCCGCCGCAACCGAGACACAGCAGCTGGTGCGACAAGGCGCTGGGTCTGAGGTGCTCCACGGCGACACCTGGTGAGCGGTTCCTGGTGAGCGAGAGTGGGAATGAAGCGGAGTCGGGGCACAGTGGATGGGATGTGGTTGACGAGACCATTACTGGAGGTCTCACCCCGCTGCCGTGGACCCATCATCCGATGGACGACTCGCCTTCACGGGCGGAGAGGAATGAGTGGCAAGTCTACCCCGAGGAACAGCGCAGTCAAATCAACAGATTTGACCGGCGAACCCCGACCGGCCCCAAGCAGGTTCCCGCTTCGCTGCTCCGCGCCGCCTGTCCGTACATCCCCGCGCTCGACCCGCGGTACTTTCAGGCGGAGCGGTTCTCGGGCCCCAGCCATCCCTTGCCCGTTCCGCCGCAGCACAGCTGGACGCTTCCGCGCGGAATAACTCTGGGGCTGCACCCGCGGCCGCGGACCGAGTACGCCACCTACTTCGACTCATTCGGGGCGTCACTCGACACCTGGCCGAGTTCGCGGTTCGGGCGGGCGAGCCTCAAGAACTCGCGCGGGGTCTTCCTGAAGCCGATTCCGGTGACGGCCACGCTCGCCGCCATCTGCGACAACATCCGCGGGGGCGCGCTGGAGCGCGTCGATTTCCACGACTACCAGGGCCGCACGTGCGTCGGCGCGTTCTTCGTCGTCGCGGAAGAGGCCGCCAAGTACGTCAAGTTCTGTAGGGAGCAGGGCGGCGTCTACTGGGCGCACAATGGCATAGTCAGCACGGTTGAGGCCATCCCCCGTGCCAAGGGAGGTCATGAACCTATCAAGGTCGATGTTTCCCGCGGGATCCTGCGCGAGGGCGCCACGCGATGCCTCAGGGTCTGCAATCTGCCGAACACCGTCGACGTCGAGCTGCTGAAGTTCCAGGTCAGGACGCAGTCCAGGAACGTCCTGGCTGAGGTCGAGAGCTTGCGTCTCATCCCCGAGACTAACCTGGCGGCGCCGACGTTCACTATGTTCCTGAATATGGCGACGATCGGGACGGCGCTCGGCGCGAAACTCAGGTTGCAGAGTCTCAAGTACTATGCTGATTGCAGCTTCGAGTTCCTCCCCGATCCGGTTGAGGGCTCCCTGGAAGACTTAGGCTACACGTGGGCGTGCGAGCGCTACTGGGATCAGTTGAAGTTCTGGGACAATAGAGAGGCTGGAGAGACCGGAGAGACCGGAGAGACCGAAGAGACTTGACGTTGGCTCGGAAATACTATAGGCTACTTAGAGGGATAGCGGACACCGTGTGGGAGGACATATATTGGCGGAAAGTGCTGTTTTTGTACTATGTAACTTGTTTGTTTGAAGGTGGAGGATGGACGGAAGGATATGGGAGTGTAGTGGGTTATGAAATCTTTAGCTGTCTTGAATCTTCAGGTTTACTGTAACTATCCGCTGTGGAGAGAAGCCGTAGTAGTAAGCTCTGTATCTACATATCCTTTCTGTACTGATGTTGATGAGAGGGAGAGAAACTGGCCCCGATCATTCCAGGCAGTGGTAATCGAACAGCTGAAATCGTCAACGTTCATCCGATTGGTACCGTATACCGGTCATGATGGCCATGATCGAATACACCTCTAATAAATGTATCGCCTACCGCCGTGGAATCCCTCCGCCGACATATATACCGACCTTTTAGTTGATCTAGTGGCCGGGTCAGACTCCACAGAACCCCGTGCGATGGGTATGTACATAGGCTGCAACGGCGACGGAGTCCCTGGGGTCTGGACATTTGGCGGATTGACTATGCGCTTCCGGGAAGCCTTAGCGAGACATTTCGTTGTCTGTCCGGCGGGAACTTTAGTCCTATTACCGTAGTTATAGTAGCGTCGCCGATTGAGGTTTATCGGTGAAGCCGAATGAGCGATGATGAGAGTATGAGTGTATATCTACGAGAATAATTGAACAAACCGTCTGGTTATGTAGAGATAGGTCTTGCAGATGGAGTGGTACATATGCCTACAAACGGGCCATCCGTTTCGGTGGGATTGTCGGCCTTTCATGCACAGCCGGACGGTCGCCGGGAGCTGCAGTAGAGTTGGCAATCGACTGGCAACTGCCCCGGCAACGGGCGTTCGTCGGTCCCAGGCCGGCGGGGCGACAGCCGCCGGGTCAGTCCTGCCACCGACAACCCTCACTCCAAATTCGTATTCGGCCCACCCCATCACCACATCACGCGCATCCGAATCATCACCCATCACTACCCTCCCTCCCCCTCTCCCCCTCTCCCCCCTCCCCCCGCCGCACCCAATTCTCCATCAACATCACCGATCCCCGCCCCCCCCGGCTACGTGGTGCTCGCCACAGCCTGTCAACGACTCAACGGCGGGCTGGTACATACATAGCGGTAGCGGGTAGGTATGGATAAGCTACATACATTATACCTCCCACTCCCCCTCGCACTCCCCCTCCCACTCCGACTCCCCTCCTATGTATGTATGTAGGCGATGCTGGTCACATGCACGTGCGATCATCGACTGCCAACGCACGCTCGCCGTAAACGCACGCTCGCCGTAGCGGCCTGCGGCGAAGGTATGGTGGCAATAATGAGGAGAAAGAGAGGTAATTTATCGAATCGGGTGCGTTGACATGTGATCACAATCTGGTATGTACATCTACATACATCTACGAGTACTCTACCGTTGCACCGGGTGAGATTAGGTACGGATGTTACTCTATGATAGTTACCCGTACTCGTCGAATGAGGATTCCCGGCTCGCTGGAAGAAGTGGAGCTTCCCGTGCTATGGCAAGACCATGGTACGAGGCCGGCCGAGTAGGTACTGTCATCTGGCGGGACATGGCCACTCCAGAGCTTCAATTCTACGTTTTTGAAACGGGCCCCGCAGACATGCTCGCGAGCGGGGATAACCAACACGGGCAAAAGAAGTGGACACCAGCAGACAAGTATTGCGGTATTGCGGTATATATGTCGAATTCAATTCTCTATGTAGTAGCAACAAACAACACAGAAAATCTCCGAGCCAACCGAATTCGAATTTCCAATGTGAGTGAGAAGCGGTGGTCTGTTCGCCGCGCTAGTAACGTGTTTTGTCGTTTATGTCATGCCATAGGTATGCGGGGTAAAATAGTGGGGACACTGGGGAGGTATGGAGGTGGACAGGCTTTTGGCTGTGAGTTCGTTCGCTGTCTGCTGATCGCACATACTCGACGCCGCGCTGGTCGTCGATTCGATAATGATACTTAGATAGGGATCCGGATCGCCATCCTCAGCAGGAATCACCAGCTATCTAGCCAGCGGATTCGTCCCGGGCGCGCCGTCCCTTCCCGCACCGGCACCGGCCCGGAGGAAGCACACGACATTGACGATATGGACTTATTGCAAATGCGAAATAAACGCAAGTTAAGTACTTACGGACGATCACCTCCGCTTCCCCCTCGGCCGCAGGCCTAACTAGCACCTGCTAAGTACTGCGCTCAGCACCAGATGCAGAGTAGATCCGAAAGTCACTCTCCCGCTCGTCGTTCGTCGTTTTATGATTTGCTCGATGGTCAACTATGAGGCGGCAAATCGGGATTCGGGAGTGCTGGCTAGCGCGGGTTTATTCTGAAGCAGTCTGCATTCTGCAGCTTGCATGTGTATGCCTGCACTGCAGACTTTTTTGCTGGTGGTTGCGGAAGATGCAGGACGACGATTGGTTTGCTGGGGATTTTCGCCTGGGTGGGGTTTTGTTTTTGTCAATCCCGCGCCCGTTGGCAACCTGGCACTGCGCAGACATCTGTAGGCTCGTTTCTTATTTCGTTCGTTCGTTTTGCAGGTTCTGGTTTTTTTCTTCTTTTCGGGCGGAGTGAGATCGGATGGAATCCGGTGGAGATGTTGGAAGGAAGGAAGACAGCAAGATGGAGGGACGGCTGGATGGGGGGTTTGCGGTTCGTCGGAAGGGCCAGATACGGTATGCAGAGTAACATAGAAATGCAACGGGGAGATTGGAGATCTGGGGTTTGTTCCCGCGAGCTGCGGGTTGAATGGCGGGGTAGCTATGGGTGTTTCGAGGGGGGTGTTGATTGAGGGTACGTACCTTCACTCAGCCCAGCTGTTTGAAACAGCTGCTCCCTCACGACGACCCCCGCAACATAAGCGGGAAACGTACCTAGTGGTGGTGGCGGTGGGGGTGGGTCGCTCTCAGCTCGCTCGCTCGCTCGCACGACTCCAGTCGGTGGGGCGGACGGGAGGGTCGGTCTCGGACCCTGTCCGACTTCGCGTCGATGGTCTCGCTCTCACATGTCGAATGATGTCGATAACAGGTAGTGCTACCGAAGTAACCTCTTCAGTGGCTAGTGGCCAGCCCGTCCACTTAGTCAGCCAAGCCCGTCCCTCGCTGGCCGCGCGTGATTGGTGCATGCGCTTTTCGCCCTCCAAAGTCCGTCTGTCCCACGCTCGTCCCACACTACCCACTTCCTCCACTCACACGACAGCCGAGAGTCCCCGTCTCCGACCGGAAAGTATCTTTCACCCGTCCCCGTCCAGTCGTCTTCGCCAATCTTTTCCCGCTCACTACTACACATACCCATACCACCCTCTCGTCAGACTACTTCGTGCTCATACCTAGATCCTTCCCCCCCCCCATACCCACCCCCCCCACAAGAAAAAAAACTCTCCAACTTCACTCTTTACATCATCTCCCTCCCCCCTCAACATCGTATTGTGATCGAAGAAGAAAAATCACTCCACCGTCGTTCTCCTCCTTATCGCCGCTGCCACAACACAGCACCTCCAACCTCGAACCCCAACCCGAAAATCAGAACTCGAGCCGCCGATCCATACGCACGCAAACGCACCTCCGATGAATAGCTAGAATGGCTTTTAACTTCAACTGGTCGCCATTGTCAACCTCCTCCACTTCATCCTCCGCCTTCTACGATCATGCGAAATCCCTTCTCACCGCCGCGCTAAACAAGTCGGAGAAGCCCCCCATCATCGTCGATGACATCCTCGTGGACGACTTGAACCTCGGCGGAGCCGCACCGGACTTGGAGATTCTCGAGATTGGAGATATCGCAGAAGATCGGTTCAGGGGGATATTTCGCATGAGCTACGATGGAGACGCGTGTTTGACTTTGCGGACGAAAGTTCAGGTTCGTTACCCTTCCCAACCACCACTCCCCCTCTCCCCCGAAGTTATTCTCGTTGGTTGGCTGTGTGGGTGTGCTGACCGGAAAATCAAGGCAAATCCGTTAAACACCTACCTTTCCACGACTCCGTCCTTCACATCGCCCGACCCTGTTGCCGCCAGCTCGCCCCTAACCATTCCGGTCCAGATCACTTTGAGCCATTTTAAGCTGTCGGGTTTCGTTATCCTCGTCTTTTCGAAAGCCAAGGGTATCACCTTGGTGTTCCGAAATGACCCTCTCGAATCCCTGAAGGTTTCGTCTACCTTCGACTCGATCCCGTTCATCGCCGATTACCTGCAGAAGGAGATTGAGAGACAGGTCCGCCGCATCTTCCAGGAGGACCTGCCCGTCGCCGTGCATCGGCTTTCCCTGAAGCTCTGGAACCCGGAGTATGCTGCCTCACTGGACGACGAGGCCACGGCCCCCTCGAAACCCTTGCGCCATACGTCGTCATCGGACGGGGATGAGGAGGATGAGGATCAATTCGTGAATCCACTGCTGACCCCTGCCGAGAATTCTGACGTGCCGCCGACCATGTTCTCGCAGAAGAACCTGCTCAAGTTGGCGTCACTAGTGGATTCGCAGAAGACGCTGTCGCTAGAAACGCCGTCGATCAGCGATGTAGTGTTCAGGGCCTGGGCGTCGGGAACGAACCACAACGTCACCATCTGGGATCGTCCCGGTGCGCTGGATGCCCCAACCACCCCGGCCATCAACACCACTCGCACGTATGACTTCTCGGAGACCGGGGAGGCGGTTGAAACACAGAGCACCATCAGCAACGGGTCGTCTCTACGCCCCAGTCTCGTCTCATCGCACTCTGGCAGACACGTCGCTCCGGCCGGTGCGCCGGGCCGACGAAGGAAGAAGCACAGGGTCGTAGACCTCCGGAAAAAGAAAGAGAAGGGTGATCAGACCGAGACCCCAGAGACATCCACCGAAACCACACCTGAAACATCCGCCGCCTCGAGCGAATGTGCCATCGAGGAGGGCTACTGCGAGCGTCCGCCGGCCAGCTTCCGCCGCGTTCGCGAAGATTCCATCGACTACGATTCGGACTCGAAACCTACACTCCCCCTTCGTCCCCTGCTCCGCCCCGGCACGCCCACTGTGCCCATCACGTTACAACGGCCTGCGTCCCCCACAGACTCGATCGCTACCGCCGACATCACATATCCCCCTCCTCCACGTGTATCTACTCCTGCCGCTGCTACAGCAGCGCGTGCGGCTCCACCAGCGCCCACCGCGTCGGCCCAAAAGGAGAAGGAGACGCTCCGCGCACGCGAGGCATCGTGGCGCGACCGCCAAGCGCCACCAAAATTCCGGATGCCCGCGGGAACCCAGGGAACGATACTGGAGCAGGCTATATTGAGCAAGATCATGGCCGAGATACAACGGTCTCTCGAAGAGGAGCGGATCAAGCGTGGACACACCACCAAGTGGGGGGTCGAACGCGAGCTGGAGAGTCTTTGCGCTGAGGAATTGCCGGCTTATAGACCACAATAAAGTTTGCATGCCACAACATCATCCGGAGTTAGTAACTCGTTATACATTGTCATTTTTCTATTTCTATTCCCTAGAGGTTTCTTTTTTTTTCTTTTTCTTTTGTCTGTTTTTTTTTCTTTTGCTCTCGTTTTGGCTTGATCGGTTTTTGCTGGCGGGAGTTTTTGTGGTGTTTTTTTTTATTCATTATTATCTCACTTGCATTGATTCTCACTTTGTTGTTTTTTCTGTCTCTGGGTTCGATAGGCCCGTAGTACCACACTCGCTCCACTCAATATTTCTCATGTTCCTTTTCTTATGTTCTTTTCTTCTACTGGGATTGCCTTCGGTGTTGCGGTTGCGGGGGAGTATAAAAAATTTGAAGTTTGAAGTTTGAAAGCTACTTTTTGGACGGCTTCTTGGTTGGTTGGGGGATCTGGGGTTGGGGGATGGAGGAAATTGGACGGTGTGAATAGTGGTATGTAGAATCTACATATTTTTCTGCCTGCAACTTGAAAGATAAGAGGGAATGTTCAGAGTACTCGTATGAGACAGCCTGCGTGCCTTAAGAATAAGGTAGGTAACCTCGCACATTCGGACCTCGGGGACGAGTGATAGCGGGAGGACGCAGATGCGTGAGGATGGTGAGAGCGATGGCGTAAGCTCGGGAATACCGGTAGGTAGCCGCTGTACAACCACATTATGTAGGTAGGATGTAGGTACTTTATATCCGGAATCTCCGACCCGCTGCCAATAACCTCGACAACCTCGGTGCGTACCTACATGGTAAACAAATAGGTATGCATACCGGGTAAAGCCCAACTCAGCTGATGTCTGATGAGTGACTGGACTGTGGCTCCAGGGACCGGAAGAACCGCACTGCCCGATCGAAGGTATCGAAGGTATCGAAGGTATTGTGGCTCCATAATTCATTGCCTTCACGTTACACGCCGGCACCCGGGCCCCCAAGAACCCGGGCGCCCGGGCAAACATGGGCAGGAACTGGTCTCGATCGACCGAATCTAACGTATCGATGCGCCATACAGGTCTATCGGTATCGGGTCCTGCTAGTGCCGGTAACGCGGCGGGCGGTGGAAGTGCTTCGATACCGAACTTTGGAGAGCACGTGGTGTCGTGTGCTTCTTTGCCGCGCGGAAGGGTACTACTAACTACCGGTAGCATTATCCGCGCGCCAGATCACCGTCGTTAATGTTGCTGGTGGGAGCGACGCTACCATCCATGATGGTGCGCGGATTGTGAGCGAATAAAGCACTGCTATGTAGAGTAGTAGGTCTTGATGGTAGATACAACTACGGTATTCGAGGCTTTCCAGTTTCCAATTTCGAGTACCTGCTACCTACCAAGCAGCAGATCACACCGCGCCAGCGTAGTTGGCTGGCTGAACCAGCTAGCAGTAAATGCAATTTCTCTCCAGCACTCTCTTCGAGCATCTAGGTAACCACATTAGTTTCCTCCCGCCGACAGCCTGAGTGGTGAGTCCTCACTCACTTCCTCCTCCAGGCTCTCGCCGATAGTTCCTCAATCACTCCGCCACAACGTCTCGGACGCGCACCGGAGGTTGAGAAAACATGCACTCCAACCCTCTGACTGGAGTGCCGGCTCTGTTTCATCCGCACATCTCACCTGTAACCTGTGGCCGTTGGTATGTATTTAAGAATACCACCACGTTTATCACGAAGGATTCTCGCCTCCACAGCCAGCAGCGCAAGACTTGTCACGTGATAACTCAACTGAGTGATATCCGCACGACTAGTGCTCCCTCCCTCCTCCCGTCACGCCGCAAACAAAACCAAAACCAAAACCAAAAACCGTTACCACCTCCGGTACGCAGTGGGTGGCTCCAAATGGAAATTCCAAGAGCTGACCGAATACGAAGGTCTTTGACCCGGGTTTGACCGGGAATTTTCCATCAGCTACTCTCGCCGATTGCGTGGTCTAGTAGTCGTGTCCTAGACCTCGCGGGTTTTTTCCGTGCTGGAGACATGAATTCGATGTTTATGCAGTGGTGGATGCCCGGGCTACCGCGATGGATAAGATCTGACGATACAACACTGGATGGCTGCGTTGATCGAGCGAGCGAATAGTGGCAAGCCGTGTGCTCTGAATCGATTATGGATCTGGTGCGACGTCTTTCATGTTTGAACGAATAACATAAATAGATCTGCGAGGCTGCACAATAGCCCTGGACGCAATCGATTAGAGATGTGGGCACTACCGTACTCGACCGTTTATAACGATGGAATACAGCTTCACTATGGATTCGCTAGTATGTACTTAGATCGGTAGAAGGATTATGAACGACTAAGTGGAGTGAGCGGCAGGATCTAAATTTCAGACTCAGAAGTACGTCCTCTTAATCGCTACGGGTTGTGTCTGTAGCAGTAGGTTAATTTCGATCTCCTGTTCGTGCCGGACTGCCTCCTTTGTCACCCTCTTGCGATTCATCGACCCGCAATAAGTATCACACATGCGTATGAAGTCCGAGCATTCCGCCCAGTGCCTAATCTGGCCGAGTAAGAAAACAACGCCTTCTCGCCGTCAAAGGTCCGGAGGTTAACTGTGAGACAACGTCACAATCGCAATCACCAGCGGTGGTTCGGATCAGTTCTGCTCCACCTGTTTTTAAACCAACAAAGGATATATCAACTTCAAAGACTGCTATTGCGGAATGAAACTCGTGGGAATACTTGCATTGCTGTAATCATCTCAATCTACTAGTATATGATCTTCTCAGTAGAGTATCTACGGTTGCCATCGGGACCGATTAATGGGTTTCCATCAGGACCGATTAACGGGATATAATGCCGTGTCAAACAATGCATCCTGGCTTTATCTCTGCGCTCCGCCGCCCAAACAGGTCGGACAATAGCTATGGAGAATTCTTCAGATTCAAACCTACAAACCTACAAACCTCCGCCCGCCTTCGCCGGCGATGACTCCCGTCACAATCCACAGATAAGCCGACAGCGGGTTTCACCGGAATGCACGCTTCACCAGTGCACCTATCCTCAACCAACAACCTTCAGCGGATCGATTGTTCGCAGCATAGAAATGTGCAACTTCTGGACGACTAGATTGACTAGACTGACCAACTTTTGAACGATTAGAAAGGCCAGCTTCTGCACGATTTAGAAAGGCCAGCTTCTGCACGGTTTAGAAAGGCCGTGGCCATGTCGATGTCTATGACTTCAGCTGCGTGCGTCACACACTTCACATTTCCCAGATACCTACGCCGACGAAACCCCCTTCTTCCGTCTTATCCAGCCCAATTATATTCTTCGAACCTGGATATTATATACCTTACGGCTACTATTCGATATGGTCAGGCCATCCGGACGAGCGGGCATGGGCAAGCGCATCGCCGTAATCGAGCGCAAGTCCATCCACCACGATCCGGGCTGCGACATTTCACAGCGGGAGGCAGAGGTTCTCACCTCATACGACATCCTGTCTAACTGGCGGAACACCCTCGTCGTCCCGGGTATGTAGTACCTCCCTTCCTCGAGCACTCAGCACCCCAACTAACAGCTCCACAGGTTGCCCACCCATCTGGTCACCACCGCCTTTGCCCATCCGAATCCCAGCGGATAAGGACGAAGATCCCACCCACCCACGGCAGCCCGCACGTCTCAATTTCCCGACGTGCCCGCTGGAACCTCTCTTCCGGGCACTACCAATCACTCGCCCCACGCTTTCTCTGCGGTCCTTCGACATCATCACGGACCGCCACTCGCTGCGCGAGCTGCTGGCGTTCCTGGGCAGCGACGCGGCCGATTTCCAGATCAACGCCGAGGTGGTCGCGAATACCCTGTTGCTGTCGGGGCAGGCAAGGTTCTGGGGCTCCGCGAGTGATGGGTATGGCAAGAGTCTTGAGCGGAGGTTCACCAGGAGACAAGAGTGCTCCCGGGAGAGTGTGATGCATTGTCGTGCGGTAGGGTATACGCTTGGCGGGCTGAGGTTGCTGGTGCGCTTCGAGGTCGATGCGTGCATTGGGGAGGAGGAGGCCGCCGCAGAGGAGGTGGAGCTGGAGCCGCCCCGAGAGGTGCCCGTGACGCCCACCGGAGTCCGCATCGTGCCTGGAGGAGTCTTGGTGCCGGAGGAGAGCATCGTCGAGCTCAAGTCCAAGGCCAAGGGGAAGAGGTATATCAGGCAGGCCGAGCAGCTGTGGTTCTCGCGCACGCCGATCCTCATCATTGGGTACCACGAGGGTGGCGGGAATATCGTCGAGGTCGAGCAGCGGGATGTCGAGAAGACCGGGTGGCTCGAGAAGTGGGAGCTCACCAATACCGAGAAGCTCCAGAAGCTGGTGAGAGCACTGGAGATGCTGCGGACGGTTATGGTGGTGAGGGGAGGGAGGTTTGCGGTCGTGACACAAAAGCGCCAGAGTGCGCTTAGTGTCTACGAGATGCAAAAGAGTTCTCAGTTTGGGCTGCCCGAGGATATTAAAGCGGGCTGGAAATAGATGGCAATGTACTTTGGTTTTTTTGGAATAGTTACTGCTTTCAAGACATGGGAGCTTCATTGAGAAACCCCTGGACTCGTGGCTCTTTACCTGTATCATGATCAAACTGATACCGTGAATTGCTGTACTCCATCAAGACCCCGCCTCACCAACATAACCGTGTACTCTACCTAGGCTACGTAGCGCACACCCGGCCTTGCTAAAAGCCAGAATTGCAAACAGCTTCATACCGCAGCTCCCTTAGGTCTTCATATTTCCTGCAACCTATCTGGCCTATGCCGAGTACAAGTTCTAAATCCTATCTGCAGCCCAGATAACCAGCTCAATGCGGTGACCCACCGCTACTCCTATTTGCTAGTCACAACTGTTGCCTCCTCAGCCGCTGCCACCCTTTCTGCCGGCGATGTCTCCTTGCAAGGGAAAAGACCATCAATACCACCAATTCCTGCTTTCAACGGAGCATTGGGTATAGTAACTACCTCCTTCTCCCCTGGTGGGAACCTCCACCGCAGCTTCGCGAAAAACGAGCACTTGATCAAGCCACATGTCCGAGTGATACTCTGTGCGGGCTCGTAACCGGCGGGCAAAGGGTTGGTAATTTGGTATACCCAAGACCTGCCGGTAGATTATGTTTTAGGCCCAGTTTGGGTGCCAACTGCATTTCGAATCTACCATACAAAAAGTGAGACGCAGTGTCGAACCATCAATTTCCGCGCAATGGGTCATTCTTTGGCACACCACCCTAAGCCAACAATTGGAGAAACTGCACATTGTCGACTGAGCCACAATACAAATCAACTCTACGGACAACCACCAGTTGATACCTGCGTATCCCCTACATGTCCGGGGCGTGTGTAAATTTGTTGCACTGCAAAGTATGCCTGGTTGGGAGGCGGCAGTGTGCCTACACAACCACACAGCTCACCGTCTCGATTCGCCTGGTTGCAGCTGTGCTGGTAGTAGTCACGGTTGCCACCTGCCACGGTTGATACCAGTTACGGTTGCTAGGTGCCATAACAGTCGCCGTCGCCGCCTGACCCACGGTACTTCAAACATCCTCGGTGTCAATACCAGAGATAATGAGCAACAGGGCGAATACAGAGGTTATGGGGCCGAGAGTCCAGTCAAAACAGGCAGTCATGTTGCAGGCGGGGGCGCCATCGGTGGATACTACTACACCGAGAGCGGCAGCGGACTCTACTACTAGGTACACTTTCATAGTTGGAAAAGCTTCAGGAGGAGGGAAGTGGGAATGTGCGCCGCTGGATACATAATGGTAGAGAGCCTGTTTCTACTAACTTACACCAGTTGCTCTGCGAAATCCACACGCCATCGCTGAATGCTTTTGATATCACTCGTTGCCAACCTTTCTGGATCGGTCCAGATCGGGCCGACTTGGTGCGGTGCAACAAATTTACGAGCGCCAGACATGTAGGGTATATAGCCCCTGTAGTTAGAAAAAGTGTGGCGTGCTGTTGAACATCTAGGATGCGTGCCGAACGGGGTCACATCGGGGGGAGCGACAGTTTTCTTGTGGTTGCAGCTTTGGTAACATTCAACTCGTCAAAACTAAAACTGCGAATTTTGAAAATTCAGCTAGCATCCGAACATGCCCTTACCCAATCTACGAAGTTCAGAACCGTTGCTTGAATTTCTTACTATTGATACCGAGTGAGTGCATGACGTGAGGGTCCCGTGCCCCTGCCCTCCTGCGTGGGGAGTAGAATTGAATTGGCGCCCCTGCCCTCCCGCGTGGGGCGTGGAATTAAATTCGCCGCCGCCAGGCTACCCCCATAAAACCCACACCGCACCCACCCCCCCAAGCTTTTTTCTTTCTTACATCATACAACTACATCTCCCTCCCAACTCACCTTCTCCTATCAACCCAACCTCAACAATAAATCCGACACTCGGAAACATCACATTTCCCAAATACGTACAACGACAAAACCTCCTCGATCCGGCTTCTCCTGCGCAATTATATTATATTCTTCAGACTTGGATATTATATACCTCAATATACTACAATTCGATATGGTCAGGCCTTCCGTACGAGCGGGCATGAGGCATGCGCATCGCCGTCATCGAGCGCGAGTCTATACATCACGACGCGGGCTACGATGTTTCGCAGCAGCAGCAGGCGGAGGTGCTCACCTTATACGACATCCTGCCGAACTGGCGGAATACCATCGCCGTCCCGGGTATGTAGTACCTCCCTTCCTCGAGCACTCAGCACCTCAACTAACAGCTCCACAGGCTGCCCACCCATCTGGTCACCTCCGCCTTTACCCACGCGGATCCCAGCAGACAAGGACCATGACCCCAGGCACCCACGGCCGCCCGCGGCCGCAGAGGAGGAGGAGGCCGCCGTGGAGGAGGAGGAGCTGGACCTCCCGAGGAGGTGCTCGCGGCACCCACGGGCGTACGTATAGTCCCGGGTGGGGTCCCGGCCCCCGAGGAGAATATCGTTGAGCTCAAGTCCAAGCCCAAGGGGAAGACGCATATCAGGCAGGCAGAGCAGCTGTGGTTCTCGCGCACGTCGATCCTGATAATTGGGTGCTACGAGGACGGTGGATATATCGTCGAGGTCGAGCAGCGGGATGTGGAGAAGACCGGGTGGCTCAAGAAGTGGGAGCTCACCAATACCGAGAAGCTCCAGAAGCTGGTGAAAGTGCTCGAGATGATGCGGACGGTTATGGTGGTGAGGGGAGGCAGGTTTGCGTTCGTGACACAAAAGGGCCAGAGTACCCTTAGTGTCTACGAGATGCAAAAGAGTTCTCAGTTTGGGTTGCCCGAGGATATTAAAGCGGGCTGGAAGTAGATGGCAAAGAGCCATCACTGCCACCGGTGGTGGCGGCGCAGGGAAGGGGCTGGGGCCCCGTGGAGAAGACGGGGTGGCTCAAGAAGTAGGAGGTCACCAATACCGAGAAGCTGCAGAAGCTGGTGAGAGTACTGGAGATGCTGCGGACGGCTATGGCCGTGAGAGGGGGGAGGGGGGAGGTTTGCGGTCGTGACACAGAATTGGGCGAGTGCGCTTAATGTCTACGAGATGCATAAGAGCTATGTATCGGTTTGGGCTGCCCTAGGATATCAAAGCGGGCTGGAAATAGATGGCAACGTATTTAGATGTTTTTGGGATAGTTGTTTTGTTTTTGTTTTTGTTTAATCATCATGGCTTTCGACCTTACCAGATCATGGCTGTTTTGGGATACATGTTACTGCTCCCACGACACGGGTGACGAGAGCTTCATTATGAACCTGTCTCATTACCTGTATACGGTAGTGATCAAACTGATACTTACCGTGAAGCTGTATGTACTCCATCAAGACCCCGCCTCGTCAATGAAGCCACCGATGTCTCCTTGCAAGGGATAAATGATAACACCATCAATATCTGCTCTCGACAGTGCACTGGCCAACCACCTCCTTCCCCCCGATGGCCTGAGTACCATGGCTAGCTGGTCCACAGGAACCCCCACCGCAGCTTCGCGAAAAACGAGCACTTGCTCCAGCTCAGCTCACTTATCCGAGTGATACCCCATGCGGGCTTGAAACCGGTGGGCAAAGGATTGGAATACGGTATCTACCAGCAGATTCGGTTCGGAGTTCCAGCAGTTCCAGTACATAAAAAGTTAAAAACCAGTAGCACTCCATCTCCATCGGCCGCCTACGTACGTTGATAGTGTGAAAGGGTGAAAGGAGTCGTGACTCTCTCGAGCCAAGGGGCTCGTTGCCGCTGTTAGTAACAGGTACTTGTCTACATAGGTACGTACTCCACCTCAACCTCCATCCAGGTCCTAGGGCCCAGGATCGTCTCCGCTCCTCCGGGTTCCCCACGATAGTCAACATGCAATATGAACATACGGTATTTCCCCTGGCCCGCAGCCCGCTCGTCCGCGTCGACCAGTCTACTCGGGATTCGGGATTCGGTATTCGAGGTTGGACAAACTAGCGTCGCGTCGTGTCGCCTAGTCCTGGCACCTCGTCCCCCCGACTCCCGACCCAGGAATTTCACGCTGTTCCCTTACACATCACATCACATCTGCCCTCCTATGTACCATCCCCCGGATTCGTCCTCATCACATTCCCTCTTCCCCGGTATCCTCCCGAGCCTCGCTCATAGGTTGATATCACATCACATTGCACATCACTGCAAAGATCGCCACAGAATGACATCAATTACCCTGTACCAAACCGTCTATCGATCTCTAGTTTGTATGTATGTCTGCGAGTGCGAACTCATGCTACCGCAGCCGTCGCCTCTATTTATAGAAACCCCAGTGCCACATCCTCATCACCGTCATCATCCAAGCATCCAAGCACCCGTCAAACCTCATAAAAGTTTCCCTTATGTACAATACGCACGCGAACCATCGCATCATCTCCGTCTCCGTCTCCTTCAAGCAGACATCAGTCGTGTACGCCACACGAAACAAACAAGAAAATAAAAGACACAGGACAGAAAATAAAAATAAAATAGAAAAGAAAAGAAAAATAAAATCTCAAAAACACCAATCCAATGCAAATACAAACAGGAAACAAACCACATGGAAAACAAGTAGCATGATAATCAGTCGGTAACAGGTAATATCCCGCTCTTCACGCACCATCACATCCGTCTGCTAGCGTCCATCTCATCCTCGACCGCCAGGCGAGCGCTCAGACTCCAGGCGGCATTCTTAAGGTTCGCGCTGGGACTGGCGAAGCTGCTTGCGCGGCCACGGACACTGAAGCTCTCCGGGTCCAGCCCCGTGCGGCCATCGACACCCCCGACAAAGCTCTCGTTCGGATCCTCGCCGTCCATCAGGGCCTGCTGCGCTAGCTCCTGCGCGAACCGTGTTCGGTATGGAGACATGATGTTGCTAGTCATGTTGGCCGAGGGGAAGCGGGCCGTCTTCATGTACGAGTCCAATTCCGAGCTGCCCCGCGGCTTGGGTGGTGACGCGGCGAGGGCTTCGGCGGAGTAGTCAACATAGAAAGTCAGTGGTTCGCCACCACTCGGGGGCTCTTCTTCGGGGATGTCGGCGGCGGGCTGGTTGCGAGGGGATGTGGATGCTGGCGGCGAACGGAGGGACGAGAGCCGCGGAGTGATGGCCATCGGCACGGATGTACCGAAGGGAGAGCGCGCAAGTAAGACTTCCGGTTCCGGAGTAGCACGCTCCGACTCCTCTTCCGGAGGCGGCGATGGAATGTATTTGTTGATGCTTCTCCGCCGGAAGTGCCCGGAATCCTTATTAGCCGCGAAGCCCCATGTCGTGGTGGCCGGAAGCGATGATGCGATCCGTGCATGTGGTGCCATCGTGCCCGCCGCACTTCCGTTGGTTCGCATGGGGTTCTGCGTGAAAGAGGAGCTGAAAGGACTCGTGAAACGGGAATGTGTCATGGCTGGCGCCGGCACTGGTGATTTTCCGAACGAGAATGGCTCCTTCGAGAAGGAATATTTTGAGCTTGGTGGAGCAGCTCTGGATGCGTATGATGCTCGTAACGAAGCTGCAAGGTTGATCTCACCCGCTTCGGGAGCTATCTGCTGGGCCGCCAGCTGTGCTTCGATCAGCGGCGAGAGGTCCCGATGCGGCGGTGTCTGCGGTAGAGCATCCGGAACCGTCTCGTCGAGGTCAAAGAGACCTTCGTCGTCATCGTCATCGTTATCGCTCATCTTCATGGTGCCGTTGAGGTTACTTGGGGTGAGCTGGGACGTCCAAGAGCCCGTAGTTAAATCGTTGCGGCGCGAGGGCATGGCGTCATTCGTCGAAGTGCCCATGCCGTTGTAGTGATCAGCACCGAGTCCCAGTCCCGTCAGGGTCGGCGTGACGAGCTCATCGCCATGATACCTTGAGAAATCGCCAAGACTATTCGACCCAATACTTCTAAACATGCTAGCCGGGATCGTTCTATCCTCCACGTGCTGGACCGTAGGCCGATCTTCGAGTCCCATCATCTGTGCCCTCAGGTGCTCCATGACCGCGTCATGCGGGCGTTCCGTGTAATCCACCTCTTCAACCTCCTCGTAATCGACATCATCGGCGTCATCCACCACGCCGAAGTTCCAAGTCACTTTTGTTGGCGGAGGACTACTCCGCGACGGCACAGTGCTCTCGTCCTCGAATTGGAACGTCACCTTCTTTGGCGATTTTGGTTTCCTTTCCGAGCGTCCGTGAGAATCGAAATAGCTCGAAGACTTTAGCGACGACGCAGGCGGAGCTGTGGGCGAGCTGTTGCGAGACGGTGGTTTCGCTCCGGGAACGTCGGTAGCCATGGCGGTGGAGGTGGAAGTAGTGGTTGTGGTAGGAGTCGACGACAACGGATCGTATTCGCCCCCGCGTCTATCTTCGAGAAGTGGCAGATAGGAGGGTGCAAATAGGCCGGCGACTTGAAGCTCTTTCTCGAACGGCGGCGACTTTTGCCTGAGCAGCCTCACTTCGGGCGGAGTTCCGGGAGACGTAGATGCGAGAGCAAGCGACTGCCTGATGAGGTTGTTGTTGTTATTGTTGTTGCTGCCGAGTGGCGATAATGAGCTGATGGGCACCACAAGTTCACCGGGTTTGTTGCTACCGGTGAGTGATGTGTTGGCGGCGGCGGCGGTGGCAGCTTCTTTCTCCCTTCGTTTAGCCTTAGCCTCGGCCCGTAACGCTGCCTCGAACCGTCGATATTCCGCGTCCTTCCGGATCTTGAACTCTTCAATCTCGTGATCCAGCTCGAGCCGCCTATGTCGTAACCTAGTCTTAAGCTCCTCCTCCTCTTCCAGATCAATATTTGTCGTGGTGGATGTGGTGGATGTGGCAACGATAGTAGCGGGGACGGGGACGGGGCCGGGGGCGGGCTCGGGTTTTGAGTCGGCGGAAGGGGACGGCGGGTGCGGGGAAGTAGGTCGCGTGCCTTGATTGCCGGGCGGATTGCTATCGGGCGCCGAAGAGGAGGACGACGACGACGACAACAACAGGGAAGCGGGGGCGACGTCGGACGTAGTGGGCTCGGAGGCAGCCGCGATAGACGTGACTGATGGCATAGTGACAGAGGATGGGCGGGATCGGAGGTTTTAAGTGCGGGCTGGTATAGCGGGAATAATTTGGGGGAGGTTAATTCGGGGGTGGGGAAGGACGATCGCTTGGTGGTGTTCGGGATGGGGTGGGGAGGGGGGGGGGGGGGGTGTGTGTCTTGGTGTGCGGGTTTTTGGGTGGCAGACAGAGTCTGGGGCTGTTGGGTTGTAGGTGGGACGTAGTCTGGTATGGGTCTTGACTTATTCTAGTGTGAGCGGGATGTATAGCACAGCACGGGTCGAATAGGTTTTGTGGAGGGGTGTAGGAGGATGTGGAGGGTGGTGGGGGGAGAGAAGGGAGGCGGGCGACGCAAGCAGCTGTCAGTCCGTCCGTCGAGCAAGGAAGCGGAGGCAGATTGCAGCCGCAAGCAAGCAAGCAGCAGAAGCAGCTTGTCGAACGGCGGATTCGAAGTGTGTGGAATCGGTTGTGTGTGGAATCGGTGGTGTGTGGAATCGGTGGTGTGTGGATGGATGTATGAGTTGTGTTAGGTTGCGTTTATGTGTGTGTGGTATGCGTTGCGCTGTGCGATGGCGAACTGGCCAACGGCGCAGGGGGAAACGGGATTGATGGGGGTGGATGGCCTTCGCTCGATGGAGGATGGCGTGTTGCAGAAGCAGGCGGCGGCGTTGTTTGGGTGAGGCGAGGGGAGGCGGAGAAGATGGGGAGGGGTGGAGGGATGACTCAGGGTTCATCCGACGACGAGGAGGCAGAAGGAGAGCACGGCAGGCAGAATGGAACGGAGTCAGCGAGGGAGGAAAGGAAAGGGCAAGAGGGAATGGGCGAGGTAGGGTAGCTGTTGCTGCGACGATGATGATGTAGCTTCGTAAAGTACTAGGTCAAAAGTTTTCGTACGAGGGCCGTTTTACACCAAAAATGCCCATTTTCAAGTAGCCAAAACCCACCCTTCACGTGGCGGAAAAAAATCGAGTCTTTCATAGAAGCTTTAGAATCGCAAGATGCATCACATAGAAGAAGTCTGGCGACTTTTGCTTCGGATTGGTGGCGCATGGTACGGTGTTGTGCACGGGTTGGAGAGTGATTTCGGATTTTGTATGGGGCCCCCATGCAAAATTATTGCGTGACAACCAGTTTCAACACCAAATTTTCTCCCGTCCAGTTAGAATTACGTGCCGATTTCGATTGAGGTTCTCTACCTGGTCTAGGAGACCTTCTAATGGTCCACGTATTTTTATACTACCTTCTGGTTGCTGTATCTATGGCGGGAAATGGCCTGCCTCGGTGAAAGGGAAATCCGCCAAGCCACCCTACTTCGCATAAAATATTCAGCCTGGCGAGCTGGAAATCTCATTGAAGCTTTATTAGTATATATTCATGATATATGCTAATTATTGGTGCTCTCTAAATTGTGGTTGTTGTGTTATAGAGATATATGTCTGTGGTGTGGTGGCGCGGAGGTGAACGAAAACTTTTGACCTGGTACATACTTGTTATGTACGCGCAGCAACAGCCAATAAGTAACTACTACCGTAGCGGGCACGGGACGAAGATCAGAGACCACGTCTAGATTGACAGCGAGAGAGAGTCCGACACCGACGGGAAATCAGGAAGCAGGAGTGGAATGGATTGGAAGAGGCAGTGCACACGCGCGCTTCTGCATCCAATGCGTCCTCTGCTTGCGATGGTGGCTCGATTGCTGAGGATTGACTGATTGGAACAAAGCGTTGGGCTGCAGGTGTGACTGATGTGGCGATGATGAGTAGCTATGGTATGTATGCGGGGAATTTGCGGGGACGGCGATGGTGAGTGGACAGAGGCGATGGCGGAAGGTGCCGAGTGCTGACAGTTGCGCTGATCGGCTTCACTCGCTATTCTCTTGTCGACCACGAATCACATCATGAGGGACCTCGAGAAGAGTGGGAGCAGAGTCTGTCCAACCGAGAGCTTGGTTCGTCGAAAGCTCACTTGACTCGTTGGGCAGAAGGAGAGGAAAGGCAAACAGTCGAACCCACGTGTCGAGTATCGGTAGATACACAGAGTACCTACCACTGTACGCTTCAATTCCAGCGAAACAAACACCGCACGGCGCATTCTCGCAGGGTCATCTCCCATCTTCTCTGCCGACCAGGCCATCTCCGCATCGATATCATCGCCGCCTCTGCGGAAGAAAAAGTGCACTTTGGAGTACAAGGTACCTACTGCAGAACCCATTCCAAAGTAGCGTGGACTGGTGGAGCCGCGAGCGTGGCGTCCTCCTGTAGAATCTAGATTAGATTGACTATCTAGCGGCCGCACTCGCCACTCGCCACCGTGCGCCATAGTTACTTTTGCACCTAGAGTACGCCGTAGTTACGGTTAGGTAGGCCGGTCTTACATCTCCACCACAAGCTCCTTCCATCTTTCTTGTCGAGCTTCATCTCCATATCCGCGCGCGCATAAAATAGAGTACCATTTCATCTCTATGCCCTATGTCCCCCACGCTTCCACCCCACGTACTTTACTTTAGAATCACTACTCTCGCACCGGCTGGACACCCCAAATCTACCATCCACATACGCCTCGTGAGTCGTTTGCGGGGGATCTGCAACTGCGACTCAGGGCGCCGGCATTGCGCATGTTTTTTTTTGGCACTGTTCCTGTGCGATGTGGTACATACATTATACATACTTCTTGTCTAGCCGTCCTCAGCAGTTAGTCGTGCCGCTGATTCAAGCTGAAGCTGGTTTGGCGCGGGGGTTAGTTACTAGTAGTTATGTAAGCCGACCGACCGACGACCGCGAGGTTACACGGATATAGTTACTTCATATATAGTGGACTTCAGCCCCATCCCACGGAGCGTGTGTGTGTGTGTGTGAAGATGAATGCATAAGGTATCGTGCGTTCGTGCGTGTGTGCGTTCGTCGAGTACGATACTACCATGTGGATTCCGCTCACTCGCTCCGGTTGATATGGCTAAATCAACACCAGCAAAGGTGTGTGGAGCGCGAGATTGGCATGCGTACTCTACGTGCGTGCGTGACGGCCGATGGTATGGTGCTTCATGTACGCAAATGGGGTTTTTGAGATTGCTGCAGCCGGCGAAGGTGGTGGTGGTGGAGTTATTACTGCTGCTTGGACGGTCGATGGTTGTGGATGGATGAAGTGAGCGGGATCGGGGTGTGGGATGTGCAGGCGGCGGGCGCAACTCTGCAGAGTTCGCATGGATCATCACTCGCTCGCATGTTTTTCGTGTTCATGTTTCAACTCAACCATGGTGGAAAATCAGATCTGGACTTTTGGATTGGATTTTCTTTCATTCTTTACAAAATAACTCTACACAGGACCCGTAGGTATACAAACTCCCTCACTCCTCGAAACTTTTCCGTCCCACAACACATCAGCCAGCAAACAGAACGAACAAAGGAAAGAAACAACAAGACCACAGCTTTTAGCCAGATACCACGGTCTCAATCCGAGAACGGCCGTCACAGGAGCCCCTCAACGCTGCCCTGGCAGGAACTACTGAAGATCCTGGACCGGACCCTCACAGAGGTCCGGTCCGAAGGAGTACCGGCAGTTCCTGTACCAAGGCAGGCGTCTCAGACGCATCCTCGCACCCAGACAGGTCCCAATACTGGCCATCCGGAGCGTGCACTTCCCCGCCTCCTCGTCAAAGTCGACCTCCTCGCAGGCGATCCGGAGCTTCCCTGACTGGGCTTTCACGTCCGCAGTCAACTTGTCGACCCTCGTTCCCGCCGGGAGGCCCTCGATGACGAGTACTCGGGTCGCACCCTCGTATTTGATCGCTTTCGCGATGTTCTCTTTGATGGGCTCGTGGCCCCCCTTGGCACACGGGATCGCTTCAATACTCGCGAAGCACGCGCGGCCTACACCCGTCCACCGTCTGGTGAACCGGATGTAGTCGCGCGCGTGCTCCGCGAGCACGAAATACACCCCGGCGCAGCCCCGTTCGGGTGTGAAATCGACCCGCTCAATCCGTCCCCCGCGCACGCAGCCAAGGAGCTCGGACATAGTCAAAGACTTGTTGCTGAACTTGAAAAATGTGCCGCGGGAGTTGGGCAGCAAGAAGAGGCTCTGGACGTGGCGGTGGGTAGGCGTGACCACGGGATCTCCACAAGGATCAAAATGCTCGTAGTATTGATCCGGCGTGCGGGGAGGGGCCACCGAGGTCGGCTCCCAGTTGGCTTCATTGGCGGTCTGTGCCTCCGCCACGGGACCGACAGGAACGTATGGGGGGTACAGGGCGGACGGGGGGTACAGGGCGGACGGGGGGTACGGGGCGGACGGCGTAAACCGAAAAAACCCACCCCGCGCGGGAGCAAACGGAGCAGCCGGAGCAATCGATGGTACAGCCTTAGTGGCCGTACTCACCGCAGCAACGGGCTCAAGTCCCGGCATTTGCTCGGAATCCTCTATGTGTTTGATATCTCGTCAACACTGTAGCTTGAGATTGGAGATTGCGATTGACGAAGGGCAGGTAGATGGGGAAGTTTTATGATGGGATTGCAGAGAAAATAGAAACGGGAGTGAGGATGACTTACCCAGCGCCATGCTCTCCCTGTCCCACAGGTGGCCGAGGACGTGGTCCACCTCTTCACCAGTCAGGTCCGGAAGGATCCTGACGGCGGCACCGCTGACTGCTGAGGGCTTGCAGCTGCTGAGCAGAGCTCGCCCGAAGCAGCAGTCTCTGTGTTGGCAGTTCACCATCTTTTCCGTCTGGTGAATGTCTTGTGGTAGAAGCTGGGAAAACTGTGTGAAATCTAGGATTAGAAACCGTCAATACAATCGAACGGGTGGTGGGACGTACTCGAAGCTTTGGTATGTACAAGATAGTCGTAATTTCTCTGGGTTGTCTTCTGTGAAGGAGCGGAACGTTAGCCTCGCCGTCTGCGAAGTAAAGGGCCGTTGTGTATGGGTGGAAAACAGCCTGGGGAACTTGGCAAGAGATGAGGCGGGGATGTAACAGAAGGAAGGGAGAGATAGAGGTACCGAAGTAAAAGATGAGGTGGGGATGTAGGAGAAGGGAGGGAGAGATGGAGGTACCTTATTGTAGTAGGGGAGGGAGCTTTACAGAAGAAGTAAAGGATCGAAGAGGTTTCAGACGAGAAGGTGTCCGACGAGGAGATATGTACAGGATAGTTGCGAGGGAAAGAGAAGAGAAGGAAAGGTTGAGGAGGTATTAGAAGGAAGAGCGAGGCTCTGTGGTTGGAAGCTAGTGCTTTTTAAAAAGTTATGAGCTGCAGGGTCGGAAGACGACTTGGAATATGTTGTGAGTTGTAGCTGTGAGCAGAGTGTGGCGAATGTGGCTTATCTCGTGACATTTTGTAGGTGGTGAGAGTTCCTATGTAGCCACGATTTGAGATAGTGGCGTTCATAGACCGTCACTCGGTGGCGGTGTTATTGCGTGCGGTGTTGTTTGACACAAACTAAAACTACAAGATAGGTCGTAAGCCATTAATGAAAGCCATATTACATACTGTATGGACTTCTCATGAAGATTTGGTAAGTTTAAACCTGATTCCTATATTTTCCCGCGTTGCAGTGGGCCAGGAGGCTCTTCGGTCTGTGGGGTTGAGGACATGTGCCGGCGGCTGCCAGAGCTCAGGGCAAAACTTGATGCGCTCTCTACCTAGATCAGTACGGAACCGTGCGTAGCCGAATATATTCAAGCTGTATTTCTGCCACTTAAAGTGCGGAAGTGAGTAGGTAGTTGGACACATGAGGTGGGTCCATCAGGCCTGGAATTCACACCAGCGATTATGAGCATTAGAGTCACGATGATCACGATTCAGTGGCGGGATCATGAACTCCCACCGGTGGCATCCCGTGCCTCGCGATGGTACGACCCCACTGGACCAGCAAGCCACGGGGCGGCGGTGACTTCCTCCGACTTACATGCAGCCAGAACCACGGGAACATCAAAAGCGGAGACGATTGATTGTGTCCACCCAGTAACTTTAGGGCTGTGACACTGCGTGCGCTGGCTACCTAAACAACGGGATCCCGCGCATGGCATGCATACTGCATATTACCGTGTGGATGATCTTCGTATGCATCTGCGGTGGGAAAAATAAAGTGTTGTAGATGCGGCGGCCGGCTGGAGAGGCAAACAGCCTGACCTCCTTTGGGGCGGCGCGGGGAAGGTTGATTGATTCGGGCTATCCTGTTGAGGCTACGATGCTATGGCTTAGGGATCACGATCCTCTCGGGCCATTTGTGGTCGATATGCTTCCATATCTACAGCCAGAAGCACGTAAGGACACCTGAGTAATATCCTCTGCCTCCGATTTAATCCCCATTGAATAGACCATAGAAAAGTTGCTGGGACTGAGATAGTTATTATCCTTCTTGTTCGGTGGACACAGTGTCGTTTGTTCTCCATCGCCCGCCTCAACAGCCGAACGTGCTCCATATCCACGGGAGGCAGCATCGGCTGGAATAGTTTAAATTAGGATTTTGAGTTGGCAGCTTCCAAAACTAAACAGATCCTCAGCTGGGAAAGGGAGAGCGGGTGTCCCGTGTGGCGCATGCCGTCCATATAAAAGGAGGGCTTCCGGTGGCCAGAAGTTTCTCGCGGGAAGGTACTGTGCGGGGTGGAAGGGAACTACAAACAGAAACCACTGATGTGGTGGCTGTGAATGGGTGAGGCGTGTCCATCTCTCAGAGGAAACATCACCTGTGGCTTTCCGCCTCTGTCGTTTGAACCAAGAGGTTTAAATACGCACAATCCATGAGGAAAGAGCACAAAACAACGGCAAAATTACCTCTGGCTCCACTCTTGTTACAAAAATTGATCTTTCCTGATTGGTGTAGATACCTACGCACGCACATACAACCGACAATGCCGCACATCCAACTCCTCCACATCCGGCAATCGGCATCCACCGGAGCCGAAGTGGGTCGCTCAATCGGCATCTCGATCGGTACTATTATCAGCATCGTAGCCGTAATCAGCATAATAGTACTCTTCTACCTCCGAAGGGAGAAAGAGCCTTCCTTCTCCACCGCCGCGCCGAATGCGATGGATCCGGTGATACGGTATGATCTACCAATAAGCGGGCTTAGGCCGTCGATGAATAATGGTGAGGTGGGGTGGCGGCCAGGAGGCACTAGCGAAAGAGGCCCTGATGGAGGCAGAGACAGAGGCGAAAGCGAAGGCGGAGGAGGAGGAGGAGGAGGAGACCGAGGAGGAGGAGGAGGAGGAAGAGCAGGAGGCAGTGGTAGTGGTAGTGGTGGGTATCCGCGGTTTCCTCCGAGAGCTTCAGTCAGGGGACATCTAGCCGAGGATTGGATTGGTAGCTTTCCCGACGAAAGCAGCATCTACTCGGGCGCAACCTTAAGTGAAGGTGGACATGGGAACCGAAGTGGGGATGGAGGTCAATATCCTGGCGGCGGAGGAGTCAACAAAGGGAATTCTGAATGGGTATCAAGAGGAAACCGAGCCAGAACCAGGAGACGTGATCGAAGAGAGGATGGCAAGTACAGAGGGCAATATCCTGCTATGAATATTCCAGGCTTCTACGACCGTCGACCACCACCGCCGTCGCGGTCGCGATCAAGACCGTCAAGGCATGAACTTCAACTTCAGTGTCCCCGGTCACGTAGCCCTCACCGCCAGCCCAGCTCTCGTTCGCGATCAGAGTCCCGCCAGCCTCACAACGCACATAGCTCACGGTCTAGATCAGGATCCCGTCAGCGTCTCCAAAGACCCAGTGGTCCATCTACCACTACTTCCGTGCCGTCTTCATCTCCGGAATACCGTCAGCCGCCTCCGCCTACATCAACCGACTTCCCGAGAGATATGCCACCGGCGCTTTCCACAGAGTACAGTTCCTCACCCTTGCTATCTCCTCCAACTGTTCCACTACCTCCACTCCTCGTTTACCCACAGCCTCCGCCATCCACTACTATATCCGATTCCTCTACTCCGAGCGCACGGCCTGACGACCGTACATCCGAGCGCCCTACTCTCTTTCGGCCCTTAACCTCACTCTCATTGCCTCAAACTCTGCGTCCTACGTGTAATCGCGCTCCCCATTCCGCTCCTATATCCTACTCTCTCTCATCATCACCGCCTTCGCGTCATTCGTCTAATGTCTTACCACTCCAATCGCCGCAACCACTGTCTCTTCTGTCACCATTTTCATCACCATCAATCAGCCAGCGTCTGGCCCCCGTGATCCATATATCTTCCTCTTCCTCTTCCTCTTCCTCCCCGTCCTCCTCTGGCTCCTCTCCATATCATCACCGGCGACCTAGTATGGACTCACATGCCTCAGCTACATCAACACCTCCACTGCCCACGCATCTATATCCGCCGAGCACCTGTGATACCAGCACTGCACCCGTCCCAGAGGAACCTCATCCTGGCAACCTCGTTGATTTCAGCAGCATCGACTATACACCTCCATCTTCTTCGTCACTGACCTCACCTACCGAAACTATCGGTAGGACCATCCACACCGCGGCTGATCATCCGCCTCCGCCGCGAACATGGCTCAGGAGATCAACGAGTCAATTATCGAGCATACTGCAAAGCAACAGCAGCTCCAGCAGCACGCGTCGTCGAGGGGGCCTACGGCGGACTATCTCATCCACCGTCGGCCTGCGAAATCCGAACCGACAACAGTCACCACCTTCCTCACCGACTTCCAAACCACCTGCACCCACGGCCACTACCGTTATTTCGGCTACAGCGACCCATGCGCCACCCACAGTGACGATAGTCCACCCATCACCTCCACCATCCGAGCCATATGAACGAACCCACATCCCCCCACTCGACCAAGAGGCGTCACTCCCTTTCTCGCCGTGGCCCCAATACGCAACACAACCACATGCTGGCCATTCACCAGCACGAACACCATCCGTAGCGCAATCAGCGCCAACGTGGACACCCTCCACCCCCATCTCCACCTTTGCTGGAAATCCACGGCCGCAGAGTGCGCCGCCAGAGTACGCATCGCATGACGGCAACGCTGACATTGGCGTGGAAGGTGGAAATCTAGTACTGGAATACGCATCACAAGATGGCGGCGCCGGCATGGGTAGTGGGGGAGAGGGAAGTCTACCGCCGTACTCACCACCGCGGCCGGAGCCACCAGCTTACTTTTCGCCGAGACCCACAGCTGCAGTACCGGTGTATTCTCAGTCGAGGCGTGCATCTGCAGTGGCAGTTCCGGTTACCTCAGATCCGCTGTCGGAGCCGCCGGAGTATTCTTCCCAGAGACCGGCGGAGGAACCTGAGGAACCTGAGGAACCTGAGGAACCTGAGGAACCTGAGGAACCTGAGGAACCTGAGGAACCTGGGGAACCTGGGGAACCGGAGGAACCGGAGGAACCGGAGAAACCGGAGGAACCGGAGGAACCGAGGGCACCGGGGGTACCTGGGGGCGTGGATATGAGGGCTACCGTGGTGACAGTGACGGATGTGGGAGATAGGTTTGACCTAGAGGCCGAGGATGGAGGGGCTTGAGGAATGTGCGATTATTCGGAAGTTAGGTTGCATTTACTATGGTTGTAAAGTGTAGACAGGGTGTTGAGATTTCTGCGTTTTGTACTCAATCAATGGTCTACCCTAGATAGACAAAAAAGTGGATCATCCTAGATATTACTGTCGAAAAGTGGACTATCTAAGATAAAACCTGAAAAAACTTTTGCATACCATTATCAAAGACTATTGTCCCTCTCCACCACCCCCCCTCTATGGGTGACCTCAAATGAGGCCAGCCCCCCGGGCAGCAAAAGTCAGACCGGCACCGGCCCACAACCGCGAACCGAAGTTACCGGACAGATCCGCTCCACCCACCTTGAGTCTCTTGGTAGACGATCGCTCGTCCACCTCAACTCCCTCTACAGGCTCCTCCTCGCGTCGCCTCTTCCCTCTCGTCGCCGCCATGCCCTCACCACTACTCTCCCAGTCGGGATGACGCTCTCGAAATTTCTTCAAGAGCACATCACCACCCTCGCCAACAAAGAACGGGGGCGGAGGACGGGAGAGCCTTGGGCGGGCATCTTGGCGACGAGTGGAAGAAGGGGGGGGAGAGGGAGGGCGTTGGACCGACTGAGCCGGCCCGAGGCACTCCTTATCGGGAGTTGGTCCGCCCGCCTGCCTCAAGTACCGCTTGTGTACTTGAGCCGGCGAAAGGCGCCTGGCTTCGGCAATTGCTGACGTATTGGCCTGGCGGACCGCCTCGGCACGTCTCTGTCGCTTTAACGCCCTAGCCTGCGCCGAGGCACGGCCATGCTCTTGCGCCTGGCGATCCAAGAGCCATTGCTGCTGGACCTGCTGCTGAACCTGCTGCTGAACCTGCTGCTGCTGGACATGCTGCTGCTGGACATGCTGCTGCTGGACATGCTGCTGCTGGACATGCTGCTGCTGGACATGCTGCTGCTGGACATGCTGCTGCTGGACATGCTGCTGCTGGACATGCTGCTGCTGGACATGCTGCTGCTGGACATGCTGCTGCTGCTGCTGGACCTGCTCGAGCTGCTAATGAGAGTTAGTAAGCAGTCAATCTCACGACTGAGGCGGCTGCAGGGTACGAACCTGCGAGGCCTGTGGCGCACGTTGAGGAGGAGTATCCGGCTGAACCTTGAGGGCTTTATTCATGCGAGAAGTCATGGTTAAGACTCAAGAGCGATCGAAGTGTGATGTACTACCTAAGCCGTGAAGGGTCGAAATTGTCACTTATGTGATGTCTGAATCAGCCTTCAGGGAGAGTAGAGTCAGTTGTGTGGTAGAGGGTAAAGAGGAGAAGAAGAAGGAGGAGGAGGAGGAGGAGGAGGAGCGGGAGAGGGAGAAGAAGAACAGCGAACATCCTGGCTAGTTGTGCGGCGAAGTTCGACACACTAGCGTTTTTATCACCATTCATTTCAACGGCCGCCCAATTAAGACAGAAGCCATGCATAGATCGTCACTCGAACGTTAATCGCTTTTCAGCCGCGAGACTCACTCAGCGGAATATCTACGGTTGAACCCAATGCAATTGGAATGAACAGAAGTCGGCGCAAGTGAAGTCCCATAAGTATCGGTGTCCCCCTGCCAACGCAACGGTCAAAGTCCGTACTTCCTTCTCATTTCACCCTTGGTCATTCGCTACTTGGGTGGAAAAGTGGACTATTCTACCTAGATAAAACCCGAGAAAAAAAATTGTAGAGACCCAATCAAGTCCTGTATATTGCCATAGAGAATTCGTTCATCCCCTACACGTCCTGCGCCTGTAAATTTATTGCTGTGCCTGAAGTTGGCAAAATTTGGACCGATGCAGAAAGGTTGGCAACGAGTGATATCAAAAGCATCCGAGTTGATTCCGCAGAGCAACTTGTGTAAGTTATAGTAGAAACCTCCCTACCATTACGTACATACCTAAGTACCTCGTTTCTGGTGGCGTATATTCCCAGTTCCCTCCTCCCTCCTCCGGAGAATTTTCAGAATAGTCGACACAGAAAAACAGGTTACAATCTTCACAAGACCGGCTATCCAGTGGTGCCCCCTATATGTGTACCTGTTATTAACAGCGGTAAAGAATCCTCCGCTGGAACTTCTAACTATCGGCAGCGGCGGCTTAACTATAACAGGGGAGGATAACGCTTTCACGCTTTCAACGTAGGTGGCACATGCGGTGCTAGCGGCGTGGTGGAATTGCAGGTTTGTTGCTGGGACTTCTGGAACTCAAATCTAGATGAGGCGGCACCCACTGATCCTTTGCCCGCCGGTTTCGGCCCCGCATAGAGAATCACTCGGACAACCAAGCTGGTGGGCTGGATCAAGTGCTCGTTTTGCGGGAAGCTGCGGTAGGGCTTCCTGTGGGCCAGCTAGTACCCAGGCCATCAGGGGAAGGAGGTGGCTGGCCAGTTCACCGTCGAAAGCAGATATTGATGGTCTTATTCTTTATCCCTTGCAAGGAGATATTGGTGGCTTCATTGACGAGGCGGGGTCTTGATGGAGTAGGTACATACAGCTTCACGGCATCAGTTTGATCACCATACAGGTAAACAGCCAGGTTCTTAATGATGCCCCCATGTCGTGGGAGCAGTAACTATCCCAAAACAGCCATGATCTGATAAGGTCGAATGCTATGATGATTAAACAAAAACAAAAACAAAACAACTATCCCAAAAAATCTAAATACATTGCCATCTATTTCCAGCCCGCTTTAATATCCTCGGGTAACCCAAACAAATGGCTCTGATGCATCTCGTAGACACTAAACGCACTCTGGCCCTTTTGTGTCACGATTGCAAACCTCCCTCCCCCCCTCTCACAACCATAACCATCCGCAGCATCTCCAGTACTCTCACCAGCTTCTAGAGCTTCTCGGTATTGGCGACCTCCCACTTCTTGAGCCACCCGGTCTTCACCACGTCCCGCTTCTCGACCTCGACGTTCCCGCCGTCCTCGTGGTACCCAATGATGAGGATCGGCGTGCGCGAGAACACAGCTGCTCGGCCTGCCTGATATACCTCTTCCCCTTGGCCTTGGACTTGAGCTCGACGATGCTCTCCTCCGGCACCAAGACTCCTCCAGGCACGATGCGGACTCCGGTGGGCGTCACGGGCACCTCCCGGAGGTGCTCCACCATATCCTCCACCTCCTCCTCCGCGATGCACGTATCGACCTCGAAGCGCACCAGCAACCTCAACCCGTGTCGAAGGACCGCAGCGAAAGCGTGGGGCGAATGATTGGTAGTGCGCGGATGAGAGGTTCCAGCGGGCAGGTCGGGAAGTTGAGCCGTGCGGGCGGCCGTGGGTGGGACGGGTCCTGGTCCTCGTCTGCTGGGATTCGGATGGGCAAAGGCGGTGGTGACCAGATGGGTGGGCAGCCTGTGGAGCTGTTAGTTGAGGTGCTGAGTGCTCAAGGAAGGGAGGTACTACCAGGGACGACGATGGTGTTCCGCCAGTTCGGCAGGATGTCGTATGAGGTGAGCACCTCTGCCTCCCGCTGCGAAATGTCGCAGCCCGGGTCGTGGTGGATGGACCCGCGCTCGATGACGGCGATGCGCATGTCCGTGCCCGCTAGTACGGAAGGCCTGACCATATCGAATTGTAGTATATTGAGGTATTTCCGAAGAATATAAGATCCGAAGAATATAATTGCGCAGGAGAAGCCGGAATGAGGCAGTTTTGTCGTTGTAGGTATTTGGGAAATGTGATGTTTCCGAGTGTCGGATTATTATTATTAAGGTTAGGTTGGCAGGAAAAGGTGAGTTGAGACGGATATGTAGTTGTATGATGTAAGAAAGAAAGAAGCTTGGGGGGATGGGTGCCGTGTGGGTTTTATGGGGGTAGCTGGCGGCGGCAAATTCAATTCCACGCCTAACGCGGCAGTGTAGAGGCACGGGAGCCTCACGTCATGCACTCACTCGGCATCGGTGGTAAGAAATGAAAGGAACGGTTTTGAATTTTGTAGATATGGTAAGGGCATGTTTGGGTGCTAGCTGCATTTTCAAAATTGTTTTGACGAGTTGAATGTTATCAAAGCTACAACCGCAAGAAAACTCTCATCTCCCCCCCGATGACCCCGTTCGGCATCCTAGATGTTCAACAATGCCACACTTTTTCTGACTACAGGGGCTATATGATTGGCATTTATAAACCCAGCTGCACGTAACTCGAGCCGAGACTCGCGCCACTTTCCAGTCTTAGTATATATGGTACCTGGTCTAGCTATGAGAATATGTACCATGTATTTGGCATATACTGTGATAGTCCCAAATATCTTGCTGTAACAAACGTTACTTGTTTTTGGATAGGTATGCGCAGAATATTTTTCTCCTCACCGACTCATGACTTATGTATCATAGGTACCAAGTAAGAGCAGATGCCAGTTCCATTAATTATTTACATACATGATCGTTCGTTCCTTCCCATATCCCATCCAGTACCGCCATAAATTCATTAGCAATTCAATATACTCCCCTTTTTCCCATCCTCCCATATACCCTCACACACTCACACCATCTCACAGCCAAACCGCGGTGCAAGACGGTTCCTTTTGAGCCCGTGGAGAGCAAGCTTAGAACACCAAACCCTTGGTATTCTTGACGTCCTCCAGCTTAATGTTCCTCCACAGCGACACCCACAGGAAGCTGAAAGCCATGACCGCGGTAGCAGCGATGACCATGAGTCTCTGAGTAGCAGCGTAGGAGTCAATGATCGCCTCACGCTCTGGGGAGCCCCACGCGTAACCGAGCTGCACGGGCAGACTCGAGAAGATGTAGAGGGACTGGTCCTTGAGGGTGTCTGGGAGGCGTCTGGCGAGTTCGCGGGGCAGGACGCTGGTCCAGATGGCGCCGGAAACGGCGGCGCCGATGCCACCGCCGATGCTGGAGCACAGGCCGAGTACGGCGAGCACCGCCGCAACGTTCTGGTGCTTGGCTACCGCCATCACAGCCAGTTGCTCGCAGATCACGAGCGTACCCCCGGCGAACGCGATGAAGATCTGGCACATCACTACGTACCCGATGTCGACGTGCGACTGGCGGAAGTGGATCATGAGGCCGGTGGCCATGACGTACAGCGGCAGACCGAAGCACAGCGCTAGGTACTTGAAGCGCATGGTGAACTTAATGAACAGGCCGACGAGGACGGCGAAGAAGCACGATCCGATGCTGTAGATGTTGTAGATGTAGCCGGCGTTGCGGATGCTCTGGTTGTGCACGACCTGCACGTACGAGTGATAGTACGCGTCCCAGCAGTAGAAGGAGATGAAGATGGAGGCCGAGAGACCGCAAGCGCCGATGATGGTGCGGTCGAGGATGAGATCGAAGGGGATGAAGCACTTGCGCGACAAGAACTTCTCGTACAGCACGAAGCTGATCAGGGACACGGCTCCAACGACCAACATGGAGATGACGGTGGCGGACTTCCACGTGTTACGCTGGTAGTAGGCGAGCGACATGGGCAGCAGGAGGAGCACAAAACCCATGCAGACGAGGAGGACTCCGATGACGTCAAACTCCCAGAAGTAGTAGTTAATCTTGCCGCCGAGACTGAGGCTGCTAGCTGTGCTCTTCTTGACCAGACCGGCCTTGACCGCCTTCCGCTGGTTGCGGAAGACAACCCAGAGGAACGGAATGCAGAAGACGGGGAGGATGATGGTCCACACACCGTGGCCCCACTGCCAGGTCGACTCCTGGTAGAATCTCTGTGCGAGGGCGGGGCCGGCAAAGGTGGTGCCGATGTAGGGGGTAGTGGAGAAGGCAAACACCAAGGCACGGTTCTTGATGTCCGAGGTGTCGGCCATGAAGACGTTGAGGACGTAACTCATGCCGTTGAATCCGACCCAGTAGAAGACCTGAGCACCGGCGTAGATGGAGACATTGGTGCAGCCAGCCATCATGGCAAGACCTACCCACGATGAATGAATCAGTTTACTGTCGCGGGGTGGGGAGAATATCCCGGACCCGGAGGGAGAAGATTGAACTCACCAATGACGGTGAACGACAGCATCAGGGCGAAACCCTCAGCACGTCCCCACATATCCAACAGCTTAGCGATGGGCAGCTTGAAGGCACCTCCGACGATATTGCTGACGATAGCGATGGTAGACACGAGAGAATGCATATAGAAGGAGCTGGTGACGTAGGCGGTCAAGTTTCCCGTCACCTGCTGCTGTAGCGAGTTCATGAAGAAGATCAAGAAGATACTGTAGTCATCAAGTGTGCCGCCATCAGCCTCCGACTCCTGCGTATCGGGGGGGATGGGATGCCCGGATGGATAGGTAGATGCGGACATACCCAATGTACGCAATGTACAGCTCATTCTTGGTCCAGACGGAGGCCATGGCCTCCACCTTTGCAATACCAGACTGCACATCTTCGCGGGGCGAGTCCGAGTCGTAGTTGGACTTCTCGTCCGGTGGAGTCCCGATCTCGGCGCTGTCGATTGGGTCACGGGCCGACTTCTCGGCTCCGAAGCCGGAGGCCAAGTTGCCCATGCCGGGTACGGAGAGGACGGGCATGGTTAACGGGCGCTATCTGTCTTTCTTTCTTCTTTCTTTTTTTCTTCTCAGTCCGATCGAAGGTACGGTACTATAACTGTCTCGCCTTGTGGCAACTCCGAAACCAGAGGACGGAGCAGCGGAAGAATGAGGGAAGAAAGCCGCGGGGATGCCGGTCGGTTTCGTATGTCGCAGGCAGGGCAGATGATGCGGGTCGGTGGAACAACCTCGATGGAGGCGGGCGGCGGATTCCTTTTATGCTACATACATGGTAAGTACATACATAGTTCACCTGCTGTGCGTCTTTCCGCATCGCATTGCAACCCTGGTCGGTGTCCCGCCCACACAGACCCGATAAGCTGATGAATCGGCAGCTCCCCACCCATCTTCTGAGGTTTCTCCCCCTTCCATGCGACCTCGTCCCTGGGTAGGTAGAGTACTCTACCGTACTCTACTCTACTGCGAGACCGGGCCTTCATGCTTGCAATGCCTCTCCCCCTCCCCCTTCCCCCATGATCCCCTGTTGATGAACTTCTCGCACCACCCGCGGTGACTGAAACTTTTTCCCAGTCCGCCGCGCTTCCCAAGGAGCCGTGAGTTGGATTTCCCGGAAAATCTCTTCGTACGGCAAACTCCACCAACGCAGCTTGTCCGTGATGTGATGGCGTGTTATCAGATCCTTGAAGTGGAAGTCCCTGTTGTGTGAGATATGAGCGACGCCACTGCTCCTTAGCGAAGCGATCCATGCCTGCCCGCACCCCAGTCCTGCATGCCGCCGCACATGCGAAATCCCCCAGGCCCCTCCGGGCCTAGCGCCAAGCAGGTCTGAAAAATCTTCATCTGATAACTTAGGAACGACCCACACCTCCTCCCGGATTTGGCCGAGACGTTACGTTATCTGATGTGCCCGAGCTTTCTGTGGGGGGTAATCTGATCCGAGCTAGCGCCAGAGACTCGAGCCATGCATCCCATCTGATTGGCCCATGCCAGCCGGAGAAGAGGGACGAGGAGGAGGAGCAGGGGGAACAGGAGCAGGTTTATCGCAATCGCCGATATCTGATCACGCGAGCTGCCGTAATGGGTTCGCTGCGTGAAAAAATAAATACCTCTCACACCAAAAAACGGCGACGGAGATTCGGGTGGGGAAAGGTGCAGTGGCACGCCGCATAGTGGCAAGCTCCTCAGCATGGCGCGGTCTGCCGCGACAACTCCGCTTGGTTTTTCGCTGTTGCCGAACCCATTGCGGTTCTGCATTCCCCTCTCTTCCGGCGATGGTGATGATGATGGTTGGAATTCAGAATAACGCAACAACTTCGAGCTCATGCCGCTCTCCCCTCAAGTCCTCTTACTCTGGTTCGTCCTCAAGAAAGCTCTTCGCGCCCAGCTTTTATGTGGCTGACGATGTCGTCACGGCGGGGTTTTCCGTATGCACTGCGAGGTGGTGGAAATCGACAAGGTGATGATGATCTGATATCGTCTCTTCACGCCCCGCCCCTCCCCCCACCACATACAACCACCATCAGATAAATATGACGGTGCCAACATCTTTCCACGTGGCGCTAGGAGAGGGGGAGGAGCTTGGCCTTCCGAAGGTTAGCGAGCCACCCTTTTTTCCCGCGTGTGACGATGGCGACGACAGGAACGGCCGCGCCACGCGAAGAAGATGACTTTGCCGGATCCAATGGGATGCAACGACAACCACGGTACCGTAGCTAGGGCGCTTCGCTGCGTTCTGGCCCTCGAGAGTCGACACGGATCGAAGGGACCCAAACAGGCCACCTGGGCTGGAAATATCATCCCATACCTACCGGTATGTACATGTGTTGGGGTCTTGCTGAGTTCCCGTTGAGAACACTTGAGCTTGTGTTGGGTTAGCTATGTAGGTGCTACTAGTGAGGACCTAGGTACTTACCTAGGTGCCTTCTTCCCACGCCGCCGGAAGACCTCAAGAACATACGTACCGAGCTTGTCGGAACTGAAAGGGAGGTAACCGAGACAGTGGGACTCCAGTTGATGCGTCTTTTTCATCGTTGGGACCCCCGGCCCGGCCTTTTCGTGCCTAGAATCAGAGAGGCTTTCGAAAGGCGAGACCTGTCGAACCTCGACTACGGGTTTGGCGCCTAGAGAACAAACTTATGCGGATGGTAGATGTGTACATACATCACAAGAAATTCCCAGGTGTAGCACGTACTATGTAAGTAGGCATCTGCACTTCGCCTATAGCGAAGTATCGTGGACTGCTACACCTGTTCTGATCCGGCAAGTTTGGGGATCGAATGGCCTCGTGAGTCGTTCTCCTGGTTATTCTCGTCCTGACTCCTGCATCCATTTCGATAAACGAACATGCAGACCAACCAGCAGGTGTTTCCTTCTCCTCGGGGTCGGAATCTGTACTCCAGGGAGGGCGACACTGCAGGGTTGCCGAGTATGTATCGCAAATCGTACTTGTCGAGTCCATGTGCTCGTACATGAACCTGTGGGGTCGGGAGATGCTAGGCCGCGCTAGATACGCAGGAAGTCTGCACTTCGCGCGTAAATAACAAAGTTTTTGTCACAGTATTGTTCTTGGCTCCTGGGGGCTGGAATTCTCTCTGCAAGTACGGTGCACATGAATGCGGCAGCGGAAACGAGGGCTCGGCACCGAAGGTGGGGGTGCTGCTGTTCTCGGCCTCGTGCTGAAGGCTGAAGCTTCCAGGGCAGACTGGTAGTATCCAACGATGAATCCATAGACAACGGACGGATCGAGTATATATGCATCGCGCACCATGGAAACCGTGGACCGCGACCGCCTATATCTGGTATATATTATGTACAAGTCCAGCAGCCAGTGGTGTTCGAACGGGTTCTCGTACGCCGGTGTCTTGGCGTATACACATGGATGCATAGCGCAAGAGGATTCATCGCTGAATCATCTGGTCGGTCAGAGTCACCAGGTCATACATATTCTCTCCTCAGAAAACGATACGCATGTGGTAGACGGGGGACGGCGACACCAAGCATCAGCCTTTGGATTTGGACCCTGCGCACGACGCACGTCAGCCGATGGCGTGTACCTACATGGTAATATCAACCCTTTGCGCATCCACTTTATCAGCAATCTATCTGGTTGCATCCGGTTTTTCTGTGAGTATGCACGTACCGCTGCCCTGATGCTTCGCACTGGATATGTACCGATTCCATCGGCTGTCCGTCTCGTCGTGTCGGGCTGTGTACGTAGTGCAAGGAGAAACGCGGCTGGCGGCCGATATTCGTGCTACTTCATTTGGAGATGGCATGCGGTGGAAAATCGAATGTATAGGCAACTTTCGGATGGTGATTGCACTGCCCTTTGTGATGTTTTCCTTCTGCTGGTACAAAATCATTCGTTCAAGGCTTCTGGCACCAGCATTCCCTGAGAATGAATCAAGGCGGCTCTTTAGTTGAGTAACTTAGAACTTATTCTGATTCAACCGGTAGAGTTACCATAGTTCGCAACGGTCCGTTGAGCATCATGTTGTCACTAACGATCACTCGCAACGTCGAAGCGAAAGCTGTTTAGCGCCCTTTGCACGTGAGTGACCTCTTCGCAGACGAGACGGTGCAGCCAGGCCACCTTGGACTTTCTCACCACCACCGATGTCGGAGGCGGATCACGGAGGTCGCTGAACATGATGCAACGAGTGAGGCATCGGAGCGGGCGTCGAGTGAGCGGGAAGAAAGACTGGTGGAGAGGCGGCGAGAGGACGAGGGCACTGAGGTCGAGGGACTGGCGGGCCACTCCCGCTGTTCCTCCACATACCCTCCTTCATCGCAGCTCCTAGTGAAGAGGTAGAGGGCGAGGTGGAGTGAAGATCGGACTTTCGGTAGTGGGCACAGAAACGGAGTGTGAATATCGCCATGATCTAGATGCGTTGCAAGCTATCAATCAGTAAACCAAAACCAAAAAAAGCATGTGAGTAATCAACACATCTGAATCCTTCTACCTGTGCCTCCGAAGTCCGGTTTGGCAGTGGGATAAATGCAGGCTATTTCTGGAGAAAGCCACATTTCTAGCTTCATCGGGTATTGTGAAGGAGCGATATCTTATCACCGCAGAGAACCATAGTGGCCATTTTTGCGAGGGATCTTTGCCAATGACTCTCCAGGCCCGACGAGAAAGGAAGCGCACACAGAGGAGAGAGAGAAGATGGGGGGTTAGCCGTCAATTCGATAGATGGTGATCAAGAAAGAAGAGAAGGAGAAGAAGAAGACCCCACCATGCCCGCCAACGTTGATGCCCACTACTAACCGCATTCGCTTCCTCCCGCCGACAGGAGTCCCCCTTCACCTCCTCCTCTCGCCGGCAGCTCTTCTATTGCTCCGCCACACCATACTTGAGAGAGACAAGAGGCAGAACCCTGACGAAGTTCGACAAAGGTAGCCACCCCGACGCCGGTATTTGACCGACCCTGCCGACGCCAGCAATACAGCTGCCAACCCTGATTATCATCTCCGTCAACCGATGCCAAACTCGACTTCTGAAGCGCTAGTACTTACTACATACTCAGACGGCCAGGAAGTCTATCACACCTCCCTCCCGCCCCCACCGATGATTATCTGAGATTAGATCTGTGGCTTGGCCGCTGTCTTGACCGATAGAAGTGTCTCACTCTCTCAGAGTAGAGAGTACGCGAGTGGATATCTCGACCACAGATCTGATCTGATAACATCGCATGGGATTGACTTTTGGCCCCCCGAGTAATCAGAGTATGTAAGTCCAGCAGGACCTGAGACAAAACGCTGTTCTCTGCACTGCACTGCAACCGCCATGCATCACGGACTTGGTCCGTAGTATGACAAGTACAATCCGTTCGATTTGGTTTCACCTGATAATTTCACTGAGCTCCCTTGCCTGTGCTTTTAAATGCACGTTTCTCTGATATTAAGGCAGAATGCGGTGTGCGCGCACACGGGCGCAGTCCTCCCCTCGTGTGTACCGTAGCGGTCGATACCTCCGCTTATGCACAGAGGATCGTCAAATATCAAGTGTCTTTCGATCACCAACCACCAATCACGTTTATGTCTTGAACGATTCGTTGTGGACCGCTGGTTTGCGGGGAAGTCGATAGTAGGTAGCTGAGCACCACAGCCACATAGGCCACTCGCTGGCATGGGTAGTCGTCTCGAGCGGCTACAACTCCAATCGGCTACTCGAATTTGCGCTTGCCTTGAGAGATTTCAATATCATCTGTACGATGATTTTGTTTACTTTTCTCGCGCTTGAATGGGTCGTCGTTGAGCCTCTGTAAGAGGAAAACTGTCGCGAACGATTTTGATGTGGTTCGCAACTGGTGGTGTTGGCGCTGTTTGCGGGGTTGTGGGGTTGCTAGCTCCAAACAGGCGTTTGCATGCAGATGATTCGAGGCTGTCCTGCAGGCAACTTCTACTCTACTTTACATGTAGGTATGAGTTGTCAGGGGCTGAGCTCAGTACAGTCACTGCCTCGATCAATGTGCATGGAACAAAATACCTACAAGAAGAAGTACTCACCATCCCCGAGTCTCATTCGAAGTTCCTGCGGAACCTTAGTTGTGTCGCCGCCATTCTTGTACAGTACATCACTAAGGACATCACCATGGCCAAACCGTTCGCCTTAGCGACTGGAATCTTTTCAACCTTTGCTCTCATTGACCGCCTCATCGGCCTCACTACGCGGATTGGAGCCTCGGCAATAGACGCACTGGCAGACATCGCAAGGCTTCACACCAGCCTCAGGGACATGAACACTATTCAAAAACGATCCGCAACAGGGAATCCAAGGAAGCAAGCTCGAATGTCTCCGGGCGCCGGTGCACGAATTCAACAAAGACCTTGACTAGCTGACCAAAGGCCTTGACGAGCTGACCAAAGGCCTCGAGAGCCTCGAACTAAAGAAGTCAAAACGGATGAGATGGGCCTTGGGCGAGGACAAGAAGTTCGCGAAATCCATGGAACGACTGGAAACCTACAAAACGCTATTCGCGGTGGCCATAGCTGCCGGCGAGAAGTAAGCACTGGCCTTTCGGAGAGGAAGAGCGGCGGGAGCTAGTCTTAGCGAAAGGCTCACACCAAAGCAAGGCAACTCGCACAAAACTCAAGAGAGGTGATCGAGCTCCTCAAGACGGATCTAAAAGCTTTTCAGAACGAAGAAAAATCAAGCCAGGAAGCGGTGACCTCGGCGGTGCACGCGATTGAAAAACGTCAGAGACTATCATCCGATGTCACCAAGAGCCTCCAGAGTCGGCAGCTAGAAGAGAGAAGCGAAAGAACTAGGCGAGAAGAAGAGGGGAAGTTCGGTTTGCCTCCCGAATAGACCCCCCTTCGGCTCGGTTCGTACTGATTCACTGTAGAGAAACTGGTCACCGACACTTTCAACTGGTTTGGTAGCATTGATACCAAGGCAAACCATGACTCGGCGTGGGAGACGTGCATGCCCGACAGCGGGACCTGGTTCACGAAGGGGGAGGCGTTTTCTGCCTGGCGACTCGGGGAACAGCCTTATCTTTGGCTAAACGGCATCCGTGAGATCTCTCCTCATGCTGTGAACCATGCTGGAAGCTAACCAAGTGCCACAGCGGGAGCCGGCAAGAGCATTCTAATGCAAGTATGGAAATGCGACGAGTTACTGCAGATGTCAATAGCAGCTAACGTCGGTTAGCTCTTCGACTATCGAGGCGCTTCGAGAAACGGTCGATAACGAGCAGTGCTGCATCGCATATCACTACTTCACGTTTACCGACGTACAAAAGGCGAGGGCGGATCGGATGATAGAGAGCATTGTGACCCAGGTCGCCCATCAAGGCTGGAGATGCAAGAGTCGACAAGTAGTCGACGTCATTTGCCGGATTTACAGAAAGTACGAGCATACACCACAACGGCCGAGCGCCTCCGAATTACTCGTCGCTCTGTCAAAGATGGTTGGCCTCTTCGAATGAGACGTTTATATTCTAGTCGATGCTTTGGACGAGTGCACGGAGAGCAAGAGGCTGTTGAAATTCCTGGAAAACCTCCATTCGTCGAACCACCCTAACCTCCGACTCCTAGTTAGCAGCCGGGCGGAAGCGCATATCACAACTTGCCTAAGTTATTTGAATTTTTCAAACATCTCCCTGCAAACAAACTTGGTCGATTACGATATTGGCCTCTACGTCGACAGCCGATTATCGAAGGACCCCAGATGGCGATATCGTGACCCAGATTTGAAAGATTCAATTCGGGAGAGACTGGTGAAGGGAGCGAAAGGAATGTATGTTGATCTCGCCCCCGGATCTCCCGATTTTATAAGCCGTGTGACTGAGTATTGCTGTCAAGGTTTCGCCTGGTTGAATGTCAAATGGACATCCTCGAACACTGTCGAAGTGTGGCTGCGATCGAAGATGCTCTAGAAACATTGCCCGCCGAGTTGGATGCGGTCTATTCAAGGATGTTACGGAATATCAGAAAGAGCGATTGGACTGCAGCCGGACGGATTCTCCCGTGGCTAATCGCTTGCAAAGAGCCACTCCCGATAGAAGCACTAACCTGCGTACCGATGATCTGTCTGGATACGCAGACGGTCGACGTTGGGCGGAGGCTACTATCATCGCAAGAAATTCTCAATATGTGTGGGAGCCTTCTGAAGCCGGTGAATAATGGCTGGGGGGAAGAGGTTATCGTGCTGGCACATTATTCGATCGAGGAATACCTGATTCGACTGCCTCTTCAGGGGTCGGGCCTTTCCCCGTACTTCGCCATCCGCAGGCGCAAGGCGGATTCAGAAATATGCGCAACGTGCATCCTTATGCTTCAATGGGCCGATTCCCCGGATACTATCGAGAGTGTCGCTGAACCCACAGAGGAATCGAATGGCCAGTCAGTTATAGCCAAATTTCTGAAGTATTGCTCGAGATACTGGTGGCAGCATGCATCATCGGAAGAAGTACAACGCGAAAGGATGCCTCTTATCCGCAGTCTTTTGAGGGACCGCTGTGGGTATCGTTCCTGGCTACGCGGCACCGTACGGGGGTGGGAACGCACAAATATACTCGGCTGTGACGACAAACACTGATCATTCATGGATGGAAGGGCCATCACGACGGACTGCTACTGCGATGCCACTGAGTTGTATCTCGCCTCATACCTCGGCCTAAAGGTTATTGTTGCCTAAAGCCTCGAAAATGGGCCAGCAATAGACACGACTCGACGGGATTGCTGCACCGCTCTCGCCGCAGCCGTGGAGCAGGGCCACCTAGACAGTGTCGCGTTGCTCCTCAAGCATGGCGCAAATCCAGACTCCCAAATCCGGATCAATCCGACAGTAGCAGGATGGTGGATCTCGCGAAAACTTCAGATCCCGGATGTGGTCGGATACAGTCGCAGCTACTACGACAGCAGTCTCCTTATCCAAACCGTAGAGAAAGGATTCACCGATGTTGCCGCGCTCCTCGTGAAGCACGGGGCCGACGTCAACGCCAGCTTCCGCGGCAGAAGTGTTCTCGAGTGGGCCGACCACCACGGCTCGGAGGAATTAGCCGAGCTACTGCGCCACTACGGCGCCAAACCTAAATCCAGTGCCAGCCGTGACACGACACCGGAACACGCCATCAACCGCCCGGCACACAATACGATCGACCCCTACGCTTCCCGGTCGTTCAAATTCCACTACTACAGCTTCCTGTCGATACTCCACTGCACGGTCGATCATTGCTACAGGTTTTAGGTCGAGATCGTCAAACTGCTGCTGGACTTCGTGAATGACCTCCACAGATCTGCGCTCCGCGAAGCTTTGCTGTCGAGTAACTTTGCGCTGGTGTTTGCATTCCGCGAAGGTGTGGCGGATCCGACGGCGGATATGCACGGGCGCTTCTCCGATGAGTCCGGCCAGGAGAAGAGCCCCAAGTCACTATCACAGTACGGAACTACGACAGGGGGAAATCACGGTCTCGCCGCGAACGAGCCGGCTACAGCGAGACAAGATGGAGCAGATGTTACGATGCTGGACATTTCTGGATAGGTGGACGGAATCGTGAGATATTTCGACAGAACAGGACAGCGCAGTCGGAACGGCGGAAAGATGAGTTCTGCCTACATGTATATAAGTGCACGGTATAATACGCCGTCGGAACTGGAGACGGACATCGGGATGATCGTGTGGTCAAGAATTGTACACATGACAAGCTGATACGCGTCCGCCGGCAGGAAAGTTTACAGTCCCAGGCTCTTTCCCCGTACACACAAGTAGAAAATAACCGTGAGCACGTGAGGAAGTTGGGTGCGAGGATCGAGCTCCTCCTTTTAGACGGATCCCAGTAGAGTTATCGCCGCCGCGTCTACCCAGCGTATAATAGCACACTATACTACTCGTGATGACTAGATTCTAGGATCACCAACGACCATTGCCGCGGTACATCACCGAGCACTCGACCGAGTGATCGATCGTGTGATGAAATCGATCGTGTGATGAAATCGATCGAAGAACTTGACTTGACTTGATTGATGAGACGAAGTACGAGAAAGCGAAAGACGAGTGAAAACGACTATCTTCAAAGGGAAACAACGAGCTCGTGTAATGCTGAGAAAGCCACAAAGGCCACGAAGACTGCTTATGCATAATGCGACGATGCGAAAGGACAAAGAACAAAGAACAAAGCCAAGAACTATCATAGTAAATCTGTTCACCAGTAAGGAAGATGTGCAACCCAAACTCCGACCGCGATGTGGCTGCTGCCTTTACGACGGCTACGAAATCTGGCTTCAAGGTATGCTTCGGATTAGCGGCGCTTGATTTTTATGCGAAAACTTGTTCAAAGACTAAGTCGGGGTTTGATTGAAGCGCCCCTGGATGCGGTGCAATTACTGTGAGGTAGAAGTTGGAGAGAATACCTCACGAAAGCACCATCATCTACTCAAATGTCCACGCTATCTACAGACGATGCGCGATAACATGACATCCAATGCGATTACCGATGAAGCGGCGGCGACTACTAGCTCAAACGCTACCCCTTACTACGGTCTGTAGAGGAGCTATCAAGGCAACTAACAGATTGCGTAGTAAGTGTAATCTTAGAACTAGTCGCCGCCGCTTCGTCACTGATCGCATCCGACGTCAGTTTATGTTGTCGCGCATTGTCTGTAGATACCGCGGACAATTGAGTAAATGTCGGTACTGTCGTGTAGTGTTCATTGCGTCTTCTACATCACATTAATTGTAGCGCATGCGAGGGCACTTCAATTCAACTCCGAATCACTCTTTGAACTGGTCGCAACTGTTTGTCATTTCTGCGCCTTGCACTGGGAGTCTGGTAGGGAAAGGCTGCTACGCCCTGTGCACAACTTCACTTGAGGATATCAAATCCAGTCGGCGGTGGACATGATTTCAATAGGGTGTTATCAGTCTGATGTCTGTGTTGGTGACAAGGAGTGGTAGAGGGAAGTTTGAGTGTAGTAGGTAGGCGTACTGGATGAAGATGGTGTCACGGCGTTGCTGGGTACTGGAAGAGAATCAAGACACGATAGTGGGAAAAGCTTTACTTGTTGAAACGAGTGAAGATATCGATTGAGACTATGGACAGGGCAGTGTTTATATACACAGTGAAGCGGCCAAATTCCTGGTGCCGAGTCTATACTTTAAGGCTCCAGATGCTGAATCCGCCTCTAGGTTCTTGAAGCCGGATCCAGCATCTAGGTTCTGTCTTCCGATCGCTCGGCCGCCTACGGCGTCGCCAGAGCCTACCTCAACATCTAGGTTCTGCCATCCAATCGGGTGTCACCAGAACTTACCTCGACATTACTCTTATATTTGGTGGGTACATAATTCACAAGTGCTGAAAAGAATGGCACTTTTTTTTACCACCAGACTGCAGTCGACTGCGCAGTGCAGTCTAACCCTGCCCTGAAGATTGGCGGACGGGAAGGACTGATTTTTCCCCGTCTTCCAAAAGGCGAAGACGGAACTGGATTGCAGTTCGGATTGGACTATGGAGAACACTGGGGGTTGCGGTACCGCCGCGTTCGAGGCGCTTAGCTTCTGCCTGTCTTTCTCTTCTCTGTCAGCCTCTTCCGTGGTCGATTTTAGATTTCTGTGATCTTGGATGTCGTTATATCGTAGTGAACGACGAAGGACTTCGCTGGTAGATGGGGCTCATCAATTTTGTTTCGCGTCTATAAGCCTATCAAGACGACGGCGAAAGGACTTCGATGGTAGATCTGTGCAGGGGGCGACTTCATTAGCGCCTTAAGCGCGCTTCACTTCATCTAGCCTTTTTGGCTAAAGAATTGGATAGGAAGCCGCTGACGATCACCACAAGCTACCGAAATAGTCTAATTTTCTTTCCGTTTCTCCACTTTCAGGTGATTGATATACCACACTTACCTGGTCAACCGCCAGGTAGATAACCTACCACAGTTAAGCCGCTATGGATACACCGCCGGGAGCACCAGGATATTACACTCGCCGACAGTGGATACCTCTCATCTCGGCTGATCTCGGATCTCACTCGTCCGAGTGATACTCCGTGCAGGCTCGAAACTGGCGAGCTAAGGATTGGCGTACCTTAATAATAATAATTCGACACTCGGAAACATCACATTTCCCAAATACCTACAACGACAAAACTGCCTCATTCCGGCTTCTCCTGCGCAATTATATTCTTCGGAAATACCTCAATATACTACAATTCGATATGGTCAGGCCTTCCGTACTAGCAGGCACGGACATGCGCATCGCCGTCATCGAGCGCGGGTCCATCCACCACGACCCGGGCTGCGACATTTCGCAGCGGGAGGCAGAGGTGCTCACCTCATACGACATCCTGCCGAACTGGCGGAACACCATCGTCGTCCCTGGTAGTACCTCCCTTCCTCGAGCACTCAGCACCTCAACTAACAGCTCCACAGGCTGCCCACCCATCTGGTCACCACCGCCTTTGCCCATCCGAATCCCAGCAGACGAGGACCAGGACCCGTCCCACCAACGGCCGCCCGCACGGCTCAACTTCCCGACCTACCCGCTGGGACCTCTCATCCCCGCACTACCAATCATTCGCCCCACGCTTTCGCTGCGGTCCTTCGACACGGGTTGAGGTTGCTGATGCGCTTCGAGGTCGATGCGTGCATCGCGGTGGAGGATAAGGTGGAGGATATGGTGGAGCACCCCCCGGGAGGTGCTCGTGGCGCCCACGGGGGCGTATAGTGCCGGGTGCGGCGCCTACGGGCGTGCGCAAAGTCCCGGGAGGAGTCCTGGTGCCGGAGGAGAGCATCGTCAAGCTCAAGTCCAGGCCCAAGGGGAAGACGTACATCAAGCAGGCAGAGCAGCTGTGGTTCTCGCGCACGCCGATCCTGACCATTGGGTACCACGAGGACGGCGGGAACATCGTCGAGGTCGAGCAGCGGGATGTGGAGAAGACTCGGTGGCTCAAGAAGTGAGAGGTCGCCAATACCGAGAAGCTCTAGAAGCTGGTGAGAGTACTGGAGATGCTGCGGACGGTTATGGTGGTGAGGGGAGGGAGGTTTCCGGTCGTGACACAAAAGGGTCAGACTGCCCTTAGTGTCTACGAGATGCATCAGAGCCATCAGTTTGGGTTGCCCAAGGATATTAAAGCGGGCTGGAAATAGATGGCAAAGAGCCATCGCTGCTACCGGTGGCAGGGAAGGGGCTGGGGCCCCGTGAAGAAGACCTGGGGGCTGATGAAGTGGGAGGTCAACAATACCGAGAAGCTGCAGAAGCTGGTGAGAGTACTGGAGATGATGCGGACGGCTATGGCTGTGAGAGGGGTGGGGGTTTGCGGTCGTGACAAAAAAGGGCCAGAGTGCCCTTAGTGTCTACGAGATGCATAAGAGCTATGTATCGGTTTGGGCTGCCCTAGGATATCAAAGCGGGCTGGAAATAGATGGCAACGTATTTAGATGTTTTTGGGATAGTTGTTTTGTTTTTGTTTTTGTTTAATCATCATAGCATTCGACCTTATCAGATCATGGCTGTTTTGAATACCTATCTCCTTGCAAGGGATAAATTATAAAACCATCAATATCTGCTTTCGACGGTGAACTGGCCAGCCGCCTCCTTCCACTGATAGCCTGGGTACTAGCTGGCCCTCAGGAAACCCCACCGCCGCCGCTTCCCACAAAACGAGCAGTTGAATACTACATGAACGGATTGATAAACACCTGTCTATTGAATTTTCGCGACGCCGTACGGGCGATCGTTTGATGCGAGTGCGTTTCGATGAGAGCCTGCCTGTCTTCACACCGTAGCACTCGAGCGAGTGACCTCACGTTCAAACCTGGAGAGAAACGGGTGCCTGAGCCTTGGATATCGGTCGGGGTCATTCCACTCCATCCTAGAGGTATTATATCCTATACATAGCCCAACTTACTACCAATAATGAAATCTCGCGCGGACTGAAAATATCCACAAAACGCAGCCCGCGATTTAGATTCTGGGAAAAGACAACCGCCAACCCAACAACGTTTTCGGGCTCTTGCGCATCCTCATCACTTATCTCCCAGCCCGGCGTTCGACGCCCCCTATGGCGCCCGACAAGTACCCCCCAACCCTAACAGCTCTCCAACAGCCGCATCCCATCCCCAACTTTTTATTTTATGACAAAATACTTTCCCCTAAGACTCATATTCGCGACAATCAACCAGCTAACACAACAGCTCTGGTGGCCAAGCGGTAAGGCGCATCACTAGTAATGATGAGATCCGCGGTTCAAATCCGCGTCAGAGCTTCTCTTTTGCTGCTCCCCGACTTCCTAATCTTTCATCGGATACGGATACTCTTTTATTCGTTTTCGTGGTGGGTGAAGGCCCGGTGCCGGCTGGTTGGCTGGCTGGGACGGATCCACGGACGATGATCCCGCCGGCCTCGGGAGTCGGAGCTACCCGACCCCCATCTCTCGGCATACGCGGTTCCGAGAATACCGGATATATGGTGTAACTAGCGGGCTGCTAGCCTGGCGGTGCCGCGGTTGGCAGAAATGGCCGGACCTAGCTAAAATGGGCACCCGCAAGCGCGCGATGAAACATCAACATCACATCAGTGGTTACACAGGCCTGTTCGCGCGCACAGTGCAGCCATGGGTATCACGATTCACCAGGCCGCCGCGTACGGTGCTAGGTAATAAAAAGTGATCATGATTTCGCAAAGTCATTCATTCCTGTCTTACAATGTATGTATGTAGGTGCTTGCCCGCCCATCCCATCCCATCCCTCTCAACCCCCCTTCCCAACCCTACACGTTTTAAAAGAAAAAGCAGAAACCCCCGTTTAAAAGTGAAGTGAAGTGAAAGTGAAAGAACTGTGGAAAACAACCGAACGAACCGTCTCGGATCAATAAGTGGAAAAAATCAACCGAACGGAGCCGGATCAATAGGCCTCGGAAACGACGAACCGAATCGGAAGTAAAAGGAAAAAGAAAAAATGGTAGACATTTGAATCGATTCGATTCAGCAAACAAGTAAAAGTTACGATCATCTACCGCAATAGCAAATAAAAGAGACGGAAAAGAAAAAAAAGGAAAAGAAAAAAAAAGAACTCCGTACAACGCAACGTAAAAAGGTCTGTCTACCTAACAATGTCCCCCACCCGTCCTCTAACCATACTGGTCTCTTCGCCATGATTGTGAATCCTCATGCCACGGAGATAAACCTCGTCTCTAACACCCTCCTTCCATCCCTCAACGACGCGGTAAAGAGCGTACCCTGCAGCGCTGATGCACATAGCGAGGAAGAACGCGGGGAATGCGAATCTGTAGATAGCAGCGCCGTCGGCGATTCCGAGTATCACAAGGACTTTTGCCATTGCGACCGGGAAGCCGAGGGCTGCGATCATTGCTAAGATGCAAGGGGCGATGAAGACGCGGGTTGCGAGCTTCGCGTCGGGGTTGAGCCAGCCGTGGGCGACGATGCCGCGAAGAGAGCGCGCCCAAACGCTGTTGTCGTCCAGTAGGACCATCTTGCACATCATCTTGACGTACAGGACGCCGAGAGTCCAGTCCTGGACGAAGTGAATCGTGTGTTCGAGGTGGAAGCGGCTATTCGGAGGCGCGGCCGCAGTGATAGCGGATACTACTGTGGAGTTGATATTTTCGAGGGCATCGGGAAAGGTTGGTGTCGCTGAGGCTGAGGCCGTGACCCCGAAAGCGGTGTGCAGAGGAATAATGAAATAGAACTCGATGATAAGTGCCACTAACGTCGGGATCACGATCGCAAAGGCGGTAACGACGTAGCAGATCTTGAGGGAGCGGATGACTACATCGGTTACTGCAATGCGTAGGTTGTTGATTTTCTCAGGGTACGAGGCGTTGGAGGCGGCGCTTGTGAGTGGCTGTAAAACAACTTTGATGGAATTGTAGGCTGCCGGAAGTTTGGACAAACAAAGGGTGGCCCCGCCGAGAACGTACACGCCCACTGAAAAGGCGTAAATGTCGTTGAGGCGGACTTGCGATGGGACGAGCTGGCGGAGGATCAGGCGGCCAACAAGGAGAGGACCGATGGTAAACGACACACCCGTGACGGCGGCGAAGAACCAGATTCCCACAACCACAATACCAATACGCGCTCTGAAGAACGGTGGGATATAGGCAAGTCTCCAGTCAGTGCTGTTAGCACTGGTAGGGCCATTCGGGGGGTCAAGGTCGGCATTAACATCCAGGCGGCGGTTCTGCTCATCGACAGGAATGAACACCGATGTGCCCTTGGGCCGGCGAATACTATCCGATGCAGGAGCGCGCACAAAACGTCCACTACGTCGGAAGTAGATTTGATTCGCTGGAGGCTCCATATCCGGCATGATCGGCGTGTCGTAATCCGGCTTTTCCCTCATGAAAAACGATCTCCATGTCGGGTAGACGGTGTATCCCTCCTCGTCCGCGTTACGTTCACCGAACATGAAACTGGAGAGTCGGAGTGCTCGAGCACACTTTTGAAACCACCACGCATACATGTTCTGAAGGCCATCGGAAGGCTTGAAGAACTTGACAGCGAGCGGCATCAGGAAGTTGTAGAAGAGGAGATCGACGGGGAATTCAAACACCGGTTCGTTGGACGACCAGTGGATGGGAAGAACATCGCTAGTGACACCATGAAGCCCCCAGACAACGCCTCCAAGACACATGAGAACCAGTACGCCGTATATGAATGCCGAGAAGCCAATCTTGCGCAACTGTGTAACGATAGGCCTATTAAGCACGTCGCGCACAGGATGGAAGTTGGGATCATCAGGGTCACGGATAAAATCTAGACCGCCATCAGTATCAGAGTAATGGAGAAGAGAAGGAAACAAGCTCACATAATACGCCGGTGCGCATGATCTTGCGGCACATGCTGACAAAAAGGGCGAAGTGGAACATGTAGCATGTGCCGACGAACCAGTGCACAAAGACATTAGTGAATGGGAAATCTATGGCGAATTGGATTCTCGACGCAATTGTAGCGGTCTCAAAGAGCGGTAGCATTGCCATGTCTATGCACACCGGTTAGCGGAAGCAAGACACAAGAAATGATTCGCTTACCTAACAGTACTCCACAGTAAAGTGGAAATACAAACATCTCAATTCCGATGATCAGGACAACCTTCATCACGCCGCCGCATTGCTGCAGGAACTCCGCGGCAAGCTTCTCGACATGGCCGGGGGGTTGCTGCCGTCTCCGCTTAACATATGTCATTCCGGCGATGGTAAAGAACGCATAACCCAGCATAACAACCCCGACTCGGTCCCATGTGGACCATTTGTAAAGGCCGGCATATGTCAAGGCTTCCTGCGGATTGGAGGAATAGCCGATAGTCTCTGCAGTGGCGTTCAGTGGATGAGTAAAGTTGATCGTTGCGAATGTATCCTCCCAAGCGTGAACAGCCCAAGCAAGTGGATTGGCTATTTTGAGCCCATTCAAGTCCAGATGCTCCGGCCCAGCAGAAATCTCCGTTGCCGCCAAGCCTGCTAGTCCAACCTTGCCCAATCCCCAGGTTATCGTCTCCATTAACCGCTCGAAGCTCTCTTTCACGACAAGGCTGAGTGGGGGCACGGCAGAGGGTGGGAACTTCCGAACAGTCATGTAGGTGGTTTCGATGCTAACAAACTTGGCAACGACACGAGCCTGGCCGTCGGATGCCCAGTTCCTGAGGAATGTTGTCAATCCACCGCTGTTGAGATATCCTGATAAACCTGGGAGAATGGAAGTGGCCGGCTTGAGGAAGGATCGAATGGCTTGTTCGCACATCAAGAGCAGAGAGAATGCAACCATTGTTGAGAAATCAACCAAGAATTCCGCACAGAAGGATATGGCCATCATGGGCAGCCGGAAGAAAAACAAGACTGGGTGTGCTAGAACCATCATAACAGTCTTGCCCGTCACGTAAGGGAATGCCACGCCGACGGCCACAGTGGCAGTTATGAGCATACTGCTGATGGCGGCGTTCTGCACAAGTCCTATTAACGGTCCCCTCATTCCAACAAGTTCCATGATGCCTTCGAAATCGTCCGCCGCCTCGTCATCAAGGATACCTTGAGGAACGGCAGCCGCAGCGCCAACGGGGGCATCCTCGTCATCTGTATCATCCTCGTCGGCACCAATCTCCATTTGATCCTGCGCACCATCGTCTCCAATGATCCAGCCAAGCAATCCGGCGCGCCTAGCCTGTTGAGGCTGGGGCGGTTCTTGGGGTGCCACTGCCCCCGCAGGAGGAGCGACCCGTTCCCACTCGGCCATTTCATTTTGCAGCTCCTGAAGGTGTCGCGCTTGGGCTTGGACGCCGTTCCTTAATTCTTCAAGACGCTGTGCATCTTCCAATTGTTGGTTTCTCAGGTGAACATTGAGTGGGTCTAGGTGAGTGGGCATTGGTGGTGGTGCTGGTGGCATCATCACGGGGGGAGTGGCCGATGATTCAGAAAGAGCGTCTCCTGCGTGTGCTGCCATAGACCATTCGGATGTTCCGACACCGAGCGAACCCTCAGTCCTCATCTCATCGTCGTCTCCGTATTCCTCAACTGAATCGTTCTCACCATCCAGCTGGGCGTCCACCGGAGAGTTTTCCTTCCCCTTCCCCTTGACTGCCGGTATCTGATCAGGCAACTCAACCTCCACACCCTTGCCTTTGTTCGTCGGCGCCCCTATAATCTCGAAGGAACTAGAGGAAGCCCAGCTTGCACTGCCGCTTCCGTCGTTAACATCGTTATCGTGGCTTCCTAGAGCGATTCCGAATTCCGATGTCCTCTGCTCGGAGGGCGTAGGGGAAACAGGTGCGCTAGAAGCATGTTCCCTCATCCAATTTGCAGATCTTCCAGTGTCGATTGTCTCCAACCTCTCACTGATATCCCCTCCACTTGGGGTTGTCTGGGCCCAGATATCCGGTGGCCGCGACGGCTCGGGGTTCGCACCTCCAAATTGGAAACGATTGTCTGTACTTCCACCGGTACCACCGAAGTCGTACTGGGCACTGGTACTTCCACTCCTAGTGGTTTCCTCGAGTTCACGTCGGAGACCCGCTACCTGGGAGGTGTTCGCCCTCGTAGGGGTCGGCCGTAAAGGTAGGTCAGCGAAATTGAAGGCTGGGATTGCACCGCTCTCCTCGACTGGGTTTTCGCCAGTGGCCTCTTGAGAGGAGCTGCTCCCAGGTTCTGTGTCTGTCGGAGCTACCCGTCTACGCTTCCTGGGCTGAGCAATAACACGTTGCTGAAGTACGTCGGCCTCGTCGCGTGGGGCCCCCTCCTCTTCTCCCCCGGCCGTGTCCCTCTCAACTCCAAAGGCACGTTCCACCCATTCATCTTCTTCGTCATCATCCGCTGGTACCGCCGCCCCCACCACCGGGATATCGGGCTCTACGGCAGCTGGTGCCTGGGCCGGGGCGGCAAACGCTTCTATGCCGGCGGGGTCGTCCGCAGGAAGACCAACATCAATCTGCTCGTTCAACAGGGGAATGTTTGCTGCGTCGCCGAGCAACGCAGGCTGTTGCTGGACTACCCACTCCCGTATAAGGAAAACAATGATGAAGGTCACCACGATCAGCGCCGTCAACAGCTGACCCTCTAGGACGTCGACAATCAAGTTGTTAACGAACTCAAAGCGAGTAGCATTGAATAATGGGTTGCGTTCGAAGAATAAGCCGTCCGAGTAAGCGGTATTTACGGCGGACATGTTGAAAGCAGTGGCGACGACATCAAGATTCGTGGCAGTAGAATTAGCACCGCCGGTGGCCGGGGACACGGCCGCCAAGAGAGCCGGAGGAGAGAGGAAAGCGAAATATCCTGCCGCACTTGTTGAGGTAGATGGTTGTTGGGTGTCGGTTGGCGTTTCTGGAACCGGCGTTCCTGGGAAACCGTTGGCCTGTAGCTGCCACCACCCTCCATCGCTCACCCAGAACCATCCCCGCCACATCCACCGCACGCACCAAGGGAGGCAGCCCAACCACACAAATGCCACCAATAACCCCCGTAGAAACCTCAGAGCACCCCTTGCAAGGCGTCGCGTCAACTGCCGTACGAATAATGGAGTCGGCAGCGAGTTGGGCATGTCCGGGTCGTAGACCTTTGTGAATGTGAACGGCGTCTTGCATAGCTCACAGTACTTTTTCTGTGAGTGTGCTAACCATTCCATCAGACTGCGAGCGAGCACGTCAGCACACGTTTCCAGCGGATAGTAGCGAAATGTCCGGCGGGATGGGTGGAGACTAACCAGTCCTGATGCACAAACTTAATGGACCCGCTGCACTTGCACGGATGGTAGAGGGGTTCATGTGTTGTTCCTTCCGAGCGACATATCCGGCAGTGATCGGGCTCCGAATTTGCCGCGTTGGCGTGCTGACGGCTCGCATTGGTGTCATAAGCGGGATCGTTCATCTTGTCGGCTTCTGGCACGGAGGAGCCCCTTGGGGGGTCGGGCGACATTTGTCGCGACGGCTCGGCGGTACTGCTTGGCTATCGAGGGTTCGCCAGCGGATGTGCGTAGGACGTCGAGGTCGGGCGAGTGAGGTCGCGTATTTGGATCGTTTGGGCTCTCGTCGTAGCAGCGGGGGGGGGACGGGGTTGCCTGCGCGAAGTATGAGATCGTGCTTTCTCTCTCTCTCTCTCTCTCTTTCTTCTCTAACTCTTTCCGCCTCTTCCACTCCTCTCAGTCTTCTCTGTTTCTCCGGTTGTCTTTCGGATATTGGTGGTTAGTAGAGGGGGGTGGTGCCGATGATGTTTGTGGTGGGAGGACAATAGCACATACCTGGCAGAGTGATGATGTGGGTTGCGGAGTTAGGGTGCAGCTTAGCGATGTACTCCTGGAGACACAGAGGGAGTTCAGAGTTCAAGCAAGCAACAAGGTCGACGTTGCGGTGCAGTTGGGCGAAGGGTTTGGGTTAGCGTGACGCTGAAACGGTTGGGACGGGATGCGCCATAGATGAGTAATCGCGCAGCCACCACGCCACACTCTACTGCGCCACAGTGGCTGGATATGGCTGGAGTGAGTGTGGCGTTTCTTTTCGCTTGCGCGATTCATGAAACATGATTTGATGGGTGGGTGAGACACACTATGCAACCCCGGCCACCCACACGACAGGACCTCGAGATCTCCTGGCAATTATTGCATCACCACGCTGTGCCCATCCACTCAACAGCCCGAAACCAAGAAAGACCTCCATCGCAGCAGGTATCTTGCAAGCAGAGTTCTATTTCAGCGAGTACCAAGCCGCCGTAGAAGAAGAATCGGAGGAAGCAGACGGGAGCAGCTCTGCTCTAGAATCTACTCTGCTCCGCTACCTAGCACATGCTAATTCAAGAACTGGGCACCACCACCAGTGACCAGTGACCGCAACCACCACCACCACCACGCCCAGGAAACTCTCTTGCTTCCTCCTTCCTTTCAACATATTTTACCGGTATCTCGCGGCCTGTTTGTGCTCCTGCATACTTGATTCACTTCTACCACTCGACGCCCTCCCCTTAAAACACCCCTCGAACACAACATCATTCTCATCTGCTCTTCCCTCCTCGCCCTCATCTCTCTTTCCTCTTTACTTCTCCTCCGTTGGGTTAGCTACGTGATCTCCACACATTGCGGACCTTGTCGCCCAAATAGCCCGCCCTTGTTCACGCGATAGCTTCCGAGGACTTGCCTAATTCCCCGCGACAACGCATCCCACAAGACCACGCTCCACAATTCGCACATCTACATACCGCTCACGCACAAGTTCGACGTGAACCCCTGCACCCAGCAGAAAGCACGAGCCATCGCTTTCACGAGCGAGGCAAAAAGCACCTGCAAGAGCAAGCACATCGCATCGCCGCTACTGTTCGGTCGTTCCGGCCGGCTTCGACAGTGGCGTGAAAGCCTGTTTGTGAAGAAAAAAAAGCCCGTTAAGCAGAAATAAGTAAGCTGAGCGGGAAAATCCTCGGCCCAGGAGATCTCCCCCCCCTCTCGCTCGCTCTCTCAACCTCTTTTTAGTTCTAAACTTCGTGTCGTTGTGTTGTGCTTTTTCCAGCGTGGGATAAGATAGTCGTCCAAACTCTATCCCGCTCCCAGCGATAACCGACCCTCGTGTGCCGCCCCAGTCGCTTTTGTACGCGATAAACGGCCAAAAAGACGGATCGATCGAGGAAACCGACAACTTCACCCCCCATCCCTCGACATGGTGAACCCAAAGGCCAGTACAAATGGGTACAGGAAGGTGCAGACAGCAACTCCTCCGCCCGAACCACAACAAAAACAACCACTCGGGAAGCTAGGGAAACCGAGAGTCCCACTGCATTCATCGCCGCCAAAGTTCTCGTCGTCCGGAGACGGCTTTAGTCTCGTCAACCTCACTGCTCGGTAAGATACTCCGCTCGCATCTTCCCCCCGAGAGAGGAGTGGAGCGCGAAAGAGTGCACGGACGGATCCGCTGATTGGTGATCCCAGGTTAATCGCGTGGTATGCGCTCTACACGGTGCTTTTCCGATGTCCAGCACACCCTACTTCCGACTCGCCAGGCATCTGTCATCCCGCGCACACCATCAAGACTGCGCTGCGGCCGCATGTTCTGCCGTACTACAATAGTTACCTGTCGCCGTATGTGCAGCAGTACTCTCCTTACGTCCAGAAGGCGAACAGGGAGTACATCATCCCGGCCTACACCACCGCGTACGTTACTTACAACAAGTACGGTGAGCCATATGTGTCTAAGGGCTCCAAGTTTGCAGCGGTGGAATACGACCAATACCTGAAACCGCACGTGGAAACGGCCCAGAGCAAGGCTGAGACCTACTACATCACCTATGTTTCTCCCCACGCTGAGACAGCTAATAAGATCTGGATCAACGACGTCAAACCTACGGTTGACATCGCGGAGAAGAAGGTGGAGGTGTTCTGGCACGACCACGCACTGCCCAATTACAACAAGGTCCAACCATATCTGGCCAAGGCCTACGAGCATGGCATGTATGTCATCACTGTCATCGTGGCCCCCGTTGTCAAGGAGGGTGGTGAAAAGGCGGTTGGCTGGGGTCGGGGAATGTGGAGCGAGGTTGTACGGCCGCAGGTCGGAAGGATTGGAGAAAGGCTGGGAGGAACGAACGGAAGCGGGTATGTCTCCCCCCCCCCACGGTCGAGCGTGATTTGTTGGTCTGTAGCCGCTGACAACTGACAGAGTTCCTGCTAGTTCGGTCTCCTCGTCAATCTTCTCTTCCCTCGCAGCAGCAAGGCCTTCCGGAGAGGCAGCCTCTATGGCTTCGATCTCGTCCATGATTGCGTCCGTTTCTGCTGCGAAGGCTTCCGATGCAGCTTCCGGAGTTGCGGAGCCTGCCACCAAGCTTACGAAAGAAGAAGCCAAGGAAATCATCAAAAACGACCTCCACACGTACTCGGCAAAGTTCAGCACTTCTTCGCTCAAGACTCTCTCTGAGCTAAAATCGCAGATCGATGAGATCTCCGATAAGGCGATGCACAGCAAGCGTAAATCTGTTGCCAAGGATATTGCAAAGCTGGAGAAACTTGTTGAGAAGGGAACCAGAGATCTCAAGGCCGAAGTCGTGATTTTGGCCAGCCGTTTGTCCCCCGAGAGCACCGAGGAGGAGAAGGCTGCTGCCCAGGAGCAACTATTTGCCGCCACACGACACTTGGGAACTCAGATTCGCGACAACGCTCAGCTCATGCGTAAAGACGCCGAAAAGTACCTTGCCAAGGTTTACGACGATGTCTCGGAAGTTGCGGACCAACAGTTGGAAACCCTTGACGGGATCAACGACTTTGGTATGCAGGAACTCGGAATGAAGTGGGCCTGGATGGACTGGGTCTCCCACAAGGACTGGGCCAAGTACCACGAACTCAAAAAGGAGATGAGGGAATCCCGCACCACCATCATCAAATCCGCCGAGGCCAACGAGAAGCTCCGCGAACTCACGAAATGGGTCGAAGACGAGTGGGAGGGTAAGGCTACTGAAATTGCCAAGAATGCGGCTGAGCAGCTGAAGACAATCAAGAAGATCGGAAAGAAGAAGATTGAACTTGCGGAGGCTTCCGAGGACCTTACCGACGATCATATCCCTGTTGCCGCGAAGAGGGCAGGCCAGCAGGTTCTCAAAAGCGCTGACAAGCTCAAGGCGACTTTCCAGCCCGAAGAGGAGGAAGAATCAGTCAAAGATAAGGTTTTGGATGTGATCGACGACGCGAAATCCAAGATTGAACAAGTTATTAGCGGAACCCCCAGCCCCACTCCTGTCGGTGAATCGATTATCTCTGCTGCTTCGGAGGCTGTCGAGAAAGCTACAGCTCGTGTCAAAGCGCGTGTTCCTGGCGGCGTGGAGGCTGGCTTTGTCGCTGCGGCGGAAAAGGTTATCTACGATGACGACGACTCTTTCATCGACGATGTCAAGTCAAGCCTCTCGGAAGCGTCAAAGGCGGTTTCTCAAGCCGTCCAGGATGCCATGGATCGTGCGACAGCCATCTCGGAACCCTCGGCTGGCGAGAGCATTCAATCAAGGGCAAAGGAGCTCCATGATTCTGCTCTCTATGCAGCTTCGAGCATTCTCTATGGTACCCCGACTCCTGTGACCGAGGAGATGTTTTCTATCGCTACGGACAAGTACTCTGCTGCTGTTGTCGCTGCGTCTTCGATTCTTTACGGCACCCCGACACCCACCCACGAGGTTCTTTTGGAGCAGGCCAAACTAGCGTACATTCAAGCAACTGATGCAGCCATGGATTCGTTCCGGTCCGCCAAGAGAATGGCTGTCACCCATGTTCAACCATCAGAACAGCCAATCAAGGAATCCATGTTCTCGGTTGCATCGGAGAAGTACTCGGCTGCTTTCTCCGCCGCCGGCGCTTCATACTCTTCGGTTGTTTCCATGGGAGGAGAGGCAAGGAAAAGCTACGACGCTGCTATCGCCGACGCCCAGAGCAAGTTGAATTCGGCGGCATCTGCTGTCTCAACTAAGGTCTATGGTACCCCCCAGCCTGCCTCAGAGAGCGTCATGAGCGTTGCGAAGGAGAAGTACGCCAAGGCCGTTGCCGAAGCACAGAGTACCTACGATTCGTGGTTCTACGCAGCATCGAGACAGCTCTATGGCACTACCACCCCGGTGATCGAGAGCATGCTCTCTTCCGCTTCCGCCACGGCCTCTTCCGCCGCGTCGGTCGCCTCCGCATCAGCCTTCTCCGTCGCTTCTGCCGCCTCAGCTACGGCCTCTTCCGTCGCTTCTGCCGCGTCCAAAGGCGTCGAAGATACTGTTTCCGCAGTCTCTGTTCGCGCTGAAGGTGCAGTGGCAGCTGCATCGGGGCAGATCTACGGCACTCCGGCACCCTCCGGTGTCTCTGCCTCTGTCGCTTCAGTTGCCTCACAAGCCGCAGAATCCCTCGCCGCCGCCCCAGGACAAGCCCAAGACCTTGCCGCCATCCGTTACGAAGAACTCCAGAGCATGCTTAATGAGCTCATTCACGGCAAGGAGCCCACCTTCTCCGAGAGCGTGATGGCACGATTCTCGTCTGTTTACTATGGCACTCCAACACCTTTCCTATCCCATGCCAGTTCTTTCGCCGCCTCGGCCACCTCCGCTGCCGTTGACGCTGCCGCTTCCGCCACCTCTGCCGCCGCATCCGCCAATTCCATCGTTGCAGAAGTTGCCGTCTCCGCCACATCCGCCGCCACCCAAGCCGTCGGAAGCATGCCCCCGGTCATCGACTCGATGATCCAAGACGCTATTTCGCGCGTCCGCGCAGCTGCCGCCGAGGCCAGCGTAGCCGTGTACGGCAAGGAACCCACAATACTCGAGAGCTACCAGGCACAGCTTCGGAAACTCGGACAGGATGCCGTTGACAACGTTTCCGTCGCCGTCTACGGCACGCCCAAGAGCGGCTTCGAGAAGGTGTCCGAAACCGCCGCGAGCTTTGCAAGCCAGGCTTCCGATTCCGCCGCCAGCATGGTTTCCCAGGCGTCTGAGAATGTCGCTAGTGCGTACGATGATGCGCGCGATGCGGCGGCGAGTCTGGGTGTGAAAGTGGGACTGCTCGATGAGGAGCAGAGCTATAAGGACGCCCTTCTGGAGAATGCTAGGAAGCGCATCGAGAACGCTGTTAAGGCTGCCGAAGAGACGTTGCGCAGTGTCCGCCAGGCGGCTGAGGAGGCGGGCCAGAGAGTGAGGGACGAGTTGTAGTTTGTTGTGATCTGATCGGATCGGATCTGGGGGGAAAACGGAGTTCTTTTTTTTTCTTCTTGTTTTCGTTTTTCTTTTGGCTGGCGGGCGGTTCCAGATGGATGTGAGTGATATCAAAACGCACATTTATTTTTCCTTCCTTATTTTCTTGTTTTCTTTGTCAGTTGGTTGGTTGTTTTTTTTGCCTTTTTCCTTTTTGCCTCTTTCCTTTTTTCCATTGTGGGTATCTTGATTGGCAAAATGGGAGGTATTTGGAATGTTGTTTGATGCGATGCGTTGCGATGCGGGAGGGATACGGGATTTTTACACGATGAATGCTATGAATTATGACAGACAATCGATACGAAATGAAGTGGGATGTGAAATGAATTTGGTACAAAGTAATACCATAGATATTCCGAGGGGGTGGTGGAAATCATGGTAGTGACAACTTTGAATTCCCGACGCCGTATGTGAAGGGAATAGCAGCAGCAGCAAGTGACGATACCTACGGTAGTGGCGACCGCTGATGTTGGAAGGGTAAGATAAGACTGTCGGACACGTAATGTAGGCAGTGGCAGTGGCAGTGGCAGTGGCAGTGGCAGTGGTAGTGTAGTGCCATTGGCTTTAACTCCGACCTTTGCGGTGGCTAAAAAGTGGAGACTGAGTTAGTGATCGTTGATGTTGCAGTAATTGCAGACTTCGGAAGGGCGTGGTCCAAACTACGGCATACGCTCCTGCGCGCGCCTCCAGTTATTGGCGAAAGCAGCCATCTCGGGCTCAAAAGTGAATGGGAGCTTGGACGATAATACCGGTACTTCCAAGCTCTGTGGGGATGGGGTTGGGCAGGGTGGATGGGGCTTGAGATGGCTCCCTACCCTCCTACTTACTCTACTTGCCAGACACCGGTCTCGGTGAGAAGCAATAGCTAGTTAAGTTCGGCAACATCGGGTGAGCAGTGCGCAGTGTACACCGCTTGGGGTCGGGAATATATCCCCTACTATTGGCATATGTTGGCCCGGGGAGATCTGGCATTTAACCGAGTTATCGTAAACATGCGATGTTACACATAATACCCATTTTATTTCGCAAATCCCGTGCTAGTTAACCCTGACCAGTCAGCCTCAAAAAGCGCCAGTAAACCACCACCCCATATCAAAAAACATTACTACGACGCTCAAGTTACTACACACACCCATCTTTCGTTCCGGACATCTTCTTTCACATATAGCTACAACGTATATAACTCAAGTGGTATTCTCCCATTCCTCCTCCGAGCATCCAACAAACATACCTACCCGACAGAGTCGCTATATACAAACATTTATCCATCCATCCACCTAGAAAGAAAGCAAGGAAAGCATGAACCAAGGAGAAGCCGCTTCGTTGGCTATCGGTATCATCAGCATTCTCGTCACCATCATGGTTGCCTTCAATTGTGCCCGATACACGCTGAAATGCATCCGGACTCGGGTTGGCCTCTCCGCCCCTTCGGCTTTCCTTCCACCGATAGTCTGTCGCCGCAAGGAAAACGCACGAATATATGTACTAATCAGGTGTGTGTATGTAGCATCGACGGAGACACAACGATGAACTCGAGCTTCAGCTACCGCTAGCAACGTCGCCGGTACAGCATAGTACGTCGGGCTTGCCAGAGGGCTACTGGATGATGGAATCGGTGCATGTAACTGTAGTCCGCTGGGTGGAGCGGCGACGCTGGGGAGAGGGAGGTTTCTTTGGAAGGTTGATGATGTTTCCGGCCGGTGTTTTAGGAGTTGGGTTTTTGGCGTGGGCGTTAGATGGCTTTCCGGCCTGGTCCCTGATGTGTGAAATCAAGCGTATGTGTATGTGCCTATGTACCGTTGTTACGACGATCCATGGCAAAGTTTGTTGTTTTCCGGAACTTCAAATTCAACGTCCACTTTGTGTAGCTTTCCGGAGAATATGTACTGTAGATACTCTACTAAAAGCGTTATGTCGTCGACGGACATAATCGTGAAAAGAACAAGATGGGCCTTGGGAATCAAAAACTTGTGGACACCTAGAACCCTAACCCAGTCACTTTAACACCTCGGCGTGGTCGAATTGCTCTAACTTACAGGGATTACAAACATAATCTACCGGTAGATATATATAGTGTAGGTTGGCAGGAAAAGTAGCGGCGGCGAATTCATTTCCACGCCGCACGCGGGAAGGCAGGGGCACGGGAGCCTCACGTCATGCACTCACTCGGCATCGGTGGTAAGAAATGAAAGGAACGGTTTTGAATTTTGTAGATACGGTAAGGGCATGTTCGGGTGCTAGCTGCATTTTCAAAATTCGCGGTTTCGACGAGTTGAATGTTACGAAAGCTGCAACCGCAAGAAAACTGTCATCTCCCCCGATGTGACCCCATTTGGCATGCATCCCAGATGTTCAACAGCACGCCACACTTCTTCTGAATATAGGTGCTATAGTAGTAGTAGTTTTCGCACACGGCCTTAGTTACCAGGCCATAGCGACCACAAACCCGGCCCTTTCCTACCTACTCCGTGCGGGTAGAGAGACAGCCCAATCGCCGCGGCCCGATGCATTCTGCACCGCTGCCTACATACTAAAAAAAGACCCCACTTATTTTCCGCAAACTCCACACTGCGGTACCACACAGTTACAAAGGAGAAACCTTCTTGGGCTGTTCTTAATTCATTCATTAGTTGCATGCGAACTATCTAGATCATGGCATTATCTACCCGTGCACCCCCCCGTTTCCACGCCACTGTCCAACCCAACTTTCATCAAGGGGCCCAATGTGGCTTTCCCTTCCTCCCGCCCCGACCTATCCCGACGATGTATGAGCATCGTAGAAATAACATTAGGAAACGACGACTTCCGGCCCCTCGACTCGTCCCTGTCCCACCGCAAGTCACTAATCCGCTTCGTCGCCTCCTCCCTCTTCATTAGGGATGCTATGAAAGAAGCTGTGGGGAGGAACAGCGTGAGTGATCCCAATTCCTCGGCCCCAGCGGCGCCCTCCTCCTCCTCTCTTCCTGCCCCCTGAGCTCCCACTCAGAGTCTCGGACACCTCGCTTGCCGCATCTCCCTCAGCGACCGAGTCCCGTATCTGCCTACCCACATCAGTGGATGAGAGGAAGTCTCAGATGGCCTGGCTGCATCGGCCGTCTGCGAAGAGGTTTCGGATTTTGAAGCGGTCTTTGCCCCTCCTGTCTCCTTGCACACCTGTGTCCATAGTGTCTTTTGCTGAATTTTCCACTTCTGACGGGACTCGAGAAGGTGCTCCTGGGTCTGGGTCGCCTCTTCGGCTGCCGCATTTTGCCCGTCGGCGGGCTGCCCGAGTCGAGTGAGCCGCCATGAGCCACATCCGTACACATGTAGGACCCCGATTCCGAATGGCTTAACTGATCGAGAAAGCTCCAGAAGGGCACGCAAAGATTATAAGCGTATCGGCACCGGAACTCCAGAACAGAAGTTACCCAGAGTATGATTGGAGACACCTAGCTAGACTAATGTGTAGTCGCGGAGGGCGCGACGTCAATTTCTGCTTAGTAACACTGACGATGTACCCCAGCAATGCCGAGTGACCGATGTGATTTCATGGATTTTGACCACACCCACGCGGCATTCCTTCCAAAACCCCCGTGTCTTTTCTTCACCACCAGAAGGAGTACCAAAGATCCGAGTCCATCAGGCAACGCAGCGAGTGGTGTAGAAGCTCCTAATGGAGTTATTCTTCCAAAACAATGTTGTTTTGTGAAGAATAAGCGGCTCAGATTTACTCCTGCTTTAGGTGTCCAAAACCATAACTATGACTCAACTCACTCGCACAACAGTCAACGGGCATGTGCAGGAACCGAGCGCGGCTCCCCGCACGCGAATCATGGAACGAGCAGTGCCCGCCCCTCCCCCCTGCACGCCAATCATGCATGCATAAATTAACTCCGGCGGAGCCACCAACGCCTACTCTACATACGGGAGGCCTGGAGGCACATATGTAACAGTCGACCCACGTTAGGCGCCCAATCAAAAGTGCCAATTGTCACCTGTTGGAAATATTGAGTAACGCTGGATACGAGCATGAGTTTTCTATTTGTAACCTGACCACTCTCGTTCCTGAAGTTGTCCAGAGCGTCGGGACTCGGGGGAGGTACTCTATATAACTCGACGCCCACCAGCTGATGCGGGAGAACGAAAGGGAGAAAAAACGGTTCACCGCAAAAACAAATCCGCAGCAAAAACCATCCAAAAAGCAACCCTCTGACCCCGCCATGATATACTCGCGCTGCTGCAACCTCGCTTTCGCCGCCGCGCTGCTGGCGTCGACGGCGCTCGCGCAATCCGGCGAAACGATCGAGTTCAACTTCGACGAGGCGGAAATCGGCGCGGTGCCGCAGCCGATGTTCGGCTTCCGCCTCTCGGCGGCGATGGACAGCACCTCTGAGTCGACGAGCATCGACGACTACGGGGCGCACTCGCCACCGCACTCGCTGCGCGTGCGGAACGCGGCGCTGGTGATCCTGCCGACGAACAGGAGCTGCCACTTCGACATCCTCGAGTTCTACATCCTCCCGGATTTTCAGATGCATGCCGATATCCGCTTCCGCGTCGATCTGAACGATAATATCAATATGAACGGCGGGAAGCAGAATAAGACTGTCGAGGTCGACGATTGGAGCAAGCCGGTGCTGTTCAAGGTCGGCGAGGACGGGTTGCTGAACGGCGTGAAGTTCACGAATATGGAGGCGGCGATGTTGCAGGGTTGGCGCGTCGATACTAGGTTCGGGAGCACTTCAGTGTTTCCATTCTACGTGGATGATTTGAAGTTGAGGGTGAGGTGTGGGGAGGTCACGAGTACGAGAACGATCAGTACGAAGAGCACGAGCCCGACTGGTAGTGCGACTTCGACGGCGGAAGCGCAACCGACTGTCAGCGCTGGTGTCCCGGCAAATGTGTCGAATGGAACGGCTGCGACGAGTACCCCTACGCCTGCACCTTCGGGCGCTGGTGTGCACCCCGTTGTACCTACTCTTCTTTTCTTATCATTTACTGTGGCCATGTTTTTTGTTTGAAATGGCCGATGAAATTAAGATACCGGTACCTATGGTTACCTATTACTTTTTCGGAAGATCTCCCATACTTAGCATAATCTGTACAGTAGCCCTGCTGCTTTGGGAATGATGGATAGATACTTAAGTAGAGATGGGTGTCGGGATGCAATGAGACATAATGGTTCTATGACCCCGTGATAACTACCGGTATTCAGACTTTGTTTCACAATGCATCACCGTATGACCATCTTGAAGTATCAGGTTTGCTCCCTTCACGTCATAGCAACTTTAAACGAAATTGATCTGAATTTCCTCTAACGCTTACCTCGTATGTTATCATGTACTCATGTACTTGTCTATGGGCTCGGGTATCCATCCGTCTATCCACAAATCCTCCCCACAATCTCAACCCTCTCCACAAACACCGCAACCTCCTCTTCACTTTTCAATCCACCAGGTTCGTCCCTGCCCTCCATACTTCCCACACACTCCTTCGCCGCCTCCAACCAATCCTTCAGGCCCTCCACACTTCCGCCCCTAGCCACAAGCAACTGCGCCACCAAGCCCCACACTTGCACGACCTCCTTAGTATCTACCCACAGATTCTGTTTCTCCCTGCGGAACAGAATTGTATCGCGCTTTGTCGCCTGTTCCCATGCGGTTCTCGCCGCCGCAGCCGAGATGTCTCCCCTGACACCTGTGACTCGCTCCATTGCTTCCCGCAGGAGGATTTGAGACGTAGGGAAAGCTCTTCGCAGCGCGAGGGTGAGATTTCGCGCGGCAACCTGGGGCAGCAACAGAATCTGTTCTCCGGGAAGGACAGTCTTTGCGATGCGCGACGCCGCGAGGCGAATCTCGTCGTCGTCATCGTTGAGAAAATCGAACAGTAGGACGTATGAAGAGATCAGGCTCTCGTCTGGTTCCCCGGAGAGTTTGAGAAGCGGGGCAAGCGAGGCGAGGCATGTCAAAGCTGCTAGACGTGTTGTGAATGGCTCTTCTTGCGAAAATTTAGATAGCTCGGCGAGGAGTGTTCGCAGTGGTTCTTCGCGTTTCTCGGCAGGGATTTTGGCGATCAGTGGGCCAAGAAGGGAGAGTGAGGCTTCCTTGATTGGTTCTGTCCGTGGGGTTCGAACCATGGCCATCAACGACGCCACAGCGTCCGTCATATCTGTCAACCCATCGACACAGTCGTCGTACTCGGTGTACCAACGATGCAGTAGAGTGAGAGCCCTGGCGACCACCAAGTCCCACTGGTGATTTGCTACCATATTCCAGAGTTGCTGCCGCATAGTCTCTTTGGATACTGTGGTCATTTCCGGCAATTTCTCCAAAGCTAAAATAAAGTTGACTGTGTAGAGATTGATTTCTTCGTCGGCGCAAAGTAGAAGGCCATTAAGCGCCTCGGAGAACTGGTCTGGCGCATGCTGTAGAAGGCGGGTATAAGTAAGATGGAACGAAACTAAATGCTCCTTCAAAAATGAGCGCCCAATCACAGAAGATTGGTTGCACTCTTCGGATACATCGCACCGGAGTATGTAACTCCCGATGCACTCCGCGAGTCCGGCGTGGTCCGCTAGAAGAATTTCAGCTCAGTGTAAAAAATATAAGGATCGTAGAGTACTTACCATCTCCAAGAATATCGACGGCATGTGCTGTTAAAATGTGCATCATCACAGCCTTGGTGACCGCACTTCGATTCCTCACTACCAAGCAATCAAACGTTTCCTGGAACACACCACCGATGCTCTTCCAGACAGATCCAGGCTCAACTTCCTCGAGAACAGCCTGTCCGACCCTTCGTTCCAACAATGCCCGGACTGCACACAAGTTGCCATGCAGAACGTTCTGCTTCTCTGTACCGACAGCCATCAACTCAGCTATGACATTCAAGACTTGGCCCGGTCCCACAAGCGCAGTGTACGCCCTTGCGGCCATCTCACGGACCTTCCAAATGCGCGATCGCATGCATTCCAATACTAACCCACGGAACTCTTCCATGCCCTCGTACTCGGGATCCACCTCCATCCGAGCAATGAGAGAAAGCGCAGGATAAACCATCTCAACAGAGGAAGCCTCCCCACGCTCCAGTCCCCCCACCTTCTCCTGGAGATTATTCAACAAAACGGAACGCACCGCCGCATATTTCTCAAAGAACGAACGAGTAGTAAAGTTGCTGTGATAATCGTTCCTGCTCTTCCGCAGTCCAAAGAGCCGGTTTGTGAGTGACGTGAACAACATCACACCGCAGTTGCGGATCGCCCAGACCTCAGAGCCGAAGCAGGAGACGGCGACTTCCAGCCCCACCCCGATGTAGGGTACGACTACTTGCGATACCCGAGCATCTGTAAACAGGAACTTGATGCAATTTAGAGCGTGGACCTGCGGGAGGTCCACCTTGTCTCCGTCCTTGCTCACAGCCGCCGGGAGGGTTGCGATCTCGAGGAGGCGGGCAAACGTGCTCGAAAGCAGTGGGCGATCGGGATTAGGTTCGGAAGCAAGTACGCCCACGATCAGCGATGGTAGGCCAGCGGAGCGGCGTGTGATGACGCTGGACTTCTCCATGATGGAATCGAGGTTGTTGGCAAGCCATGTTTTGGGAAGTTCCTCCAGTGCAGAATCCGTAGATTTGAAGCACCGTGTGCATAAGGCAGCGAAAGACGGCGCCACAGCGGAAAAGGCACCCCGATGGCGGATGTCACCCAGTTGCTGTAGCAACAGATTGCCTCCTCTTTCAAAATCCATGGAGTTGAGAGTTGGTAACGGCGCTTCTCCAAGCATCAAGCCCAGGAGCTCGGATGACTCCTTAACAGCCCTCCACGAATACGACATTAACGTCTGTGTATTCATATCCTCGTCTTCCTCGTCCATCTCACTCGGTACGTAGCCCTCCGGCGATTGGAAGCATAGGGGTGCTTTAGTCAGTCTCCAGATTTCCTCGCAAGTCCTGAATACTCGCTCGTGCACTTCTTTCTGCAGCTGCACAGATTCCTCTGAGAGATTTGTGCGGTAGACACCTCGCAAGACCATTCCTAGAGACTCAAATAGTCCATGGACAGGCCTTTCCCTGACCGCACGCGATAAATCCTCGCTCGCCATGGCAAGATAATCTTTCTCGATCACACCGAGCAACCACGTGACAATGCCGATGTGTCCCTGTCCTATCGGGGAGCCCCGGATCATCTCGCCCTCCTCGAAGAAAATATCTCCTCTCTTCACCAGGTCAAAGATCAGAGACACAGTTCTAGCCACGCCGTCGGAGTCTCGCAGTCGTCCGCTCTCATTCATAGCCTTCATGCCACGCTCCAAGAAAGGTATTAGGATGGACTTATCCCACCTGATGTCGAACCGTAGAAGCTCCGAAGACATGATGCGGACATCTTCGAACGCATTCGACATGACCTCCAGAAGTAGAGTCTTGATTCCAGGGGTAAACACACGGAATTTCTGCGAGAATGCCGGCCACTTGAAGACTCCTTTCTTAAAAGGTTCCCCGTCGGACGCGATAGATCCATTTCCGGGTAAAGCTGAAAATGTGGATTCTGCCAACGAAGCATCCACGCCCGAGCGGATCAGAAATGACATGGCACGCAACCCCATAATGCAACGTTGATAGTTTGCACCCGGCCATAACAGCGTTTCGAGGAAGTTGATATACGATTCACAGAAATTGCTTGCATCGCGTATCCGCGAATCCAGTTGTATCATGTTGTGGATGTCGTCTTTTGAAGGTCGATGGCCGGACCGCAGTTTCAGCTGCACGTTCCTGAGCTCCTTCTCGCAAGAGTAAGTGGACTGGGCAAGGCGCTCAATCAAACTGCGGAGACCACCGATGATTTGATCTCGAGTTTCGGCATCCGACTCCACGAAGAGGGGAGGTAGGGCAGACTCGAGGAGAGCGAGTGCTTCGTGAGTGAACGGCCGAGTGATCGATGTGGATTGAATGACAAGATTAAAGGCGGAGAGTCGGATATGCGCATAAGCGTGGCCGAGAAGTGGTGTTACCAGGTCTGGCTGCAATCGTATCGTAGGGGCTTTTGTAGTTGTGGGTGCAGTGGCATCCGCATCACCTGTTCCTGTCAGATCCTTCTGCTCATATCTACGGGTTCCCACCTACCAATCTCCCCTACGAACCCAAGCTCCTTCCCTGCCTTCAAGCAGCATAATAGTGCCCCTAAATCGCTATCCCCCATGTCCTTGAGATTTCCATGTTGATCGAGTCCGAACCCTTCCAAGAATATCCGGAAACATTCGGCGCTGAGTCCCATCACCCCTAACAGAACGTAGGTCACCACCCGATGTCTCAATTCCTCGCTCCTCATAGCATCCCTCAGCGGCGCTTCCCAGATATGCATCCATTCCTGCTCCCCCTTCCCATCACCCAACTCCTTTCGCCTCGCCTTCAACAGACCAACCACCAGCTTCCCGATCGAAGGTGCACGGTCCCGATCCACCAGATTCGCCAACAGCCGCCTTACCAGCTTCTGGGCACCACCGGCTCTCTCAAAGACGGAAGCCGCGCCGACCCCCTTCCGGACCGCCAGATCGAGCGCATAGTACGCACCCTTCCTTCCCTCGCCGACCGACACGCCGGCTAGCCCCTTCGTCGCCAGCGAGTCCAACACCTCTTCCGCCACACCTAACCGGGTCGCAAGCGCCAGCACATTCGCCAGTAGATCCTTCAGAGCCTTCGCCAACAGCGAAGTCGCGTCATCGAAGTGCGCCAGGAACACATCGCCGAGCTTTCCGAGTGCGGCGGGGAACGGCGCGCGGAGGCTGTCGTGCGCTCGCGTGCGGATGAGCCATACGGAAACGGTTTCGGCGGCTAGCGCACGGTGCGGCTGCGATATTGCGGGATCGTTGACGGTCGCGAGGAGCTGTGTGAAGAATGTCGTCGCCGCGTCCCTGCACGCTGGTCAGTACGAGCTTTCCCTCCCTCCCGGACGTGGGCGACTGACGCTGGCAGTGCGAGGTTCGACGGTGGGCCGAGAGTCTTTTGGATCAAGACGGTGCGAATTGTCTTCAAATAGTCTTGGCTGAATGGCGTGGCAATGCTTGAAAGCTGCTGCTGGAGCCCATGGAGGGTGGTTTCGGCGGTCATTAAAACGGGTTTTGGAGGAGAGAAAAGCAGCGTGGGGTAAAATGAAACCAATGGTGGGGCTGTTACACGGACTAACCTTGTTCAGCCCCGCCAAGAAGGAGCACAGTCATACGTGCGAATGATGATATATGAGTCAATGCAACAGCGACGATCTCAACAACTAACGCTACAAGACATCCGAACAATCTCTGCAAAAGTTAGGAATGCGCAGACCTTTCGTTTTAGTCTGTGAGCCGAAGTGTATACAGGGCCATGTAAGTCCATGTTCTTTTCTAGCATCAAGTGTCGGTGCGAGTTTGGGTGGCCAGCAAATTTCGCACCACAGTATGGGTATATCATACATTTAGGTGAGTGGTTTCGTGGGATAGTACTCCGCATAAGTATTGATAGAATTCGAATTACATATTTGCATCTATACAGTTAGGTAAGCGGCATGGTATGCATCTAGTTTTAATAGCTCCTTTTGCGGAATCGGCTGGTCGGGGTGAGCACAGAGCACGTTTCTACCCAGGGGCCAGCAAGGCGTGCGATAGGCCACAGTTTCCGCCAATAAGCCTGAAGTCCACAATCGCCAGATTTGGCATCCCAGCAGCATGGCCACGAGTATCGAGATGCAAGCGAACTGGCACAGGAGGAATACTAAAAACCGGGCTAAAGACTTTATCGTTCACACCTCGAATCACCTTCTACGAGCTAAATCCTTTTCAAGACGACGACGACGACATTGTGGCGAGCGATAAAGGAGCTATCGGCTACTCGGCGGGAGAAAACGAATGTGGTTAGTGGTGCACATCAACATTGGTGGGCATGGCGGGGTTCCTTCTTCTTCTTTTTCTTTTCTTCTTCTTCTTCTTTGACCGAGGGGGTGTTTTGCTTCCTCCCTTCCCTCGATGATAAAGTCCATCATAGGGATAATTCTCGCCTCCACAGACGGCAGCGTAAGGGCGCAGTGTCACGTGATACTACCGAGTGATATCCAACTAGTGCTCCCCCCGTCACCCAAAAACAAAAACAAAAACCTTCACCACCCCCGGTGAGTGGCTTGGAAACCCCAAGAGCTGATAAGGTTTTCACCCGGTTTTGAACCGGGGATATTCCCTTAACTTCCCTCGCCGATTGCATGGCCTAAACCACTAGACCACGCAGGGTTTTTTCCGTGCTAGAAACATGAATTCAAACCCTATAAAGTGGTGAGTGCCACCCCCGTGACAGATAAATTCCGCCGCAAAGCTGTCTGCGTCGAACGAGCGAACAACATGCCGTGTGCTTTGGATGGATCTGATGTGACGTCTTTCTGCGTTTGAACCAACGATAAAGACAGCGCGGTAACCACGGCGAGATCAGCGGACTACCTACTTATTCGTCATCACACATCTAGAAAGAATCGTACGTTGTCCTTCGCCGTTCTTCGATGTTTAACAGCCCCTGGTCTTCCTACAGCCGGCACGCCTTGTCCTCCGACTATGCCGCCCTACAGTACCAGGCCTGGCTCGCCGCCGCGGATACCAACTAGCATATTGCCTTTTGAGTACTCCGGTCAGCCGTATGAGCTCCTAAAAACCATATATTATCAACGCCAGTTGAACAACTGTGAGCTTTTAGAGCTATTTAGCCATGGCATTTCCTATCCTCGGGCACTGGACAGCCGATGGTGTGTAAGAATAAAACCGGTACCTCTAGAAAGACTCGAGAGGGAGCGGGGAATGATGAATGTATGATACGTAATTAACTATGACTGAGGCGGCGTTTTCTGGCGTGAGCACTGAACACTGATGACCGAGATTGGCTGGCCACTGGCCGCTGGTGTACTTTTGATATCACTCGTCTACCCTGAGTTTTCGATTAGTTATTCCCGAATGGACGAATTTAAGCGAATCCACTCTAGTTACTAGTAATAGACAGCCCGCATGCAATCGACGATTAAACAAAAACCACCCCCAATTCAAGGGAATTCAAACCCTCTCCACACAAACCAATCCAGGACCTCGGTCCGGACCGTATGTAGTTACGGTCTACAGATGATTACTTACTACTCGCCTCTCGCCCTCCGCATGTGATCCTCGCCTATACTCATAGAGTAGAGTACTCTGCGAGTCTGCATACCTTGCCCCAAGCCACGGCCCCCACACTGTATACCTAGTAGTAAGCACAGAGTCTCACCTTCTCCGCCCCCAGCCCCACGCGTTCCTCCCCTTCCCTCCGCTTCCCTTCCCTTCCCTTCCCTTCCCCGGACCGTCGTGTCTCCGGAAGTCTCCTAGAACCACCTGCGCCATTACCCCTCACTCCTCTCACGCTTTCCTCTCGCTAACTAACGCCAACGCCAGTTAACCCCCACGTCTGATCCGGAGAAACCTGGCTGAGGGGGGGGCTGGGAATCGACATGAAGTGTGTACTACATAGAAACCTCCACAACGAAGCTTATGTATGCTACTTCACCGGGGACAGCCAGGATAGGCCCCTACACGCGCATGCGGGGGCGGCGGGGAGAGGACAGGCAGGCAGGCAGGCAGGCAGGCGAGCACGGAGATTGGAGGAGTTTCTGGACGACTAGCTAGCTACTTAGTTAATTGTAGGTGTAGGGATGGGGATGAGTCCGCCTCGAGCTCTGACACCGGCAGCAACAGCGCCGCAACGACTCGGCGCCGGGCATGGCACGGCACGGCAGTGCTGATGGGAGTGGGAGTCCGTAGAGTATTAGGTATGTCGATCACCTTATTTGACCGCCGCCGGGGCCGCTACAGGTTGGTGGGTGGTTGCTCGCCGGGTAGCGGCCGGTATTCCCCCATTCCCGGTTGGCGGAAATTCTGCCTTGCACGATCACTGATCAGTGTGCACTGTGTTGCTTGATCCGTAGATCCCATCAATTGCTCGAGAGACAGATAGACAGCCAGCCAGCCAGCCAGCCAGCCAGCCAGCCAGCCAGCCAGCCAGTTAACTAGCTAGGCTTCGGGCTCCAGCTCCAGCTGATGCCGACGATGGCCCGCTAGATAACATGCTAGCTAGATACATAGCTAAGTAGCTAAGCAGGTAGATACATAGGTTCACGGGCCCTCGAACCCCGCTCTCCATCTTTCGCTTAGTGTTCCGGTGGTTGTAGTAACTAGTGGCTCCTGCAAGTGGCTGCTAACTACTAGAGTAGTAGATAGAGTAGCTTAACCCTGGCCGGTAAAGTCGTCTGTTGATATGCGGAGTACGATAGTAGGGTAGATACAGTAGTGGAGTGCGTATGTAGTACAGTACGGAGATACGTAGATATATCGAAGCGAGCGAGGCCATCTATAGTAACAGTAACGCACATACATACTGATGTACTTCCATATGTATGCGTGCACACTGCAGCGCATGTGAGAAGCAGTATGCGGGGAGCTTATGAATTCCGGAAAGGACGGGGAATTGGGGATCCCCTACTACCTAAGGGCCCAAGGCTACTACATATGTATGATGATGAGCGTGTGGGGGACGAAAGCGGGGAAATACCCTAATCCTTGCTGCCACGCACGCGAAATGGTACTTGGGGCCAGCTCGGTTGCCAGCTGCATTTTCCAACCATGGGTTTCTGACGAGTAACGAGTTGAAAGTTGAAGGTTGCCTACCAAAGCTGCAGCTGCAAACTCTCATCTCCCCCCCGCCGACGACCCGTTCGGCAACCCGGGTAGTCAACAGCACGCCACACCTTTTTATCAGTATTGTGGCTCAGTCGACAACAGATATGCAGTTTCTCAAATTGTCAACTTGAGGTGGTGGGCCGAACGCTCACCCGTCGCTCAGAAACTGAGGGTTTCAAACCGCATTTAAATTTTGTGTGGTAGATTCAAAATCCAGCTGGCAACCGAACAGGCCCTTAGTTACAGTGTAACTATATCCAAGTAAATACTTGGGTATGTACTTGGGTAGGTACTTGGGTACGTCTCCCCGGATTCCGGTGTTGGAGATTTACTTAGGAAGTAGGGCCGGCATCTAGCCCTCGTCGAGTATCTACCGGTTTGTACTTCCCGTTCCCTACAGATACCCAGTAGGTAGAGTACGGTACCGGTAGGCATCTCGGCGGCAGGACGAACGGCCGGATGAACGCAACGAACTGGACGTGACGCTGGACAGAGACGTTACTAACTAACTATAGGGTCCAACTAATTACTTTACATGTATAGAATTGTGCAGAATTGAGTAGAGTGCGTGGATAAAAATTTAAGATGAGACACGGAAAAGAAAACCAGCAAAAAAAAGAAGGGAAAAAAGCAAATAACATTGTTTTGTTAACGGGCATTATGATTCTAGAAGGTCCAAGGAAAAGAAAGAAAAGGAGGCAAAAACTCAGGACCAAGTAAAAAAGAAGAAAAAAAAGAAAGAAAAGGAAAAAAGCAACGACAACCCTTCTCCCCCTGATGTAGGTTGCTTTCCGTTCCGCCCGGCTTGAAACACAACAAAAACAAAATAAGCTCAACCACATGAAGGCAAAAGCAAATAAATGTGCGCAACACGAGACGGAGGATCGGAAGGCCGGAAAGAAAAAGTGAGATTTTTCCCCTGCGCGGGGTCGAGAGGCTAGAGAGCGCCACCGTTCATCGCCATATCGTGCGTTTAACGATGGGAAGGCAAGGGAACAAACGCGCCTCTGGCCTGTATGTGGTCCAGCATACTCTGTGACGCGTCATCTGAAATTGTTTTTCAATAATCGTCAGTCAGGTCTCCTCTCCATAAACCAATCTCCTCTTCATAAACCAATCTCCTCTTCATAAACCAATCTCCTCTTCATCTTCATCTTCATCTTCTTGAAGACGGCAGATGCACATGTCATATGTACTGTACATGACAGCAATCTTTAGCACTTACCGATGTGGGTGGCTACCGCGCCTTCCTGGACAACTATCATATCCGTTTTAGCCTCTTCCAGGTTCGTTCCTCCGCCGCCCCCACCGTTAGCGACTGCAGATGCAGACCATATGGTTCTTCCACCGTCAACCTTGAACAGACTGACGCCCAAGACATATCTCCCGGGACGATTGATGGTGAGGTCAGGGAAAATGGCGTAGCTGCCTTGCTGCTGGCTCAGCGAGTAATCGCCTGACGAGGAGGACGAACCCGATTCGTTGAGGAGATCGAGAGATTGCGACAGACGGCCCGACAGAAGAAACATATCTGGCGGTGCCAATGATGGCGGGTTTCCGCTTTCGTTGTAGAGCGCAGCGTGGGCGAACAATCCCCCCAGCTCGTCTTCTCCCGAGGTCTCATTTCCGTCGCCGTCACGAACGTGCATCCTGATGACCAATGGTGGATAGAGCGGGACGCCTACCTGCGCCACGGTTGGTGGTTGGACGGCCACCTCTAAAGCGTACGACCGATCGGAACTCATGCCTTCTTCTTGATCTTCTTCCTCTTCTTATACTCTCGTAGACGTGATGGTGGGATGATCCGTATATAGAACTGATACCTTGGTATCAATCTATTCCGTCAAGTTGGCAGCGGTGGCGTCCGTGTTCGGATAAATCTGATGTCCAGCTGGGTGACTCTGCGCCTTCTCGTTCGTGTCTGACGTAGTCGACGGGTATCGTCCCAAGGGAAATTGCCCGTTTGCTATAGCGAAAAAAGGCGATATCTGGATTTCCGCTGTCCGGCCCACCGGTCGAGTTTTATTTTTATATATTGGGGAAAGATCGGATATTGGGTAGTGTCCGGAAGTTTTAAATCTAGATTCTCCGTAGTCCCCCGTTAGCGATGCCCTACTTGTCCATCACCTAGCGCACGAACACCACTCCAAAAAGACTAAGAAAAAAAACAGTGGGGGCAAATGGCCAGGTATCTTGAAGGGGAGAGGCCGGAAGATGCAAACAAAGTGAACGACGAATGACTGGAACGAAGAAGCCGGAGCAAATAAAGCTAGAGAGAGAGGGTCCTGCGGGCGTAGAGGACCATTCCTATTCCCGCATGTTCCCGTACGGAAACGGATAGGACCAATCCGCCCCTCATGGCTCTGCCGTCCGACCGTATGTGCGGAAAAATATGGTGAGACACTCCGGTGGACGATGGCGGCGGCGCTGACGTTGACGCCGAAACGAGGTTACGGTGAGAGATGTGCTTCTGCATCGTATTTCGCATCAAAGGAAGAAAAAAAAAGAAACGAGAGACGTTGCATGCTGTGTGATATCGCCAGTGTCGAGCGTTGCACGTTGAGGGCACCCATGTCCTTTAATAAATTGGGGGCGCGCATCGGTAATACAGGACCCTGCAGCGTTGCCTTCGAGGCTGAATTCCCGAGAACATTCCCCCGGCCACTGGGGAGATGCATTAGAACCTGCAAAGAAAAACAACGGTAGTGGTGGGGGTGGGAACCACCTGACGAGAACTGCACCGGGCCGCCATGTGCAGCAGTGCAGGCAATATACAAGAAACGTGGAACTGTGTAGCCCCCTCGGTCGGTGCATAGTACCGAACATCGGGTGCATATAACCCTGTATCTCGTTCGTTTATCGGTAGCAAAACCGAACGAATTGGATTGGAGACGCCACTCAAACATCCGCCAACTGTATCCACCACGATTGCATGGAGGGCTCGTTAATGCGAGGGGGTTGATCCGACCGGGGTGCGATACCATTGGTTCGGCTTTCCGTGAATGACTATCCGGATGAATCGATATCGATATCGATAGTCTTCTCCATCTATGGAACCCCGGCAGCCGGGTCGGAACAACGTTTGCGGAAATGCAGACTTGGAGGGGAGGAGGGGGGGGGATTGATATCCGGGAGCCGAATGAACGGCAGCTCCAACTAGAAGGAACCCAAACGAAAAAAAAAGAGAAACGGACAAAGAACCGGACCGAAAGCCACGCAAAGCTCCAGAAAATGGAAGGAAAGTCTTCAAACCTTTTTTCGCGCTCGCTCTCGCTCTTTCGTACCAGGTATGGCCGGAAATTCAGGAAATGATGCCGTCCCACGTAGGGCACTACGTCAATATCGAGTCCAGTAGCTCTAGACTGTAGGAGGGGCGTTGGTAATGTCGGTATTGTTCGATGCGCGATGCCAAAAGCCTAGTTGCCGGGGTCAGTGTGGTCCACTTCTCTGGGGGAATCCCGAAGGTCGCTTTGCGGAGCATCCTCTCAAACTCACCGGCAGTCTGATGGTGGTTATGATTGCAATTGTAGTCGCCTTGTGCTTGTTGAAGGGGGGGTGCTGTGACGTACGAGCCGATATGTAACGCTTCGAACTGATGCGTGTTCCTATATACAGTCAATGTCGAGTTCCTGCGTGCCCTTGATGATCAACGTACTTTCGGATTGGTGTATTGGAGAGCGAATGCAGTCAATGTCGAAGTAGAAAGTAGCAGGATGAAGTTGGGCGAGCTTGGTGGGGGTAGGGGGGCGGGCGGGGGGGTGTGTGTAGGCATGACGGAATCGAAGCGGCTCATATATGGAGAACCTTCCAGGCAGATTCGAGCAAACGCATTGCCAGAGATTAGATCCGTGCTCCAGATCCATGGGCTACCGGCACGCCTAGAGTGATTTGAAACAGAATGCACTCTACTCTGCCAAGGTCCTACCAAAAAATATTGTCATGGGCCATGAATCTGGGATCTCACTCAGAGTCAGTGCCTGCATATCTTATGCAAGGTCCCGATACGCAGTCCGCCCCGTCCGTGACTCTTCTCTTTTTTTTGAATTTCCAGAGCAAAGACATTCAGGTTCCGGTCCGGGTTTCAATGGAAATGCGTGAACAAGGTTCGAAATGGCAGGTATGAGGGGGCGATTGGCTCGGAACCATCACCCAACGGTCATTGAGTTGAGACGTCATATTCCTCCTTCCTTTCTCCATGGCCAAAGCCCCCCCCCGCCCCCCGCCCCCCTCTTCACTCACTTCCACACAGAAGCACATCACGGCAGAGGGGACTCGATGGGCGGTATGAACTTGCTTTCGCCGCTGAGCGGTGCCTGTGGTCGTCGTCGTCGGTGGGGTGCAAGTCAATGTCCCTGACGATATCATGTATGCATGTATGTAAAAAGCCAGCCACGCATAGCTACAATTACACATGGTGTGAAGGGTTCGGCAGCAACCGTGACCGGCAACCGAATCCGAACGACACGATTATGATATGGCGACTGGCATCACCGCCACCAACCACGGTCGACCGAAACTTCGATTGGCTGATGCTGTCGGGTCTACTGTCTCACATCCAGGCGATTGAGTTGCGCCTAGCGAGCCATGCCGATTCCCGAGGCTTTTCGCAGTCGATCACGGGATAGTTAGCAGGCCCATATGTGGGCTTTCTAGCCTCCACGCTTTTCGCACCGAACCGGGTTCGCCCCGCCCCAGACGCAGACACCGCTCTTCTCGCGATACCCGATGGTGAAAATATTAGCAAGCTGGCATCCGAACTTTACTGAATGTGGAACGCCCCTAGCGGTTGGAGGAGCCGAAGCTAGGTACCGAAAGTTTATTTCTCGTCTGCCAGTGCAATGAGAAGCGCAGAAAAGGGACACTGCTGGTAGCTAGTAGGCAAGTGCGCCTTAAGATTCAGCTTGTCTCGCAACGGAGTGTAAGACAGTGACGCTATGGGAGGGGGAGGGCGGGGGGTGTCTCGGGATGAGAAAAGGCCTCAGTACATACTAGCTGGGTATTAGTCTTGGAATCCGTGTCGATTGTGGCAAGGGATAGTGAACATACCATCTGGACCGTTCATTCTGGCTGGTGGGGAAAAAAGAAGAAAAAAACCTGTCATATTTGCATAGCTGCTGCTGCTGCTGCTACTGTTGACGGGTCATATCGTGTTGTGTACATACCCATATCCTAACGTCGCGACTTCGATCTCGCCTTCCGTGGCGTGTATGGTGGGTTTCTCGGAAGACATACATACGGGCTCTGAGAGCCTGAGGAAATATCCTAGCCCGGAAAATGTTGAAACTATGGCATTCTGGAGTCTGGACACGCCGGGGGAGGAGGAGGGGAGGGGCTCACTAGTCGGAACCATTCAAGAGGTGGGGTGGATACTTGCAATAGCCCTAGATGCGGTCATCATGCATCGCGGATCTCGATCCCAGGCTCCAGTGCAACATGAGTTACCGAAATCAGAGGAGCCAACCCAGGGCGCCACAGGCCCCTTTGTGACAGAAGGTTCTCCGGTCCGTTCTGGTGCTCCATTGGCCATTGGCAATTTGAAGGATCGCTGCATTGCAACCGAAAAACGTAGGGGGGGCAAGGGGGCTAGGCTGGTACCTAGATTACCTCTCTGTTGGGATCCTATAGACCATGCAGAATATTTGGCGCCCAATGGCTGCCTCGAAGATGCTCTTCCGGAGATCCAGCCCAAACGATAGGGGTGACTCGAGTGGGGGCGGGTTCACTCGATCCACACCTGGACGATGCAGCGGAACCAGCAAACAAGTAAAAAAAAGGGCGGCTTGTTGGTTAGTCCAGTCCAGCTAGGATTGGCGGCAGGCAATACGCTGGTGTGACTGGACGGCGAGATTGAAGCGGTTGTGAGTGGTGCCAGTCCCGTCGAAGAGCACAGATTCGCTGCTATATCTGATCCGATCAGGGAGGATGAATGGGGGGGCGAATTGCATCCAGCAGAGGGACCTGACTGAAAGATACCCGGACCTCCAGAGCAGATCGATCTCAAACGTACTTACATAGATATTATTGAATCTTATCTCCCGGAAACCAGTGCCTGGGAATCCAGTCGTTCCATGTACTTAGGGATGTACATACTCCCCACGAGAAAAAGGGTCGCCAATTTCACCCATCTCCCCAAGCCCTGCCCGGATCGCCGCCACCGATCCCGCTCGGGAGATTCCATGCTAGGTAAGCCTTGCAGCCTCAGAGGTCAGTGAAGCTTCGAGGTGCTGGCCAGTGCTGCCCACCCATCCGACTCAGAGGCAGGCTACACACCGGGTATCGATTATATGTACATACTGATATGCGAGAGGGATCCCTTACCCAGACGCGTGGCCGCAGCCAGCCAATCCCACCGATGTCCCAGGGAGCTCTGCTACCGGTACCCATGTTACAATTCCTGGGAGATGTGGAGTCGATGCTGAAGAGCCCAGAGCTAGTACATACATATGAACATCAACGATGGCTGCATACCGTACATATCCTCAGAGGTGGCCGGAAATAAGATCCTCCTCGTCCGTCTCCACGTCCAGAGATCGGTGAGAAACACTCGCATTTGCTCCGACAAACTAGCGGCAGGCTCGAAGGACCCGCAGAGTGTTTGTCCCGACCAAGTAGTTAGGGCGCCGTGAGCACATAGTAGCCGTGCCACGAGGCAAGCGACGACTCCAGCCAGCTAGGAAATGTCTCAGTGGATTCCTCATGATCCATCGTCGTATTCAAACCGCACTGAGGTGTCTGGGGCGGCGGC